AAGAAAGGGTTACAAACAAAATTTATGGAGAAGGATCCAAACGATAGAACAAACATGATCTTATATATAAAGAGAGCAATGCTGAATTGTATATTCATTAATAAACGCATATAATAGGGATATACATGGACTGAATAAACATATTATATATTCAAACTTGTATTTAATTAAAATTATAATTCGTCGAAATTTACTCTAAAATTGAAACTTTAACCCATCGACAATAAAATCAAGGGCTGTGCTGAGATATTATTCAAGTGGAATTCAAAGAGATTTTGATTATCTAAATTTTGTAGGGGATTTTCCAGAAAAAAAAATTGAAAAGGAAAAGTCTATGACAAGAAATGATTCAGTTCACGGTTTCAAAAACTGATTACGTGTACATTCACCATGATAGATAAACTTTATTTAAAATCAGAATGGCATTTCAAACAAAACAAAAACAACAAAATGTGTTTTAAAACACTGATGCCCCCGTATGGCAATTTATAGCGAAGGTTAAACTTTCTCAAACGCAGATCAAATATGTTGGTACCCAAAGTAAGGTCTTGTCTCGAAGAATATGCCTGTAACATATGAAAGCCCTAACAACAACCATTGAAAAGATTTGGAAATGGTTAACGTTTTTCAAAAGTAAGTCAAACATCAAGGTCAAGGTCAAAATTAATGGTGCCAAAGGAAAGGCCTTCTAACAAGAAATACACGTGTCAAACATGAGAGCCCTAGCACCAACCATCCAAAAGATATAGCCCCGGTTAAAGTTTTTCTAAAGTAGGTCAAACTTCATGGTCAAAAGGTCAAAGTTGTTGGTATCCAAAGTAAGGTATTGTCACAAGGATTACACATGTGAAATATGAAAGCCATAGTTCCAACCAATCAAAAGTTATGGGTTAAGAATTAAAGTTTTTGCGGACAAACAGACAGACAGACAGAAATACAGAGTGATGGACAGGGCAAAAACTGTATGCCCCCTAATCTTCGATTACGGGGGCATAAAAACAAAATAAGCTCTAATGAGCTTTCGACTGGTGTGATGTGTAGCTATTGATAAAACAAGTATTCATTTAATTAAATGAAAAAGATTCTATCTGTAAAAACATATACTCATCCCAAAAGATATTTTTCATTAAACACTGTGTACTAAGTATTTATTTAAGTGTCATGTGCCAAATATTACAAATAAAACAATAATAAAAGTTCAATAATTATTGCATGTACATGTAAAAGATTGGCATCCTGCAAATTAAAAAAGATATATGAGACACTAAAAAAAGTATTTATTTTATCTTTGTCCACAATTTAAAAATATTTCTAAATATGTTGACTATTATTTGATACAAGGCTTGGTTGTAATTTTGATGCCCCCATATTGAAGATTCGGGGATATATAGTTTTTGCCCTATCCGTCCGTCCATCTGTCTAGCTGTTTGTTTGTTTGTCCGCAAAAACTTTAACCTTGCCCATAACTTTTGATTGGTTAAAGCTATGGCTTTCATATTTCACATGTGTATTCCTTGTGACAAGACCTTTCTTTGGGTACCATCATATTTGACTTTGACCTTGGAGTTTGACCCAGTTTTACAACATTTTACCCAACTTTAACCTTGGTCATAACTTTTGAACAATTAGTGTTAGGGCTTTCATACTTCACATGTGTAATCCTTGTGACAAGACCTTCCTTTGAACAAATTTGACCCTTTGACCTTGATCTAGGAGTTTGACCCATATTTGGAAAACTTTAACCTTGGCCATAATTTTTGAAGTGTCGGTGCTAGGGCTTTAATTCTTCACATGTGTATTCCTTGTGACAAGACCTTCTGTGTGACCTTGGAGTTTGAACTACTTTTGGAAAACTTTAACCTTGGCCAAAACTTTTGAATGGTTGGTCCTAGAGCTTTCGTATTTCACAGGTTCATTTTTTGTTAGAAGACCTTTCCTTGGGCACCATTGATTTTGACCATGACCTTGATGTTTGACTCCCTTTTGAAAAACTTTGGGCTTTCATTTTTCACAGGTATATTCCTCGGGACCAAACCTTACTTTGGGTTCCAACATATTTGATTTGCATTTGAGAAAGTTTAACCTTCGCTATAAGTTGCCATACGGGGGCATCAGTGTTTCACAAACAAATCTTTTTTTTTAATCTTGAAAACATTGTTTGGTACAAGTATATTTCTTTCGTCATATTTCACCACTCATTTAAGCGCTGCCCATTAGTGAAAAGTGGATTATCCTACTATTTACATTTCATCATTAATACTGCACATTAAACACAACTCTTTTAATGCACTACAAAAGCTATAGATTAACAATCATTATCTGTACTGAAGAGATTATATTTACAGATACAATCAATAGCAAACACTAGGCTTCTGATAAAAAAGGCTCTTTTCAAGGCATTATGCGCTCTCATGGATTGTCAATTTGGATCGTTAGGAAACTGGAGTTTATATTTGAGATTTAGACTGAACAATAAATGCAGGAATTCTATTATAATTTACAATCTGTCAATTTTTCTCTCTATTCAGCTTTAAAAAACAATGTATTCTTTCTTTATTCTGTTACTTTCAGGAATATAAAATAGATATTTGGAGTAATTATATATAGAAAGTGAAAGTAAATAAACAAACTCAGAAATTATCATAGATTAGAGACCTGAAACAATTAAATAATCTGTGGATATACGTTCTGTACTCTACCTAAATAATGATTTATAGCATAACCAATTTTTCATTTATTTCCAAATTGGATCAACACCCCTTTAGCAATCATTGTGAACTATTTATTTAGCCATTATATCAGACTGAGATAATGCAAGGGTAAATGAACTACTAAGGAAGCAGAATTCATTAGAAAAAGAAGTGAATACGATGTCAATTGGTAATTGACAATAATAAACACGGGGCATAGCAAACACAACGTCAAGTGAACGATAATAGACGATTGATTACACGCTTACCTAAGACGATCTGGGGGAAAGGGAAAGATTCAGAGAAATAATGTTGCTTAAAAAAAACTATAAAACCCCGATATCATTAACATAGTCTATTTGAGTTCAAGACAAATCGCACATACCCCTTTATGTGTATATTTTCGAAGAAAATTCATTATCATATTTTGTTTCAATTTTACTGAGTACCTCGATTAAAAAAAAAGAGAACAAAATATTTAGTCGGTAGAGCTGACAGTTTGTTAAAAAGAAAAAGCAATGTGATAAACGGGATACCAACATACTACTTCACTAATATCAGTATATGATCTTTTGATAACATACTCTTTGATGTGGTACCGTATGCAGTATGTTTCATATGAATTTCAGCTGCATCAGCGAGAATAATCATAAGAAATTGTTTTGGCAGATTTTTTTCATGAACCCAATTTTCGTTTACCCATCGTAAAGATGTAAGTTCATACGTATGTTAATGTAATTAAGTTCTTTTTTAATGACAATTCGTCTGTTTGAGTAAGGTAAACTCTTTCAGACAACGAAGCATGTATAACTTGTGGAACTTGATGTTCAATTGCCTTTATTGAATTCAACAGAAACAAATTTTCTGCTATTGTTAAATGGGATAATCCGGGATAGATAATCAATTTGTCCTCGCCAATGGATGATATTGTGATAGATTTTATACTTTATTCTTCTGGGAGGGGGTCCAACTTTTTTTCTCACAATTTTCCCAAGCAAACTGCATATTAAATACATAGCGACGGAGCAAATTCACTATGTTGTAACAAAAAGTGGGATGGAGGGGCCAACTGGCCTTTTAGTGAACATTTCCATAATAGAAGCTTATGTTCTTTTATGAAAAGAAGGGGCAGCCCCCCACCCCTACTGCGTGTATTCAACAGAAACGATATTTTCGGCTATTGTGAAATGGCGTTACTGATATAAGACTTTGTGTCAGATAATTTGGGAAAGGTTGGAATCAGTTTGTGATTGCTAGAAAGTGGATATGATATTGTGATGGATTTCATCGTTTATTTGTCTCTCCAAATATTTAACAGACACACGATTAAAAATTCTGTAAATAATTTATTTCTGATTGAGCTGTAGACTTCAACAGGAAATAAACATATCGAGTCAATAGTTCAGTGTTTGAACACACTTGGTTTCCCACACGCGCAGAGTAACACTACATCGATACAACTATGCATGTCTCCTTCAACGTGAGAGAGCATATTTGTCTGGCACGGTTGCCTGTCCTTCTCAAATTCGTGTCTGGGCCATATATATATATATATATCTATATCTATATCTATATATATATATATATATATATATATATATATATATACCCTTCAGTATAAAGAAATTTTCGCTGAGTATATCATGTATATTAATTGTTGCCCCTGTTCTAAAGATGTGTCTTAATCTTGACTTAAGGTCATTTCTTGGAGGTCAAGGTGACTAAGCAATGCGGTAGTAGATTGGTGTCCGGATAACTACTCTGGAAGCCTTAAAGAGAATGTATTTAAACTTGGGTATCTTGTTGTGATTACCCATAATTATCATTTTGACTTAAGACCACGTTGTCGAAGTAATATTTCGAAGGTCAGTGTATAATTCGGTATGGAGGCACACATCCGCTTTTGCGAGCAAGTAAACCCCCTGGAGTTGATTGTCTGTATAATATCAACTTACCACTTCTTAGTCCTGGTGATATGATAAAGAGGGAGATCTATGGAAGGCATCTGAGACAAATTAAATATTCCGATACAAAAAGTTACCAAATATTATCAATGTTAAAATGTACATATAATACATATAGCAGGGACAGCACAAATAATTATGTATAGAAAATTCACAGTTTTATTAAGAAATCAATATATAAAATATTAAATATTAGTGTACCTTGAAATATTCATTGTACATCAAATTGAATTTTTTTCACCGTTGTTATTAAAATGCACTACTACCATCTAGTGCATGAATGCCTAATATATAATGAGGGTGTAAGACAACTCTTTTTACACACTATACCTATAGAGGTACTTACTTTTATTAGTTGTCTGCAGCAAACTATCAGCTGTTCAAACACGTCAATGTCACAAGCCATCTGCTGTCGTGCAATGTATGCCTTATAGATTGTTTTCCATAATTTGTCATTTGCACTTGTGCCCCCTCTGCTGTATTCAAGAATTACGTCCTATAATCAGTTATATCAGCCTTGTTATAAGTCAAAGTCAAAACATTATCCTGATTATGTATGAGGTGGATTCAGATGGAAATCCCAAAGGTGCCATGAATCCTACCATTTTTTTGGTCGCTTCATAAAGTATTTAGCAACAAGGCTGAATCATTCGATCTAATGATACGGTTCCTTTGAGCAATATATGATACTCGTACTTTCCTCGAAATGTACAGTTTGACGTATAATCCACGATTACCAGATATTGTAAGGGAATATCATCAAATGTTTTATAACCTTATTGGCTCACACTGGTAACACCAATAACAACCGTTGTTGGGAATTGCTTGTTTCTTGTCGCCTGAGTACGTAGAAATACAATAAACTGTCCTATACATGCATTACTTTTGTTAAATTTCGAATTATAAACGGAACTTACAGATGCAAATACTGGAATCACCTGAGCAAGGTCATCGGGTAAAGATCGAGCCGACCATTGGGGAGGAAGGTCAGATAGAGAGTGCAACACTGAAATCGCCCGAATGCTTCACAGCCATTCAACATAAGCAACGGAAAATCTATATGTAACATCTGCCTTGTAAAATAAGCATTATAAGCGCAATTAGATCATATTGCTTCAATCCACAGTGAACATATTTTTATCGTTTACTTCTAAATATTAATGATTTAGAATTATAGACGTTATTATATCTATAAACGCTTTGCTGGATGAAATACTTCGTGTACATTTTTTGCTGCTCTGATTCGTCTTTTAGAATGTAAACTTGTACTCTTAGTATATCGTGGCCTATTTCTACCATGTTATTTCGACTTCTTTTGTTAACAACTCGACTTTTTCTGTTTATGAACATTCAAATGTACAACTTGTATGCTGACCAACAAAAATCAGACTGTGTACAGGAATACGATAAAAAGATTTCACGAAATAAAATTGTGTTCAGTACTTCTAAGATGTAATGAGGAAAAACTACTAGGATAGAAATCAAACTAAAATTCAGGAATTCTTCCTCCTGCAATATTTTACATTCACTTTTAAAAGCAGCTCACATTGGTGCTGTTGTTAACTTTCTTGATATGACTGTTTACAAAGGAAAAAGATTCCCAACTTTTCGTATATTAAAACTGCTTAGAGCTTCCAGTACATGTGAACCTATACAGGCAAAGTGAGCACGAAACACAAGTTTTCAATTACCGAGATAAAGAAGAATACGTTTAGAGAAAAAATTGATGCATTCCAAATTACCGTAAAGGTCATTTCCAATAAGATGAGGACAAAATAATCCGAAATTGAAGATTTGCTTGATTCTAAACCTATGAGTAGGTCTGAGCTTCTTAGAAATAGATGAAGATGAGAAAAAAATTTAAGGTCTCACCCAACCTTATTATATTGTCACAAAATTTCATCAATGGACTGTTTCTCAGTTTAAAATTTAACTCAAAATTTGTACATACAAACTAGAAAACTGAACAGGTTGCTGTCAATCATTTCGATATATAAAATATTCAGTTTTCCCGGGTGTAAATGGGTGAAGTTTCCTTGTGAATTGGAGCTATACAGAAACAGAATTAATTTATTTATCGAAATGAAAGCAATTTCTTGAGTGTTTAAACTGTATTCTTAACGTCTGTGAAGACTCTTCTTTGATAAAACTGTGTATGTTAATGTTTCAATAGAAAAATCTTAATGAAAAAGTATAAGAAACTAGTTTCCAAAAAACGGTATTCATGGTATTAAATTACTAAATGGATTCACCATACAAGTTCTGCGATGCAAGCACACATAAAGCTCCCCTAAGATTAAGATTGTCCCAGGACAAAAAAAATTGATTATGTATCTAATATTCAGTTCAATGTTCTTTGGAGCAGCATGAAAATTAATATTTTTAAATGGTAACCCATTAATCTGAATAGAGCATAGTAAATAATGTATGTTTAAAATGAAACAATTTGTTTTTATATCGCAAAAAAAGAGATCTAAGCTGTCACTAAAAATTCAGGGCATCGTTTCAGTGTGCCAGCCTAGTTTTAAACCATAATAGTACCGTTCTCCAAAGAGAACCTATTGAGGGTTAAAACTGGATTTCATCTGATGAGCTGAAAACCAGACGATCCTTTGGATTGAATTACTATGGTTAATCATAATGTTTCTCTGTTTAAGATGTTTATTTCTGGTGATAGTCCTCTCGACTGCTATTTCCGAGAATAATTTCTGAAGATGCTTTTACTAAATAGTACCGTAACCTAATGTGGATGACAAGAACAATGTTTTTTTTCGCTTGGGTTCAATTCCCCAAAATTCCTTAGCCTTTTTTTTTTTTACCATAGGATGATTTCTGCCGGGAGAATATCTCCGCAAAATTTTTTTTCTGTCATAATTTGATACCTCCAATACTGAGTTTAAATTGTAACGGAGACCGTTACAGATGTTCCCCAAACGCACCCCCTACTCCCTTTGGGGCCTAAATGCTTCAACAAATTAAGCAAAACTTTTGTATTATAGTCTTTAACAACTCATTTTCAAAAGTAGTTTGAAGAAATAACAATGCAAATAGAGCACAGTGAGCATAAGCAAATCAGTTCTATATAAGTACACGTGCAAGCAAATGATTTCCAAAATTACCATATACACGTACAAAATCTAATAGAATGCCACAATAAAAAGCTCCAATTTAAATTTTAAAAAAACAGTAAATATAGAAAGTTACTGCAACATGAATATTAATCAGATATCAGGGCACGTGCATGCATGTCCTCATATCCATTTCTGATGATTGAATAATGTAGGAACTTGCATAATTTATATATATTCTGAATTTCATCCTTTTTTGTTAACAATTAAAAACGTTATAAATACTAACAACCTTAGCCAATCGGATTTTAATAAAAGTACTTGCGCGTATTTTCTAGATTTCTCACATATATATTCTTATAGTGCCTTATAACATATATAAATTTCAAAGAATTTTGTCAAAAATCAAGGAAGATATTGAGATTTTTGCTTAAATCTGTTAGAGAGAGGCATATGACTGTATATCCTATATGACAAAGAAATGACTGGATGTTCTGCAACAGGCAAGATATCTGGTTATCTCTCTTTGCCAATAGTTAGGACTCTAGCCCGCCACCCCAGCCCCCCTGCTGAAATAACACATCACAGACAGATGGCACACAGCAAGACAGAAAGAGGTGATTACAGTAAGGCACCAGAAAATCCTTGCAGGGACCATATAAAGGAATGGGGAAATGAAAAATTTGACCCTGATAACAACCTTACAAAAATGATACCCCCCCCCCCCCCAAACACACATACACAGGCACAGTTCAGCTTGATTTTCCAAAAGTCTTATACCTAAGTGAAATCTTACAAAATACTTAAAGCATTTTCTTTAAAAAGACAAAAGCATGAGTTCCTAGTTTATTACACCATTCATTTTACAGACTCGTCCCTAGTAATGTTCCATTGATTACATAATCATGTTCACACTTTGTACACTAAATATCCACGAACTCCCTCAAAAACAACAGTCTGCGAAAAATTACAATATTTTAAAAAGACATAAATTAATATTTAAAAATTCATCTAAAAAATACTTTTTTTTTTTTTTTACAATATTGATAGTAATGCTTAAAATCAGAGATATTCAAGTCCATCAATTAAAACTGAAATGATGTGAAAATTTACACCTCTTCTTAAACATGCTCTAAGTAAAGTAATGTATCCAAACCTTCACAGTTATTCAAACATATTAGGTGTTATAGGTACTATGAGACATCCAAATTTTAAGGCTCTAGCTAAAATTCAAAAATTACAACATCAATCACTGTTGAAGTGTATCAAGGAGTGACATACATATACACATATTCTCAAGAATAAGCATTATTTAGCCCATCAAATTGTATGTTAGTGTCTTATCTCCCCAAGAGAGTTACTTTCTAAAATAATAAATAAATGAACTATAAGCTCATAAAAACAGAAATTCATTTGGTAAATTTGCCAGGTTTGATGTAAATTCAATTTCTTTCAATATACATGTAGTTTCCATCTTAAATTTTGTACAGTCATGTACTTCACTCTGTAAGTTATCGAACAGCTCAAAACTACAGTGTATTACAATTCATGAGACTTCCCCAGATTCTCAAGCACTTTTTTAAATGATGAAGTAATTGGTACATACAACATACAGTTGTATTTAGGTGTGGTTGTATTAATGAATAATGTTAAATTCTGAGAGAGAGAGAGAGAGAGAGAGAGAGAGAGAGAGAATGGGAACATACAGAGAAAGCCAATACACAGTATAGTGTAATCCAACTACAAAGTGGCTAAAGCTCCATAAAATACATTCATCTTCTATCATTTCAACAGACTTCCAAATCATATACTTCATCTACAACAATGAAAATTAAAAATATTTCTTTACATTTTATATACCATGGAAGAGAAATATTCAAATAAAAAAAAAAAATAGATTCACAAATCACAATCAATCACTCCAAGGGTCCAAAGAAGCTAGTGCTACTGTTATTCCTGGCACTAGTGCTGAACAGTTTTCTTCTCTTTTTGACCCCTCCTTCCAGGAGGTTGGCACTGTCATTAGATTCTGCTCTTTTGGTTTTAACAGCAGATGGTACCACAAATTCATCTGAACTGCGATTTCCCTCATTGAAGCTGATTAGATCTTTTAGAGGATTCTTATGAGTGTTGTCCTTGGCACTCGTCTCTAGATTATATGTACTGTTCAGTGTAGCCTGTGGATCTCCTTCTTCATTCTACAAAACAAAATAAAACTAATTACATATTAATTTACTAATCAAAAAAAACCCCAGTATGACCATATGCCATATGGTTTGTACAAAAATCAAACTTGAGTATCATTACTCTGAAATTAAAAGAAAAAGGCAGAACATCAGCTCTACAGCAACATTTCTAAATAAAATCTTAACCATATCTCATTTCATAACCAGTATGACCATATGCCATATGGTTTGTACAAAAATCAAACTTGAGTATCATTACTCTGAAATTAAAAAAGGCAGAACATCAGCTCTACAGCAACATTTCTATTAAAATAAAATCTTAACCATATCTCAATTCATAACCTCTAAAACCCATCTTTCCTTACTACTGTATGTCACCTTAGTGTCTATTACACTTACATTTTCCTGATCAGAGGTTGTATCCCTGTTTTTACACTTGCTGACATCACACCCACATCCACTGGTACATACATTGTCCTTTTTCTTACAGGAACACATTCGACTACTGCAGTTAGTCTTACACTTACAAATCAGTGCAGACGAACTGGATTTCTGATGGCAAGAAAAAAGTTTCCAATACAAATACAAGTATTTATGCTTAATGTTTAAATATCATAGAATAAATGTCAATAATTACTTTTTTGTAATTTTTATAATATACAGTAAATGTATTATGTAAATATTTCAAAAATCGTAACATCAAATATATTATACATGCATCTATTAAGGCTATTAACCATTTATCAAGTACAGTTGACCATGGTACTACCAATATTAAGCAAAAGCTTATTAACTCTGAATTTTACTTATTTTCTTCTTAGTATAATATCCCTTTTACCTTGCTCACTTGTGAGGTCTCCATTGCTGATTTGTCATTGGTCGACTTGTCATTGATTGAAGCATTTTCTCCACCAATGGTCTTCCTGCTAGCCATTTTCCTCTTATACATTGGTGTAGCTCTCCAGTCCTCATCACTTGAGTCATCTTCCGTGAGGAAACTCTCCTCTTCTGTCTCCTCCCAATCCTCCTCAACCTCCTCCTCTTCAGACTTCTTCTTTTTCTTTATCTAAAAAGAAAGAAAACATCAAAATACATAGAAATCATTTCTTTTAACTGTCCTCTCAACAAACAATTGTTTGCGTTTTCTGAAATAGCTGTGGAGAGCTTACAGACAAAAACAGAACTGAAACAATAATGCTGAATTACTGAAATAATGTAATATCATGAATATTACTACCTTTGGTTTTGGAGTAGGTGACAGAAATGGTGATGCCTTGGGATCATCAATACTGGGCAGAAGGGCCATTCTTTTGTTCTGATACATCGCTCTGGTCATTTGCTAAATTACAAATGTCAAAAAAATTCTTTGTGAAATATACTGTAATGCAAGAGATACATGGTCTACCAGTAAATTAAAATATTAAAAACGTGAGTTCTCTACTGACCTTTTTCAGTTCCTCACACTCCTCTGATTTTTTATTTAATTCTTCCTCTAAGGAGCTCAGTCTTTCAATTTCCCCCTCCTGCAATCAAATAATGAACTCAGCATTACAAAGAGGTAAGCATTAACATCAAATGTAGCCTTCAAGGATAAGCATTTTGAGAGTATTGCATCAGTGACACTAGTCCCAGGATTTCCATTGTATATTCACACCTCCAGCACTGTAGAACATCATTCTCATTTTTCCCCCTTTACATGAAAAGGGAAGTCAAATAAAATAGCTAGACAAATCCCTGGTTTGTATTACCTGAAATTTTAGGCGTTCCTTCAGATCCTCATCTGCAGATTCAACATTAACACTTCCTTTCATCTTGTTCAACAAGAAAAGCACCTATCAAACAGCAAAATACAATTGATATATGTATATCTTTATGCTACAATAACTTTATATCTTATGCTGTTCCTCATTATATCATGTAATGTTAAATAATAGTGGCACACAATATCAATACAAAAGTTCTAACAAAATTCCGGATCTATTAATCATGTAAAGTGTGAATGCATTTAAGGGACTCGTAAGTTTGGGTAATAATTACCGAGATACTCTCTTTACATTACCTTCTCCTCTTGCTGTTTCTGTAGTGCTGTGATCTTTTTCTCGTGTTTATTTGACTGGTCAGACAGTTCCTTTTCTAACCTTTCTATCTCCTCCTTCAGGTCATTGTCATCATACTCGGAATCCTTAAGTTTCCCCTGCGTCCTTGTCAAGTCTGTTTTAGAAGACACTGCCTGTTCCATCAGCCATTTCAGAGCACATTTAGCCTCTACCATTGTGTGCAATGTGTCCCAGGATATCTTGCCCTTGATATCTACAAATATGATGTGTAAATTTAATTGGCATTCTGAGAGTGTTGCCATAGCCATAATGCCCCTACTAAAAGAACTGTTGTAAAAGCTTTCTTAATATTAATGAACATGTATTATTGAAGAAAGTTCAAGCAAAGATAACTTTTAATCTCTGCTAACAGATTACAGATCTCTGCTAAGAAAGTTCAAGCAAAGATAACTTTTAATCTCTGCTATTATGCGAGAGTCACTCTCTTTACATTTTCCAAATTCAATAGAACAAACCTTGGTCAGCATCCACAATTTTCTGTTGTAGCTCAGAAATCTGAGCATTTCTCAACACCATCTCTCCCTCCAGAACTTTCAACTCCTTGTTCATCTTATCCACTTCAAAGCTGACCTCTGTCTTGTCACCATTTTCTGCTAACCAGGCGAGTTTTTTGATTGGTGGACCATCTGTCTCATCCTCCAGCCTCTCCTTCAGCTCTTTGATTTGTTTGGCTATTTCCTTCCTGTCATTTAGTAAGCTCTCCAGATGATACTTGGCTTCTCGAATGCTGATTCTAACCTCTAATTCATGACTTAGCCAGGACTGTGCAAGAAATTCAAAAGACTCAGATTCATAAGTAACATTTTGTGTCCAAGTATATGAATTGTACATCACTGCAATACTGTAAGACAAATTTACTTCCATGGGGTCATATTTCTGTGGATTTGCATTTTCTACTTAGTCCACAGGTACAAAATTCCATGGCATTGTGTCCATCTATAAGACTGTAAAATGCAGTATGGATATCATGCCTCTAGTTAAATGTTTTATTATCTCCAACCAAATTGTTAAATGCCCTCTTAAGAAAGTTCATGGTAAGCTCACATTTTCTCAGTTTATTCATCATTCAAAAATTTTATCAATACATTTTATTGTGTGTACTTTTTTAGAAAATTATATGCACTGCCATGGCACAAGATACGCCCATCAAATATTGTTTAATTATTATAAACAGAAGAGAGTACATGGATGAAAAACATGTCAGCCTTGGTTTGAAGATTTCAATGATTTTTTTTCCAATTCCTAATGTCTGATGTGCATCTCCTATGCTGTAGTTATTCATTAGAACAAACAGTACACTATATATTTCTCAACTGGTTGTGTTACAGTTACATAAATGCCCAATCTGCAGCTTTGTTCATTGTATTTTTTTTATGAAAGATGAACAATGCCTGATAAAACATCAAAATACCGTAAGTTTTGGAAGATAGGACGATACTTTTTCCTCAGAACCGCTGGGGTCGTCCTATTTAACGAATCGACCTATCTAAGGCCCAAGTTTACGAAAAATGCCCCCAAATCAGTTAAATTTACGTCAATTTTAAAGCAAATCTGTGCCATTTTCGTATTTTTTAAAATTACTTTACCGAGAAAAAAAATAATAAACAATAAAGAATTAAATATTTATTCCATTGATTTCTTACAAAATAAGTTCCATTAAATATCCGTTGATGTACAAAAAAACTTATTTTATGATCAATAATGTCTCAAAGTATATTTACAACATGCGACTTCCATCTTCATGATCTTGTGAAGTGGAAGTCGCAATCGTTTACTAAAAATAAAACCGCAACCGTATCAAAGTTTAAAATACGGAGGAGTTTTCACAATCGCAATTGTATTTTTTTTTTTAACCATTTATTTGTAACGATTAATTGAAATAGTATACCTAAATATTTTTTCATTGTCATATGATATTTATTTAAATGTAAAATGTGTGAAATAAATTGTTGCCAGTAAATTCCTAAAATTATTTACTAAATATACCGCTAGTCATAACTATTTTGTTTTATATCCCAAGGGGTAAACCGAATTATACAAAGATTGGCTTCTAATAGAATTCTAATTGTCTGACAGATAGAGGGATATACACTGTGTACACAAAGGTGTTAACACCTGTTGGTTTAAACACCTGCGGGGCATGATTAACAAATCCACGTGCCGTTACAGGGGTATTAGTGCTATACATCACTGAACAAACAAAACTGTGAAATTTCTGATGACTGTTAAATTGCGAATGTACTCTCAATTAATTTATTTTTTACAACAATATCTCAAGCGAAATTATAGCATGTTAATATGATTAATTTCAATTGCTCACTGTTACATGTAATAGTCATTTGCGTGTTTTAGCAAATCCCTGGACAAGAACTATAAAAATGGCGGTCATCGCACTTAATATTGTACCCCGGTAAATAATGTCGGAATAAAAGAATGTGTCCACGATGTTCTAAACTGGAAATGATTATTGTTTGATTTCGGGTATTTCCCTAATTATAGCTGTTGTATACTACCGTATTTATGTGTTTGACGACAGAGTCAAACAACGACGGCGTTGAACAGGCAAGTTGGAGAAAATGCGTTATATCACAATTCAAGGAAGTTTTAACTATGTTTGTATAAAACACTTGTCTATTAAAATGCTCTACTCATAAAAATACCAGTTTATTTTCTCAATACCTTAATATCACGGGTTAAGTTAAAGACCTTTACATGTTCTGATACGTAGTATCCACGTAAGAATCTCTAGAAAGTCGATAAACAAAGCCTCGTCCTATCTTCCAAATCGTCCTATCTAAGGATTTTTTAAAAATTACGGCTGAAAATGAGCCTTTCGACCTATATACCCCATCGACATATACCCCAAAACTTACGGTACTGATAATTACATCAATTATTAGGCTATAAACTTAACTGCAACAAACTGTCATCTCCATGAGACATGGCTCTGCAATTTTTTTGCCGAGATGTAAAAATTAAATAAAAATATCATATTATACATTATCAAATTAATTTTGATAACTTTATACCACATTAGTTTTGAAAATAAAGGCTAGTCATCATCAAGAACTATTCTAATGTGACAGATGCTATTAATTGCAGTTAAGAGGCCAGATTCCTCTGCTCAATTCCCCATAGATATAGTTAACACCTGCTTGATCAGAGACACACACAGAAATGATTAAGACAGTCTTCTTACATGTTGAAACACCATGGCTTACTCCCATGGAACAAGTGGAATTTCTCTTGTTGTTGTTAGAAACAAAAGAAATATATTTTAGCATTAAATTAATAAATAAGTCATTCAAGTATCAGGGTTTTAAACTAACCTGTAATCCTTGATAGCCATGTGGGCTACTGAACCTTGCAATTCTGGGGCCCACATCAAAATTTATTCGCCCACAGTTTATCACACCTTCTACTGAATATAAAAAATACCTCCTCCCCCCCCCCATTTTTCGTTTTTTTTTTTATCATGTGCTTCATGTTTCTTTTCTATCCGTTGTAACATTATGCATGACTTATCTAAATTTGAAGTGGAACTCTTCTGTTTATGAAGATTGATATGATCATTCAATATCATATATAGAGCACATGGCATGTTTTCATTCACAAATAACAACATTACTTTTTCGTTTCTTGGGCTCATTGACCCGTCGATGCCACATTGTGCCCGACACAGTCACTTAGACACTTTATGTATAAGTACTTCTTATGGGTAATTGTATAGCACTTTACTGATTACGAAATTTTTCAAGATAAAAATACAAAACATTCGGACAAAATTGAAAAACAAATATTTATTATCGTAAATTTATCGTAAATTTTCTAATCGCCATGTGGGCAATTTGAACATAATTTTAAGTCGCCCACATGGAACATTAGTCGCAAATTGCGAGTGGCAGTTAATTTCAAACCCTGAGTATATTTATACAACCTGAACTCCCCATAAAGTATGCATATTAATCATCACATTATTAAGCAATGAAAATGTAATGCTACTAACTATAAAAATAAACTTTAAATCTGTTGAGATAAAATTTCACAGATTTTTATGACCATGAAGTTAATTAGTGTAAAAATGTCCCACATGGAAGAAAATATGTTTACAGTACACAATAATGTCTTCAAAAAAAAAAATCATAAACAGGAGGATTAAACAATGACATTTTTACATAAAAAATGTAAATGTATATACATGTACATACCCTGACTCTATTTCCTATGGAAGATGAATTGTAGGTCTCTAATTTATTTGCCCTTTCCTGTTGGATCTGCTTTTGTTTTGACAATGCCTCTTTTAACCTTCTGTTGGCTGCAGCGGCCTGAAATTTTGTTACAAGCTGGTATAAAATTCTTTTCAAGTGTTTCCTGCAATAAAACAATAATGTTCTCAAACACTGAATGCTCAAGTTTATGAATCATCCTGTTCCTCACCCTACCTCTTCACTTTTACGTTTCAGCACAGACTGTTGCCGTTCATTTTGACGCTGCAGCTTAGCAATCTCAAACTGTCTCTTCCTGTCTTTCTGCATCAGCTGAGCTACCTCCTTGTCTTTCTGTTGCTTAAACTTTCTAAAGTCATCAGATTCTTCCTTCATCCTCTTCATCAACTGCACCCGCTGATGTTTTAACCCCTGTCAAGAAAGGAAAGATTCCTAATTAATCATGAATAACGTCAGCTACTCTTAGATCTCAGCAATGAATTTTATAATTTTTATGAAATATTTTCACAATTTTATGAAATATATTTAAGCAAAGAGTCCTTTCTTTAGATATAGCCTTTCAAAGGTAGTTTTTTCTTGAATATTGCCAATTTCAGGTGTATTTTAATAACACCTGTGAAGAACATCTTATAAGTACATACATTTTTCCACATGGGATTAATGTACGCTATGTAGGCAGTCACAAATTTTCTGCTGAAATTTGTCACATCCTACTTAAAGTGGATTTAAGACAAATAATGGAAATCCAAGAAATCTACATAATTTCCTGACCACTGATTAAACAAAATTGTAGAATTATAACCCCCTGGAAAAATGCATGTTTACAGTACATTAAAAATGAAGTACATATAACCTATCTTCTTTTAAGGATTACCTTTACCTGAATTTCACCTCAAATTCTTCATCCATTTACATGTATCTCTCTGATCTCAGTCTAAGTATTTTTCTCAGATGTAAGACTACTTTGTCTGGTTTTTAAAACAATTTCTTCTTAAATCTTGATAACACTTCTACCAGTCTAGTATTTACCTGTATTTCACCCTGGAGATTGGAGACACTTTTGTCTCTCTGGTCTTTCATTTTTAACATTTTTTCCTGTTCTGTCATCTTTTTCCGTAGTTGAGAAATTTGCTGTTCCAATTCTTTTAGACGTAATCTCCTCTGCTCAGCAATTCTGACGACGTTCAAAGCAATAATTTATTTTTCTTAATTTGACAAATTGCAGCCTTTTTTTCCAAGAGCATTATTTATGATAAAACACAATTTCCTTTCCACTTAATGTGTTACATATAAAATAATAATATACAATCTTAGCCCCTCTCTTTAAACTGCATTGTCCAGGGGAGGGGCATGATTTGGACAAATCGGATATAAGATTCTTGCATAATACAAATGATAATTAAAAAAAATGGAACCCCATTTTCCTTGAGATTTTTCAAAGCTCTATTCCCAATATATTTTATGTAAACTTTGACCCCTTTCTTTCTTTCTGCTCTTGGACCATGATTAAAATAATCTTGCATCTTTTTTAATGAAACTTCAACTTAAGTTCTGTCATTTCTGGCTCAGTGGTTCTTGAGAGTAGGAATTAAGAAGACCCCAACTAATGCTCATGTTCTTAAATTTCTCCCTTTGGAAAGGGGGCATTTCCCTTACTTTGAAGAAATTGAATCCTCACATTTAAAGATGCTATGTGTCTGGTTGGTAAAAAGTCTGTTTGAAAATTACCCATTAATTATGATGAAGAAACCCAAAATTTGAAAGTTCCGATATCAAATGCCTGAATTCCGAGCATGTTTATATTTTATAATATTAATGTACCTGTTTGCATTTGCATTACTCTTAGCATCATCTAGAGCCTGTTGCATTTCTTCTTTTTGTTTTTGTGCTAAAGACAGTTGATGCTCCAGCTCTTTCATCTGGGACTGAAAAATAAATTATCACTCAGTTTTTTCAAAGTATGGTGATATTGTTATCCAGAGTAAATTTATCAAACATGTCAATATACAAATATATGGATTAAGGCAGGCTTATTTTTATGTGACTTGTACATTGTAAATGTTTTGTAAAGGAACTAATATCTATATAAAGAAATATCTTTTTTTAAAAAAAAAAATCTGTGCAAAATTGTTTTTGTGTTAATCACCAAGTTAACATTTAACACTTTATTCTCCCTCCCCCAGCTTTTCGAGACATAGTATCAATTGATTATCATCTGAAAACAATGTAACCCTTTATTTAAACAGATGTGTTTATCAAACCTACAGTACATTTACATACATGTATACATGATCTCATTTGTTTTTTTGTTTTTTTTGCATTAACTTTTACAAGACTTGGTACTGATATACATGTATTCTACACTACATATATTTTATTAACTTTCTTGTGATAACACTAAATTCAAGTCTCACTTCATGTTGTTCACGGATTGACTTCATCTGGTCATCATTTAACGTCATTTTTGTGGCCAGGGTTTCCTTTGTCTCCAATAATCTATTGAGCTCCTGAAGCTCCCTATTCATTTTCGCCTGGCGTAGAGTGAATTCTTTAGAGCGAGCTCGACTGTCTGGCGTTTCAGGAGGATTATCATTTTCATTTTCCTACAAAAAATATTCACTACTGAATTAAACTAGAAAACTGACCAGTTAGCAAGGGCCCTGCAGAGGGATAGAAATCTAAAGGTGAAGCTTAGATGAGAATTTGACTTATGTGAAAAATTTAAAAGGAAATTTAAAAATATATGAAGAATATGAGACAGCAACTGTATTCATAAAATTTGGACATATTTTCTAACAGACTGATGAGATTAGCCAACTTCCTTTGGAATTAATAATATTCTTCTACATGTATTTAATAAGGAAGTAAAAACATCATATATAATAATTCAATTAAATGTATATTCAAACCAGAATGAAGGATGCATTTCATAAAATGCCAGCCTCTGATGAATGCAAACATCACCCAGGATTGACCTTAACTTCAAAAAAGCATCACTTGCAAACAGAGTTGTTCATTAATCTTATTGTGACATATAAAGATAAGTATTCCCAGAGGATTAATTGTACTGCTGTCTCATCCTTTAATTCTAAGTTCACAACATCTTATTCTCAGTTTACAATAAGAACATATTCAGCAATGATAGAATGAGGCTATTATTACCATACCTATTATATTAATAGTTTCCTTGAATTTACACAAGGCAGCAACAAAAAACAAATATTTTTTTTACGCTACTTTTAAAAAAAAATTAATTCCCCATGAAAATTACATTTCAATAACATGTATTTTAACCATAATGAAGTATGGACATCATTAAAGCCCACCCTTCTGTGAATGCAAACATCATGCATCCATGACTGACATTATTTAACTCCAAAATACAGACTGAGGTGTTAATTAATCTTGATGTGACAGATAGAGATCAGGCTATGGATATTCTATAGCAGATGAGTTAATTAACCACAAGGGACTCATTACAGCTTTCATAGTTTACAAGAGGAACATTTTCAGAAGTTATCTCTCTTTGCCCATTCATTCTTACATAAAATTAGGAATCTACCCAACCACCCCTGCTCCAAACCAGATGATACACAGAATCAAAATTAATATCAAAATAAGTCTTACTGCCTATTCAACCAACATACCAAATTTGAACTTAATAGAACAACCATAAAGATTTTTCCTTAGTATTTCAATGTAAAACTTGGATTCCCTATTGTGGCCCCGCCCTACCCCCAGGGGTCAAGATTTGAATAGTTTAGAATTTACGCTGCCCCAGGATGCTTCTACAAAAGTCTTAGCTTTTCTGACCAAGTGGTTCTTGAGAAGAAGATTTTTTTCCTATATATTTCAATATAAACATTGGATTCCCTATTGTAGCTGCGCCCTGCCCCCAGGGGTCATGATTTTAACAATTTACAATCTACACTACCCAAAGATACTTGCGCATAAGTTTCAGCTTTTCTGGCCCAATGGTTCTTGAGAAGAAGATTTTTAAAGATTTTTTTCTATATATTTCAATGTAAAACTTGGATTCCCTATTGTGGCCCCTCCCTTCCCCCGGGGATCATGATTTTAACAATTTAGAATCTACAGTACCCCAGCATGCTTTCATAAGTTTCAGCTTTTCTGGCCAAGTGGTTCTTGAGAAAAAGATTTTTAAAGATTTTTTCTTAGTATTTCAATGTAAAACTTGGTTTTACTATTGTGGCCCCGCCCTTCCCCCGGGGGTCATGATTTTAACAATTTAGAATCTACACTACCCAAGGCTGCTTCCACATAAGTTTCAGCTTTTCTGGCAAAGTGGTTCTTGAGAAGATATCTATGTATTTCAATGTAAAACTTGGATTCCCTATTGTGGCCCAACCTATCCCCCAGGGGTTATGATTTTAACAATTTACAATCTACACTACCCCAGCATGCTTCCACATAAGTTTCAGCTTTTCTGGCCCAGTGGTTCTTGAGAAGAAGATTTTTAAAGATTTTTTCTATATATTTCAATGTAAAACTTGGATTCCCTATTGTGGCCCCGCCCTTCCCCCGGGGGTCATGATTTTAACAATTTAGAATCTACACTACCCCAGGATGCTTCCATGTAAGTTTCAGCTTTTCTGGCCCAGTGGTTCTTGAGAAGAAGATTTTTTAATGACACCACCCAATTTTTGTCTTTTCTTGATTATCTCCCCTTGTAAGGGGGTTTAACAATTTAAACTCCCCTTCACTCAAGGATGCTTTGTACCAAATTTGGTTAAAATTGGCTCAGTGGTTCTTGCGAAGAAGTTGAAAATGTGAAAAGTTTACAGACAGACGGATGGACAACAGGTGATCAGAAAAGCTCACCTGAGCTTTCAGCTCAGGTGAGCTAAACAGTTATTAGAAAAAAAAAACCCAAAAAATTTGCAGACGGAAGAATGACAGATGGACAGACAGACAGTGATTACTATAGGGCACCTGCAAATCCTTGTGGGGCCCTAATAATTTTTTACTTGTTCATCACTCAGTAAAATGCAATGACTTTTCATGCAGTTTTGAAGCTACAATGAGGCCTTAAAATCATCATTAATAAAATGTTTGAAAAAGTAAATGCAATATTTTTACATAAACATTCAACACAAATTAAATGTCTTTTAATAATGTACATATACCTCTTCCTCTTCTTCAACAATGGAAAGTGGACCCTCTTCTTGCTAAAATAAGAAAAACACAGTTAACAAAAACAGAAAAAATCCATATTTGGTTTAAAAAAAAAAACAAAAAAAAAGGAAAAATTCTGCCAAAAGAGTAGGAAATTTTTTAAAACTTTTTGTTGTTGTACATGTGCATGTGATAAAAGTTGTCAACAAATTGCAATATAAAACCAGAAATTTCTGAGAAATCCAGATGAAGTTCATGTCCGTACACAGATAAGTCATATTAATGAATCATTAATGAATCATTTGATTTTGTGCTATGTCTTGCATTGAATTAGCTTTGTAATTTTGGTGAGTGTTTCAACCTGTTTGGCCATATAAGTCTGTTGGTAAATCTAAAAGTGAAACAGGAGACATGTCTTCCAGTTCAGATTTTCATCCCCCCCCCCATGAATAACTAGTCTCCCTTGGAATTTAATTAAACAAGACATGTTTTAGAAACATATATTTGTATGTTTCTACATGTGGCAAAATTAAATAGGAGCAACTTTAATTTGGAATTGCTGTAATGATAGTGAAGAAAATGGGTTATCCTCAAAGGGCCTCATCAGGATTCTGGAAAGGGAAGTGCTTGTGAGGGTCTGGGAGGGACAACTTTCCTATGAGCCAGATTATTTTTATACATGGGTACCATTTCTGTTGGTTCTTCTACATTCTTGGTCATTTTTTTTCTCACATATTGAACAAACAAAATCTAGCTGCATTACTTTAAACTGATGAAAAATGAATTTATTTTGTTTCTAAAATATCGTTTTCTTAATTAAAAGGGGCATGATAACCCCCCTCCCACCCCTCCCCCATTATGATGGCCTTGCTTCAAGTCACAGTCAAACATAAAAACATAATAGAAAGTTTGATCTATCTCAGATCTGATATCATCTTGACCAAATAAAGTGCACTGCAACAGCACATGATACACCCATCAAATATTGTTTAATTATCATAAACAGATTAGAGTACCGGTACAAGGAAGAAAATCATGTCAATCTTGGTACAAACATTTCGATGATTTTCCATCCTAATGTTTGAAAGTGCCTTTCCTATTGTGTAGTAATTAATTAAAACAAATAATACATCATATATTTCTCAACTGGTTGTGTTAGAATTTTACATATGCCCATCTGCAGTTTTGTTCATTGTATACTTTATGAATAAGGCGATTTTTTTTTTAATTGGATTATGGATTTTTTATATTAACAAGAGGCCCAAGGGGCTTAACGGTCACCTGAGTATAATACAACAATTAAGAAGTTAAATACACTGATAGATGAAGCATTGTTGCCCTAAAGCAAGAGAAGTAGGAAGATCAGGATCAACAAAATAATTAGTCTAGTATTCAGTATCAACTCATAAATTAAGTTCTAATCTGTCCCCCACTTAACACTATCACCATGCAGACTATTAACAAACTATTAGTGCTTCTGTACTATTTTTAAACTCATATTAAGACCTCTAGTATTGACCTCTCTTATGGTCTTTGAAGAACTTTTAATAAGATAAGTTATTTTTGTCTCATTTTTATTTATCTATTACTTACAGGTCTACCTGATTAATAAAACTAAGAAAGTACTTTTTTAATTATACGATAAACATTCTTGCATAATTATCTTATTCTATTAACCTTTCAAATACGTTATTTACAGTGATTAATTATCAAAGATGAATGGAAAAGGGGAATAACTTCTCTCAGTAGAATACAAATTAATAGAGCCCTGCCCAGGACCAGAATGCTTAGACAAATGGTCCAGATGTTTAAAAATCTGGTAGAAATTACTCATATCATTTAAACTTTTACTCAGTTTGCTTCCGATATGCCCAGAAGCAGAGAAGAATTTCACAGGTACAATGCATTTTCACTACAGATTCAACAAAGCCTTACCCTAACACCAGAACCCAAGACCAAGGGTCAAGAAATTTACAAATTTGGAAGAGTTACCCTCATCATCATAACTATGGACTTCAAAGAATTAACACTTTTCCACTATATTATCAAAAGCCCCCCCCCCCCCCCTCGTTATGCCAGAACCCCTGACCCTAGGACCACAAGATTTAAAAATTCTGTATGAAGCTCCCATTTCCATCATAGCTAAGCAATTTATTTATCAGCTCAACACTAAGGAGCAGACAGGATTAATTAATGATTAATTAATAGAATTAATGCTTTTTCACTATATAATCAATAGAGCCCCCCCCCCCTCCTCAAGAACCCCAAAAACTGAGGCCATATATTTAAAAATTTTGGAAGAGGCATCCTTGTCTATCATAATCATGCACTTAGTTTGTTTAAATAATCTCCAGTAGCAGAGAAGAAGATTTTCAAAGAATCAATGCATTTTCACTATATAATCTATAGAGCCCCGCCCTAACACCAGAACCCCTGACCCTGGGGCCATGAAATTCATAATTTTTGAAAGGTCATACTTATGCATCATAACCATGCACTTAGTTTGTTTAAATAATACCCAGGAGCAGAGAAGAAGATTTTCAAAGAATTAAAGCATTTTCACTATATAATCAATAGAGCCCCACCCTAACACCAGAACCCCTGACCCAGGGGCCATGGCTTTCACAATTCTGGAAGAGGCCCACCTCCTCATCATAACTATGTACTTAGTTTATCACCTTAATGCCCAGGAGCAGAGAAGATTTTCAAAGAATTAATGCATTTTCACTATATAATCAATAGAGCCCCGTCCTAACACCAGAACCCCTGACCCTGGGGCCATGAATTTCACAATTTTGGAAAAGGCACTCTTGCTCATCATAACTATGTACTTAGTTCCTTTATTTAATACCCAGGAGCAGAGAAGAAGATTTTCAAGGAAATAATGCACTTTCACTATATGATCTATATAGCCCCACCCTGGGGCCACAACTCCTGACCCTGGGGCCATGAATTTCACAATTTTGGTAGAGGGCTCAATGCTTATTACAATGATGCCAACAGTTTGACTGCTTGATGTCCAGGAGTAAAGAAGAAGATTTTTAAAGATTGCATTATTTTTGGTGGTTTTAGCCCCACCCCTCAGGCCCCGGGGGGCAGGGACCATGAAATTCAAAATTTTTGTTCCCCTTCACCCATAGATGCTATATGCCAAATTTGGTTGAGATTGGTTGAGCGGTTCTAGAGAAAAAGTTAAAAATGTTCAAAAGTTAACGCACGACGACGGATGAAAACAGATAGCAATAGGTCACCTGAGTGACTCAGGTGACCTAAAAATTAGGTCGGTAGGTCGAAATAAAATTAAAAAAAAAACTTTCTGACATACTTTTAAAATAATCAAAAATAAAATAAGCCAATTGTTTTGTTTGATTTTCATTTAGTATTCAATGTACATATGCTTAAATTGATTCACAAACCGCCGTTAGACAAACTTTCCTGCTCAGTCATCATGGCACGTGTGACAGTGAAGTCACTCTCTACCATCGGCTCATACATTCACTGTCTGAGAGAGAAACAAATGACAACTCTCCAAGGGAGATTGCAGTGAAGTGTGTATTGCAAACCCGATCAATTTTAAAACCGAAACTACAAAAGTTAAGGTATCTTTTCGTGAATGAAACCAATTTTTGGTGTTCTTATCGATATTTTTCACAGTTTGCAGTCATCTGAATTTTTTTCTTTTGTATATCTTTTAATTTATGTCCGTCAGTAAAAAAACAAGAGGCCCATGGGCCACATAGCTCACCTGAGCACATTGGCTTGAATTTTAAACTACCTGATGATGCTTCCATGTCAATATAACAAATGGCTTTGTCGTACTTGAGAAGATTTTAAAAAAAATTTCCCATATATTCCTTTGTAAAAATTTGATCCCCCATTGTGGCTCCTCCCTACCCCCGGGGATCATGGTTTGAACAAACTTGAATCTACACTACCTGAGGATGCTTCCATATAAATATGACTCATCATGGCTTTGCTGTTCTTGAGAAGAAGATTTTTAAAGATTTTTCCTATATATTTCTATGTAAAACTTTGATCCTCCATTGTGGCCCCGCCCTACCCCCGGGGGTCATGGTTTGAACAAACTTGAATCTGCACTACCTGAGGATGCTTCCATATAAATATGACTCATCAGGGCTTTGCTGTTCTTGAGAAGAAGATTTTTAAAGATTTTTCCTATATATTTCTATGTAAAACTTTGATCCTCCATTGTGGCCCCGCCCTACCCCCGGGGGTCATGGTTTGAACAAACTTGAATCTACACTACCTGAGGATGCTTCCATATAAGTATGACTCATCAGGGCTTTGCTGTTCTTGAGAAGAAGATTTTTAAAGATTTTTCCTATATATTTCTATGTAAAACTTTGATCCTCCATTGTGGCCCCGCCCTACCCCCGGGGGTCATGGTTTGAACAAATTTGAATCTGCACTACCTGAGGATGCTTCCATATAAATATGACTCATCATGGCTTTGCTGTTCTTGAGAAGAAGATTTTTAAAGATTTTTCCTATATATTTCTATGTAAAACTTTGATCCTCCATTGTGGCCCCGCCCTACCCCTGGGGGTCATGGTTTGAACAAACTTATATCTACACTACTTGAGGATGCTTCCATATAAATATGACTCATCATGGCTTTGCTGTTCTTGAGAAGAAGATTTTTAAAGATTTTTCCTATATATTTCTATGTAAAACTTTGATCCTCCATTGTGGCCCCGCCCTACCCCCCGGGCTCATGATTTGAACAAACTTGAATCTACACTACCTAAGGATGCTTCCACATGAGTTTCATCTTTCCTGGCCCTATGGTTCTTGAGAAGAAGATTTTTAAATGATGCCATTATTTTTTCACTAATTCCTAATTATCTCCCCTTGGAAGAGGGCATGGCCCTTCATTTGAACAAACTTGAATCCCCTTTACCCAAGGATACTTTGTGGCAAGTTTGGTTGATATTGGCCCAGTGGTTCTTGAGAAGAAGTCGAAAATGTGAAAAGTTTACAGACAGACGGACAGACAGACGGACAGACAGACGGACAGACAGACGGACGCCGGACAAAATGTGATCAGAAAAGCTCACTTGAGCTTTCAGCTCAGGTGAGCTAAAAATTTGGAAAAGTGCATTTTATTTTTTTTCTACAAGTCAAAAAAATTCAGTCGGCGGATCCGTAATCCAACTAATAAAAAAACCTTTGCCTAATGAACAATGCTAGAGCCTTATAAAACATCAAAACACATACATGTATATCATTATTTTTATTCTTTGACTGTAAGACTGTCATCTTAGTGAGACATGACACTCTGCAATTTGTTGTTGGGATACAAAAATTAAAATATTATATTATACAATATCAAATTCATGTCAATATCTTTTTGCTAATAAAATTAATTTTGAAATTTTATCATGTTTATATGGCTAGCTGATTTTGAATAAGAACTACATGTATTTTAATTTGACAGATACCAACCATTGCAATTATGAGACCAGAATCCTTACCATGAATATTCTTAAAATTCAATGACAACAACATTCTTCATAACATCATGTCAAACATCTGTGTTTGTAAGCTGGGTGCTAGCTTGGATATTGTTATTAATGTTTACATTTTACCATGTGTGTTCAATCTGTTTACTCTGCACATCACTGAGCATGGACTGACAATACTGATGCGTTTGTTTTGCTTTCTTACGTTTTTATTCTGAATTTTTGGATTATAGTTTTAATATTTTTCATTAATACACCAAAAAACTTCTACTCATCTCAAGTATTAAAGATAAAATTTACTTCGAGAAAGTGAAAGGATATGTGTCACTTAAGAATTTCCAGATAAAAAAAGTTTCTATTAAACCAATTTTTTTATTATGTTTTCGTGTGAAATGCTCTAGCAAAATATAAGTTGTGATATTGTATGAAAATTTTAGATAATATTAACTTCAAATCTGTGTCCAAACCCCTTTACTTTATCTATTGAACAGTTCTTTGAAACTGAGCTAAGTGCAAAGTATGACAGACAAATGGAAGGACAGGACAGAAGAGGAACATGACAAACACTAAAAGCTTTGGTTAATATTATTCATGGCAGGGCACAGAAATATCAAATATGAAAATATTAAATAGTTTCAGATCTAACATGTCTAAACTCCAGAAAAATATGTCTACAGACAAATGGACATGGTGATTCCAATTATATTAACTTCAAATCCCCACTAAACTTTGTTTGTGGGGGTATAAAGTAAAATTCTTTTAAAATAAAAATGCAGTGTGTAAATGATATACCTCCTCTTGATGTATGCTGACTGTCAATGTTCGTATTCTCTCTATCTGTTCTTTTGCCTCTGGGTTTTGCTCTGCATTGATACTGGTACCAAGAACTTCAAGATCTATCCTGTAAAGTAACAGCTTTACATGTCAAAGAATTACTGTTGTCCAAATAAAGTCAAAAGGCTAAACTGAAGTCACATAAAAATACAAACATTTAAATAATCATTTCTTTCCTTCGACCTTGGATAAAGTGACCTCAAAATCTGTTGGTGTCTTCCTCTGCCCAACCAGTACAGTTAAAAATAATGAACACTTGCTGGTAAAATTTACTACAAAATTAGGACTTAAGAGAAAGAAGAGAGTTTGGCTTACTTTGTGTCTGACTTGAGCTTGTCTAGCTTGGTCTTTAGTTTCTCACACTTCAGCTCCAGCCTGATAGCCTTCTCACACATGTTGGTGCTTTGATCCACAGCTCTCTGCAGCTCACGAGAAAGCTTGTTGTTCTCTTCCTGGATGGAAAGGTATATACCGGTACACGTACAATATGGATGACAATAAATATTTGAATATTCGTTTGAAGATGATATTCAAACATGAATTAAAAGATTTGAATATTGATTTTTTTTTTTTTTTTTTTAGATTTTATCAAAAAGAGATAGCTATGATTAATTTCAATTCAAACAGTGCTGGAATGATTCCTATTTTATGTTACACCAATTAATTTCAATCATCTGATTTCTTACACTTCTTTCTGATCTTATAGATCTAGAAAATTTTGTTTCAAGTTGGTGTTGCAGAAGAAAAATGTTATCCCCTTGCAATCAAATCTTTGGTGATGTATTTAGAGGGTTAGTACCAGATAACTGGATACTTAGTGACGTGTACTCAGTGTTTTACAGTGTTATATCTAAGAGAGGGGTTTTCTGAGATTTTGAAGTAGGTGGTACCTGGGTAGAAGTTCCCCATCTTTAAATACAATCAGATCTAAAATCAATGACAACAAAATGAAACCCTACTTAGGCTGTCTAAAAGATGTAAAGAATGTATCTATCAAAATAAATTTCATTGATCCATAAATTACATGTATAATCGGATCAGTCTGTAATGTTGTAAGGACTCTATTTCAGAATGTGTGAATAAATTGATTATCTCAGGTCACACATGTTCCCAAGTTTGAAAATCATTGGGAAATTACTGAGTAGTTTTAACATTACTGTATGCAGGGAAATTTTCGTCCCTGCTTTATTTTCGCTCCTTTCACCCTTGTCACAAGTGGGAGAATTTAAAACGGGTCAAATTCAAGGTAATCAGCATATATTTTCTAACAAATACTGTGCCTGGGCAAATTTAAAACAGTGAAATTGTTTGAAAGTGTAAAAGGGTGAAAATAACCCTGTATACAGTAATTATAATCTTTGATACATTGTTTTGAAAATATAAACAAACTCTTCCATAGACAATTTTCTTAATTACTTAAAATTTATAATATGTTGACGGTGCGACCGTTAGGGCAAGCGCAGATACCTTTCAGTTTTAATTTAGATCGGACTCGTCAAACCGCACGTGACATTTGCTACGTCTAGACTCTGACGTCATAGACGTCGTATGTATGTTGCATTACCAAAACGAAGTCTGAACAGTGCTATTTTTAATCAAAAACTTTTAATCTACTATCTGTCTGCTATATATCCATTAAATCAAGGTGATTTTATATTTTGTTGAATTTTTGTTGCTACCGCGAGAACGTGGTTTGCGGCGAGATGCAATTCGCTAAGCATTATGGGACCACTGGTAACTGCGGAAAAAAATTCACTTGGATCAATGTGCAAAGTCCGAATTTTCTCTTCGCCCAGGCGTTGCTTTAAGAGCTCGCAGTGACGAGCGGCGCTTTGCGCCGCTCGCTGTGCTCACTATTAGGTAACTACAGTATTTATCAGTTCATTTTGGGCTAATTTTAAAATGACATTGACTAAAAATCATTACCAAAAATTCAGGTACTGTAAACGTGGTTATTTTGACGAGTTCAAAAATTGACGATTTTTTGTTTACGAAAATTGACGAGTGTTAATTTTGACGAAATATTGAATCAAGAGTTATGTGTCTTTGATTTCACAAGATTAAAACAAAAATGAATACAAAGAACTCCTAAAAAAAAAACTGGGACTCAGAGCAAGTTCGCCAGAAACTAGAGAACCAAAAACTTGATGGAAACATTGGCTTAGTTGACTTGAGAATGTCTACGATTGGGCTGCTCTATACGAAATTGGTCCTGAAAGTTCACGATGTTTTAAGCAAGGACCGCGACTTCTTTGGGAATTCATTTAAAAGCATTCTCATCAGTAGAATTTAATCTTGCTTGTAAAAACCATCTACAGTGTGTAAGATTTGATTGAGTTAATTGCTCTTTTTGTTTTCATTATACGAGACCGATTGCCTGAGGTGACAAAGTAGGTCAAACACAGCGTGATAATTACGCAGTTAGAATGTTGTGACCGTGGTTAATAATAGTATATGACATACTCAATGGTTTTTAAAACTGTGATTATATGTTTCCATAACTATTTACAAAAAAATAAACAGTAACTTTGATCTAGTTTTAATGGGGGAAGCCGAGGAAATTAAGGTCAAGATCTAGTAAATGACTATAGACCGTCTTTTCGGTGCTAGATCCATTATGACGTCATAATCAATTTAAACTTTCCTTTTCCCGTACTTCACAGCTCCAATAGAATTATGTAGAAAATAAAGTATTTTCATGGCATTCAATTTGAAATCCTGTGAAAAGTAATCCCGATACCTATATTCAATTTTACATTATTTTAAAGAAGAGGCTAAGAACATACAAATTACCGTTTTCTGAGAGACTGTAGGCAATCTGAATACATTTCCTTCGTCTGATATGGAAAAAACTCCCATATTCATGACTCGCTTTCTTAATTTTTCATTGAAAATGACTGTGTACAAGATGGTTTTTTGTCTTGTTTTCTTGCAAATTATGCCCCGATACACCTTATTTGACCGAGCTATAGTTATAAAGCATCATAAAAGGAATTTATTTCTCAAGTTTGAGAAATCTGTAGGCTCTTTTCATTTACTAGATCTTGACCTTAAGTGGTAAAGTTGTACATCGGTCAATGTCTGTTGTGACGCTATATATATTATGCGAGGTTTGACGAGTGGAAATTTTGAAGAGAAAAGAAAAATCGTCAATATAGTCAAAATTAGCACGTCAAAATTTCCACGTTTACAGTAATTGACAGTGCATTTTTTTTGTTTATTTACACTGTAAGTATTGAAAATCTTTGTTTTTTTTCATTTACTAGCAGAAAATAATATTTCTGATATATTTTTAGGTCAGCAAGTAGATTCTGTGGCAGCAATAAATTTGTGCTAGTAAATGCATTTCTCCACCGGCATTAACTTGTGTCCAAACAAGTTTCATCATAACACACACAAGTACTTAGCAAATGTTTACATAACTATCAGTCAAACTGATAATTTCTTTCAAATATTATAAAGCTTATAATACCTCCAACTGTTTGTTTTTCTCAACAATAGATTTGAGATCTTCAGATGAAGATGAGGAAGATGTTGTGTCAATACTCCTATAAAAATAAAAAAAACTCAATAAAACAACATTACAGTAAGCAATTCAAGCAAAAATGATTTAAGGCTACAGAAAGAATCACAGTTAATGTCTTTTCTTTTTTCTCTCTTTTCTTTGGGGGGGGGGGTTATTTTATGGGAATTGTTACTTCTTCTTTATTTGGAGGATGTGAATAGATGTTTTATTTATGTTTTATTCATATCACAAATAAATCAAATCTTTCCCACTTTAGTATTTAATAGAATTTATATGTAGCTCAAAACTGTCTTGGTAATGAGTAAAATCATCTGTCCTTACCATCTAGATGAGGAGAAACCCAACTATCTCCCCTTAATTAACATGATTAACCCCCATCCCAACACAAATAATTTTTAACTGGAATGGCTATATCTGTAAAAACACAAAATATTTTTTCGATTACATGTATATTTTTCATGTGAATTTAATAATTCACTGTCACTTTAAAATACATTAAGTCATTTTGGGGCAAATAATGAATTGATTTCCTTTCCTACCTCCCAGAAAACCAAAATGGTGAGTTGCCAAAAGGAAATATTTTCATTTTTTTTTAATTCAGAGCATATAATGTGAGGTTTTAAAACACTTACATTAATGATACTCCTCCACCAGTATTGACTAGTTGTACTTGGAGCTGTTGCACCTGTGAAATAAAGAGGAGATACAATTCATTTATATTTACATACAATATTTAAACACATTCTAACAAATGTTGAAAGATCCCCCCACCCATTGAATTAGGACTATCAAAGTCATTAAGGAATATGTGCATTTGTTTCAAAAACTAATAGATGTTGTCTTTCTACCAAAGATCATTTTCCAATTCCATCTACAGTTGAACTTTGGTATCTCGAACACTGATATATCAAATACCATGGATACGTTGAAGTGATTTGGAGGTCCCAACTACTTATTCTTTTAAGTTCTTTTTACCCTTGATATCTTGAATCCTCTGCTATCTCGAAATTTTATCTCAGTCCCATCGAGTTTGAGATAGCGAGGTTTGACTGTATATCAGATATATTTTGCAAATTACCATATAACTACACATAAATCTAAGATACTCACCAGCTGTTTAAGGCGATAAATTTCAGCAGCCTGGGGGTCTCTGTTAATGACAGGTTTATTCTTGATTTTCCTTGCCCGGTCAGCATACCTTAATGTATTTAAGGTCTCCTCCATGTTAGAGTCAGCAGGGCTTACACAGGCAATCATTAGTGTATAACTATTTCCTCCCAAAGAGTCTAGCAAGACAGTTATATCATAATATTTCAGATTTAAAGATATACATGTATTTTATACAGATATACATGTACTTAATACACACATAGAGTAAGATGAAAAGTGATAAGGTACATGTATGTACATGTACATTAAAAATATTGAAAAATGTTTTTGAAAAATGAATCTCTATACATCTTTGAGTAAAAACAAAAAATGTTATATTTTCACTATATTTATCACAGAGCAATTTTCATAAAAAAAATTTAATAGCTTGTATAAAACAGAAGAATTATAGTTCTTTACGTTCATCATCTTTACATATGTACACTGATTAGAAATACTATGATGCTGATATATACTAGAGGTGGGACAATATACCGACTATGTTTATTAGAGTTTTAAGATTTATCATAATATTGAGATACATGTATTATATCATATGTATTGAGATACTTATCGTATCACAAGTCCTGTGTATTGTCCCACCCCTAATATATACTTTTAATACTAATATGTATACCTTGCAGTAACCTGGTCAGTTTGCTGTCTCGGTAAGGAATGTGATTTCTGGCCTGACTCTCCTCCCCGAGAGCACTGATTACATTTCCTAGTGACAGCAATCCTTTGTTAATGTTGACACCCTCCTTAAACCTCTCCCCTACTGCCTGTGTCCTCTTGGCTCTCTCTGATCCAGCCAGATCAACTAAGTGAAACTTACACTTACAAACATCATCCCTGTAAAACAATACAGTTTTTAAAATATCACCTTCAATGTATGCATGTAAATGCAAATTTTTCATTGAGTATAAATTATCTACAAATCTAATAACAATCTAATTTTACAAATTGTATTACATGTAATGTAAATAGTGTCATCATCAAATATAATACATAATTTTGCATTGCATAAAAGATATTCAAAACAATACCAATCTTACTTACATATCTTGCTTTTTCTTCTGCTCAATTTGAATTGTGAAAATTGCATGGGAACGACTAGAATGTGTGTTCATGGCTGTTGAACCTGTTGTTCGTCCACTTGAACCACTTTGTAGACAATTCATGGTTTCTTCAAAGCTTTCCACTACCACCTCAGACAAACCTGGTAACTACCAAATAAAAATTTATTTTTCATTACATTTTGACCATTGACAGAATAACTTAAAATCCCTAGGTGTCTTGCTCTAACCAGTGTTCGACAAATGTACATACAGTGTGGTCTCGTTATTACGATGTTCATTTTGTCGCGGGAAAATATCGTAATACCGAGGGCAACGTAAAAAAGGTTCCCAATAAAATCCATTAAAACATCGTTTTGAAAGCTTGTTATTTTTGTGGAAGGTGTATTTTTGCCCTTTTGTTCCCTTCTTCTGTTCCAATGCTCAAATAAAACGCTAACAAATATATAATTTATTAACTTATTTTGAATAGATATCTTCATGATGATATTTCTTCTATTTCCTTCATTTTAAAAGAAATATGCATATTTCTTATAAAAACTTCGGCGATCTTCATTTATCTACCGCCATTTCCTTTTACTTTTGTTTCTGACTCTCTAGATAATGCGTTTGTAAAAATTTCAATAAGCCGTCTTCGTATTCAGTTTATAGTTGTTACTACATTACAACAACAATTTTTAGTCAGCTTTTCGGTGTTCAATGAGCTTAGAGCAGAAGTGAACAACTGATGAAAGAGGGCAGTGTGACTGGCATATTTATGGACGGAATTTGACAACACACAAGCTATATGTCAAAATAAATCTGATTTTTTAAATTACTGAACAGAGTTCAATTAGCAGTTCAGCAATTATTGAATTTCTGCTGACACCTGTGAGGTAGTCTAAGCCACAATCCAAGCTGTTAAAACGTAAGTGAAGTTCAAATTTGGCCCAAATTATGTTTGATACCCAAGCTGTCCATTACCGCAGTTCAGTTGCAAACGAAATTACAATACGTGTTTAACATACATGCACAAGATTAAATGTAACCTTTCATTTAATAAATTTTATTTATTAACCAAAGTATAAAAAAGATAAAATAAACCTTACAGAGATAGATAAACTAGAGACTACATTTATAGATAAACAGTTTTATTGTTTAACAATGGCTTTGACACGATGTCTGCAGTTCTGCTGACCTCGCTAGAACAGTCAAGGTATGTGCAGTCAAGCGTCACTAATCACCTAACGGGTCTGTAGATTAACACTGTCAGAGCACAGGTGTTTCAATGTTTATTTAGTGTCTCCTTAAATGTCTACCATCTATCAGCACTGAATAAACACCCAGTGAAAATTTTTTGGACAGAATTTTAACATCGTAATACCAAGTCCCGGCATTTTAGGACATCGTAATAAACAGTCCTATTTTGTATAGATTTGTTAAGAAATGGTTTTGAATTTAAAACGTAATAAGCGTTCTATCTTATAAAACCATCCCCGTAATAACGAGACCGCACTGTACCGTAAAATCTTTTCCTAAATGAAAACTTTGTAAAGTCATTTTATGATTGAAATATAAAATACCTTTATCTGTCCATTCACATCCTCCCTTATGGCTAATGGTTCACGCTTAGCAGGTGGGCACAGTAGATCATTTATATCTTCATTATGGATCTGAAAATATAAATACCAATATAGTTCATGCAATATCAATCATGCTCTCTTGTTCACCAATTCTTCCATCCAGTTAATTTAATATTTTTTTAATTTCTTAAATACATATATAAACAATTTGCACTGAATATGTTAGAAATCATACATGGTATGTTGATGAAATCCACTGATTCAAATACATATATATATATATATATATATATATATATATATATATATATATATATATATATGACTTATCAATTCAAGATATCAACTCTTGGTAACTTCTGGTGTAAAGTGCACTTTTTTTGAAAAAGATAAAAAAAAAAAAAAAAAAAAAAAAAGCCCACCTCTAGGTACGAAACTTTCACTGTAAAGTCAGAATCTGATTTGTCTGTAATGCCATTAAACAGCTCTTTTATTACTCTGGGAATAATCCCCATTTCTACTTCATCTTCATTGAGTGATGCTTCATAACATCCTCCCATAGTAAATGTCTTACCACTTCCCGTCTGTCCATAAGCTAATACAGTAGCATTATATCCTGCAAGAACAAATTTAAAAAAATTATCAGATACACCATTATAAATTCAACTGATTTTGAAAAACCACAGAGTTGGACACAGAAAAACATGTCATTTCTCCCAAAAAATTAAGAAAATATAGTTGGATATAAATATAATAAATAAACTTTCTTTTCATATTCCTCTGTATTGCAAAAATAAAATTTAGTTGATAAATAAGACCAGAAACCCAATATATCATGATTTTAACTAGGGATGACAATTGAATACAGAATTGCTAATCAGTTAACTACAAGATGTTCTGACCGATTAACCGGTTAATTGTATCAAAAATAAACACATTTTCAACTAGCCCTATTCATATACAAAGACTTAAAAGAGGATGCTAAGAGTTAGATGAAAGAATCATTCTCTTTATCTTGACCAAAAAAAGACTAATATATATTGTTTTTAATTTCAATTGACAAGATTCTTATGATAAATCTGTATACCAAATTTCATTTCAGTATGTGCAACCTCTGTGAAGAAAATGAACAGAAACTGTTGGTGGACCAACAGACAGACCGACCGATGGACAGAAGCAAAGCAGGGGCAAACTGTAATTTACACTACCTCAGGATGCTTCCATACCAATATTACTAATCATAGCTTTGTTGTTCTTAAACAGAAGAATTTTAAAGATTTATTTTCCTATGTAAAATGTAAAACTTGATCTCTAATTGTGGCCCCATTCTACTCACCCTAAAGGATGACTGCACTTTAGGACATACAATTTAGGACATGCGAAAATTGCGACAAAATAAACTTTCAAAACAATCATTTTTCTTTTAATTGCAGGAATGGTCGACATCTATAAGTATGTATTTATGAAGTACGAAGCTGTTTTCAAAGGCAGGGGGTCATCACATTTCATAAATTTCTGTATGATAATGAGGACACCCACCTTTTTACCGACTTCATACATAGTCAGTGCACGTTTATCTTTTGTTCTCCTTTCAACAGTAGTTGTATATTTGCATTAATAATGTTATGTCTAAAGGAGATTAAAAGACAAACATGAGCTCATGGTTTAAAAGAGAAAAAACTACTTCTTCTTACATTCGCTCTCTCTGTTGTAACCGAGGGCTGTGACATGTTTAATATAATAATTCACCACATGATTTCTTTTATCATGTATTTTCATACATTATTATGCTTCAAATACTTCATACTATGGTTCATTTCTATAGGCATAGTAGAAAGAAGTATTTGAAAAAGACTATTGCTGGAACTCTTCAGCGTTGGAGGTTTGAATGAATATGTCAGTGCTATGGAAAAATCAGCAACTTGATTTTGGTTGGATTAAAACCTTTAAAATGTAAGAAACAAAAGTTTGATAGTGATAGGGAGTTAAAAGGATGTCCAAAGCAAAAAGTTGAAGTGGGCAGGGAATTCATTTCAGCCCCTATTGATTGAAACAAGTGGTCGAAGTCCGGGCAACATTTCCCTAGTCACTTTGTGTGGCACTGGTCTGAGATTCGTAAGAGACGTCTGTCCAAAATTTTTAGTCTCAAAGAATCTCGCTGAAATTATGGTAGAACTGCACAGCTAGATCAAGTGACTGCAGTGCTCCTTTTAAACATACCTTTAAATATATGTTTAATAAGTGGAAATACAGATTCCTGGTATACGTATGGTTGGCTGTGTGATGGGTTGAAAACATAATCGTATGTAAAGGCTTTGTCCTTTCCAAGGATAATCTGTGGCTCATCAGGAGTAAAACCGACACAAACTTGACATCCCTCATTTGTCTCTTTTTGGATCAGTGGACGGGCACGTACAGCGACCCTTACCGGGATAACTTTTCCCTCCGACATTGTAGAAACCGCTTACCTCATCCTATAAAATATATCCCCAATCACAGCAAAATCTAGGCCTACTGCAAAAATATCAACCTATATCGATACACAGGAGTTCGCAAACTTATCAATAAAGTCAATAGAAATCACTCGATTGACCAAGCCATCAGCAGCTGATCAGCTATGTTATGAACTCCTGTGACCAACATGAATAAGAACAGCTTTTTAAATTTAAAAAAGTACAGAATTGATATCAATTACCGTTTTTTTTCACCAGCTATCCGTAAAAACAGATATAATTATTCTAAAAACTTTAAAATATTTAAAAGTTTTTGTTTTAATTCTTCGAACTTACCGCGACTCTCTGCATAAACTACCCAATGAAAAGAGGAGTTCAAAACGAGGCTCGATTTCTGAATATTTAGTTTCACGAACGCGACTTTGAAATCTGTAGTTTTTTAACATAATTATGATAATAACTTTTACAATTATCGATAATCTGACGAAAAATAAAAGTTTTGGTACCTCAGAGGTAAAATAACAATCACAATTTATATATATTTGCAGAAGGGGTCAAATTAACCAGTAACATAGTTGATATCAAAGTACTGAAAGTACTGATGGGAGTTGATTTTAATGACGGTTTCAATACAATTGACAGGCTGTAAAACGCGCGGGATGGGTGGGTGGGGTAGAGTAGGAATGCCCTTTTTTCTGAGTATAGTATTTAGCTACAGTAAATTTACCTTAGATGCATCATGCTGGTTGCACCCCCACCATTTGCAGTTATGGGGATAATTCTTTTCTTTAATCTGTTAATACATGCATTAAGTTAACTTGATCTCCATAATTTGCACAAAGATAAAAATGAATCAACACAACTTGGGAATGTTTGCAAATTCATAGCTATATTGTGGTTCTCAAGAAAATGTTTATTTTTCTTCTTATATACCGGTAGTCTTACGTAAAACTTCGATTCCCTATTGTACGTGCTCCAATCCTACTCCTGGGGCCATGATTTGAACAATATAGAATCTACCCTACCTCAGGAAGCTTTCACTTAAGGTGAAATATTCCTCTACTCCAAATTTCACCATTTTTTTTTTAAATTCCCAACATTGATTTTCATCAACATCAGCATTAGATTCAAATGGAAAATAGTTTGAAATATGCTTTGCTTACTTTTTCAGAAATGAATATTATGTCTAATCATGATATGAAGAAAAAATATGATGAATAGAAAGATCAATAATTTTTTATCTCACCATAAAATTAAAAATATGAGGTATACATGTATATGAAAAAAATATTTTATACTAGACCTATCAAATTCACATTAGAAAACATACTAGCTGAAGCATTGCTTTTTAAATCAGAATATCACATTGTATTCTGTGCTTGTAAAATAAAAATGCATCCATCAACAAGAGTTATCTTTCCATCTACAGGAGTTATTGTTTTTCAAAATATTTTTTTAGTGAAAAAAATATTAAATATTATATTTGATTATAGAAATTCTGCATCTAAAATTTCAGAAACATTTAAAAGAATTATATGTCAAGAGATAGAAATATCTCAATTTTAACAGTTTAAAGGAACTGAGTATAAATGTTTTAGGTAAACTATTATAAGTAATTAATAAAAATATTGGCAATAAAAAATAGAAATCAATATTTTAACATAGTTTTGATTTGAATGAGTTAACTATAAACTAGTCCTCATTATTAAACTCAGATAAGACAATTCATGGGATTGCTTGGGATAATATCCTCAGAAATTTATCTCTCTTATCAGAGGCATATTACACTAAAGTAACATTGTTTCTGGTCCAGTGAAAGAGATATTGAAAGATTTTTCCTATATATTTCAAAGTAAAATTTTGATCGATTTCTTATTGTGGCCCCGCTCACTTCAAGGGTCCATGATTTGAACAATTTTGAATCCAAGCTACTTCATGAGGATTTCACTTACATTTCATTGGTTTTGGTCTAGTGTGGTTCTGTAGAAGATTTTCTATATATTTTTTAATGTAAAACTATAAGCCCCTTTGGGGCCCCACCCTACCCCTTGGGGACACATGATTCGAACAACTTAGAATGTGCACTACCTCATGCTTTCAGATTAGTCCAGTGTTCTTCAAAAGAAAATATTAAAGATTTTACTTATATACAGTCAAACCTCATTATCTCATTGAACTCGATGGTACCAAGAAAAAACTTTGAGATATCTGAGGGTTCGAGATATTGAGGGTAAAATAGTTTTAAAAAGTGCTTAGGACTTCCAACTCACTTTGACATATCTAGGGTATTCGAGATATCCTTGTTCGGGATACCAAAAGTTGTACAGTACTTCAATACAAAACTTTTGATTCCCTATTGTGGCCCCACCCTACCCCAGGGGACATAATTTGTTCGATTTATCTCTTTTCTGGTATAGTGGTTAATCTTCATCAGATTTTTCCTTTATATTTCAATGTAAAATAATGATCCCCAATTATGGCCTCATACTAACCCTGGGGGTCATGATTTGAATAATTTACAATCTACATTACCTCAGGAATCTTCCACTTGTTTCATTTTTTCTGGCCCTGTGGTTCTTGAGAAGATTTTTTTAATGACCCCACACTATATTTGCCTTTTATTTACCATCTCCACTTGGAAGGAGACTTGGCCCTTCCCTTGAAGAATATTTAGAATCCCCTTTACCCAATAATGCTTTGTGCCAACTCTAGCTAAAATTGACCCTCACTTATTGAAAAGATTAGAAGTCAAAAATGTGAAAAGTTTACAGACAGACTCAGATGCCAGACAACTGGTGAATCAGAAAAGCTTGAGCTTTCAGCTCAGGTGAGCCAACAAAACAAAGGCAGTGGTATATTATCTAATCTTTTGAAGCAGAAAATAAATTACTTCTTGTTATAAAATACTTTAAATAAATTTAATACTTAATTTCTTTGTTTAATTCCCTGATACATGTATGTTGGAAATATTTCTTTTTCTTCACGAAAGTTATCAAAATGAACCATTTAAAAGCTATTAACAAAAATCGATTTGAATTTACAATTAAAAACATACGTGACTGATTTTGATCCAATGTTTCTTGAAAGCAAGAAGAAAAAGGAAAAAGTGGATTCATAATTCACATCTACATGTTTAACAACTGTGGTTGCCATACATTGTTCTATATTTCTGATGGTCATTAATAACTTTTTAACAAAAGCCTACTGCCTTTTTTTGTCATAACATGACTGTACTTTCCATGAGTTTTGCTTTGCATAAAAAGTTATCTAGGTTCATACAGAGAGATTTAATTCAATCATGGCAATTCATATAAATTATAGATATGAAATATTTGTATTGAAATACATGTATTGTCATCCAAACTCTGATGAAGACATCATTCAACTTGAGGCCATCTTTAAAAAAATGTTTTCCCTCACCTGAATGACTGGCTAAAAATGGCCCAACTTAAAACATTTTTAACCTCAAGGAAACAATTTTTTAAAAATTCATTCCACAATTTTCTTATCACAACGACAACTTTTTTAAAGTTTATACATGTAATACCTTCAATTTTAATAGATTTTGGATGTTAAAAATTTCTGGAAAGAAAATTTTCCCACCCACCTAATGATCCATTTTTTTTAATCCTGAATCGGGAGAGGGCAAATAAACACTATTTTAAAGATGGCCTAAATATATCAATTTTCCTATTCAGTACATTTTCAAGTTTTCAATCAGAAATCAACACAATGTCAAAACATTAATAATTTAATAAACATTTTCTTTTAAAAATTTAACATTCAGCAGGTTAAAACATGAACAACATCTAGCATTATAAAGCACAGAGGTTTGCATAAAATGAAATGTTTTCCTTATAGATAATATCACAGATGTTCAAGGATATTATAAGACAAGGGAAAGATGCGCCTTTAATACATGTACATATTCAACTCTCACCTGAGTATCATGCTGCAACTTTTTTTAAGAATAATTGCAACACAGTACATGTAGCTTCCATGTTTGTATCAAACTGCTTATAATTCTCTGTTTCAAATAATTGCCAATAAAAATTTTCACAATTCTCTTCCAGTGACCTTTACCTTGTCAAAGTTTACTTGAAACTGTTGTTTGACAACACACAGTGGTAAAGAGAATAATTTTTTAAGTATGAGACTTTACGGTTTCTTTATTGCACAGAAATTAAAACCCTATTCAAGTCACACACTTTCACAGAACAACTTATAAGACTGCGGAACATTAACTTGCAAAATTGGAAATATGCAGCTTACGTCATTTCCATCTGTTACAATCAAAACATTTAATGATAGACATTGGAATGGGCTGGTACAATTTGGCACGGATGTCAGAGAAAACACTGGATTGAAATTCTTGTTTGAAATTCATTTTCAATCCACCTCAGCTACGCTAGAATCATGGTGTTACTGATTGACCCAGAAGACAAATTATTTCAATTTAGGAATAGTTTGAAATTTATATAAATCAGAATTTCTGTCCAATGTTTTTAAAGAAATAAAAAGGGACAAACATTTCATTCCTGTTTGGTATGTGCATGCCTGTGTGTGTGTGTGTGTGGGGGGGGGGGGTTGTTTGATCTTGGAAATAAAAAAGAAAGTTTATTTTAGTTTTGACAACCCCTCCCTGTTTTTAACTGTCAAACATTTTTCAGTGAAAACAAAACTAAAGAAAATAGCTCTTGTCATCCTAGAAATAAATACATTTTGTCACGTGAAGGCATGATCTGACTCGACAATTTTTGACCCTCCTCCCCCTTCTACAATTAAATGGCTGTCCCCTGAAAAAATAATCTCTGTCTTCTATGACTTTTACATCCCTTACAATTACAGGCGAAAAAAACTTATATAAATTTGAATTTCAAACAACATGCATTTAGGAACTGAAATAATTATTTGTCTTCTGGATCATACACACACACTCTGCGTTTGAAAAAAAGCTCAGGTGGATTGAAAATGAATTTCAATCCAATGTTTTATCGGACGTCCATGTCGAATTGTACCCGCCCATTTCATTGTCTATCATTAAATGTTCTGACTGTAACAGGTGGAAATGACGTAAGCTGTATATTTCCAATTTTGCCAGTTAATGTTCCGTGGTCTTACACTGTGGTGCAAATACATGTATAAACATTCCAACTTACGGTAATAAATTTATTTCTTGCACATAACCTCTTTCACTTGATGACTCAAAAGCAATCTCAGTTAGGCCATTTCTCATATTAACCCATAATGAAAATATGGATATTTCATCTCAACAGACTCAAATAATTGCACAGAAAAAAATCTATATTTAGTAACAGAAGGTGCCCTTTAATTCTTGATTCTGTAACCCTTGAAGCAACTTGAGAAAGCTGCCTGTTGCCTATTGTAACCAGGTAGGCAGTTTATCAGCTTAAAGTCTAGCAGTAAAAAATTAACTAATTTGCACCACTCCTACAGCCCCAGTGGGGGGGGGGGGGGGGGGGCTTTAAAGAAGCTGAAAATGTCCAAAACATGGATGAAAGATGACAACAGATGGGAACAAATAGCAATAGGTCATTCTAGTGATTCAAATGACCTAAAAACACAAAAGATCTTTGGCTTGATTTAGATTGATATCATGAAAAGTTAAATTATAATTCTGCATGCTTTTCTGCATGATAAATCCTGGACACCTGCACCAAAAGAGGACCAGTATCAGGGTCAGACAACCACTGTTGTGCAGCCAGAGGACTGTCAAGCATCTGTAAAAATGCTGGAAAAAAAATAAAAATTTCAATTCTCTGAAAACATGTTTCTGATATTGTGATTTCTTTATTCTTACAATTTCAGAGCATAAGGTTGAGTTATTTAAATTTTATATACATCATTACTAACCATCAATGCATTTACTTTTCAAGGCATTTGTCATAAATTCAAAAATGAAACAGATAACAAAGATGTTGACAACAATTAGAGCTCATTTTTCCCTGCAAGACACAAAATCAAAATGTTGATTGTTTTCATATTTATTATCTATGTCATTGGTGAATTGTTTTAAATTGTTTTACATATTATGTAAATATTAACTAAGACTTGAGATAGCCTTATTATTTTTTGTTATTACATTTATCCCCATATTTACAACATTTAAACACTGCCAGTGCAAATTTTGAACATATATTGCTAAAGAATGAACATTCATATATCATCAAAATGTTTTAACAACATCTGTATTTATACAAGTGTAAGGGGAAAAAATGGCAAAAAGTGAGTCCATTGGTCAGTACTTGTATATTGACTGTGTATGACATATTTAATAACTTTCAAAAAAATACAGGACAGAACAATGGTTAGATTTTGAGTTTGACACAAGTTAGATAGAATGTTTTATCGTTAAAGTGATAAATGTCCTACGGACCCGGTTTAATGATAGAATGCGTTCCGTGTATTGTCTCTGTAGCAAAGAAAATACGGGAGATAACTCTAACTCAAGTGCATTTACTAATAAAATCCCGAGAGTTCCGAATGTCAACATGGTGTGTAAATTTGAAACGAGTAAAAAACATTGGTGAAAAAGTGTTGAATTCTTCCATTACATGGATTAAATTTTTAGATGAAAGGTATTCACAGTCTCAAAAAGGTTTGTTATGATTAATTTGACTGTTATTTTCAATGCAACTTCATTATGTTCTCCAAAATCGTTTTGGAGCGATTCTGCAACTTTCTGCTACATTACGGGTATATGGGAGGCATTCTAACTGTGGTGTGGGCCTGTCCCGAGACACAGTTAGATTATTCTAACTAGACACAAGTAGCATCCATACCTAATAAACACCTAGGATTGTTTAGCCCTAATTGCACTTGTGGGTTTGCCATAATGGCTTTGTAAACAGCACCATCTGTATCCAAACCTTCATCCAAGTCCTGGGGTTGTGTTTTCCTGTCACCTAATAACCACTCACACTAAAAGATATACAGAACATCAAATTCAGAATATCAAAATGAATATCTTAAACTGTAATTAAACCCACAAAATCCTTAAAAAACCGTTTTTTTTTTAATTAGTTCTTATCAGATAAAGTCTTCTGAAATCTGTTTATCCTTTCATTAACCCAAAGAAAATAAAATTACTGCATCATTTTGATTGTTTCTGCTGATACGCAGGGCATCAAAGGCATCTTTTTCATCAAATCCCATTTCAACAAGATTTTGTAGAATCTGTCAATGGAAAATAAAAATGTCTTTGAAAGCATGAGAAAAAAAATTACCGTACCTGTCAAGATGGACTGAATTAAATACATGTATGTATTCAGTACAAAAGCATTCTGATGTCTGATATTTGAATTATTTTGCACCCTTTTTTCCTTCTCATACTGAGAGTATTGTACATGAATTTTGTAAGTATCAGATCTAGAACACAACTTTTCAGCATTGGTTAATTTCTCCCAGTATACCTTGTGGTTTGGTTTGAACTCTCTCTTGCGATATTCCCTAAGTGACTGCAGTATGTTGGTGGTTTGATGTCCATTCTTTGTGACAGAAGTTTTCTCCTCTTTTCCACCAACTGCACCCTCCTCCTGTATAAGAAAATTAGTATCTCAATAATGAAGCGTTACCTTTTTTTATTTTTTTAATGCAATTGCTATCTTTCTACAATTAATAAAATGAAAGCTAATTAGTAGTAGCTGATTCCGATAAAAATAATTTGTTCCTCTTTTCTTGTACCGGTACTTCTAACAAACTGACTAAGATCTGACATGGGGTCATTTTAGATAATGCATTACGTAAAGACTGTGAATTTTCAATTTACCTTGTTAATTGAGCTTCCAGGAAGGGGTTCATCTACATCTACATCAGACTCGTGTTGGATGAGCCATTCCATTGAAGACATCACAGACATACTATAAACAAATACCCCAAAATTATTTCTTTAGTACATGTACCTGAGCTGATCCAATTCTTTTAAGGCTTCTATCAAAATTAAATCTACTGTTTATTTTATCAATAACAATTACAGAATTCCAAAAACATGTACTTACTCATTAAGAAGCAGAGCTTTCTTGGCCCTGTTTTCAGGAAATCCCATGTCACATAGCTGTTTTAATGCTGTAGCATCTATTTCCTGTTCTTGGACTGGTTCTTTCAACATTTCTGAAAAAAATTCAACATTTTGCATTCTAATGTCTAAATAGTTGTATATAAGTGAACCAAAATGTTTTATGTATCACTACAAGTAAATAGGTCAATTTTGAATTCTTTCAGGAAAGGGAAATAACATTACACGCTCAAATAATAAAAATGTCTAAGTAGGGAAAATATCATGACCAATTGCAGTAAGTTTTTTTTTTTTTTGTGGGGGAGGGGGATTCATTTATTAATACAGTATACATGTACTTAATAATGGGTATTAGAAAAACAATTTTTAATCCTGTTTTTTTTTTTTCCAGATTGTAAAAGGCAGAAATGTCAGTAAGATTCAAATAACAAAAATAACAAGATGTGTTTGTGAAACACTGATGCCCCCGTATGGCAGCTTATGGTGAAGGTTAAAGTTTCTCAAATGCAAGTCAAAATCCTGGCCAAAAGATAAAAAATGTTAGTACACAAAGAAAGGTCTTGTCTCAAGGAATATACCTGTGAAATTTGAAAGCCCTAGCTGCAACTGTTAAAAAGTTATGGCGAAGGTTAAAGTTTTTTAAAAGTAAGTAAAACGTCAAGCTCAAGGTCAAAGTTGTTGGTATCCAAAGGAAGGTCTTGTCACAATGATTACATATGTGAAGTATGAAAGCCCTAGCACCAACCATTCAAAAGTTATGGCAAAGGTTAAAGTTTTTCGAAAGTAGGTCAAACTGCTATGTCAAGGTCAAAGTGGTTGGTATCCAAAGGAAGGTGATTGCACAAGGATTACATATGTAAGGTATGAAAGCCCTAGCATCAACCATTCAAAAGTTATGGCCAAGGTTAAAGTTTTTCAAAAGTAGGTCAAACTCCTAGGTCAAGGTCAAAAGGTCAAAGTGGTTGGTATCCAAAGAAAGGTCTTGTCACAAGGATAACATATGCGAAGTATGAAAGCCCTAGCTCCAACCGTTCAAAAGTTACGGCCAAGGTTAAAGTTTTTCAAAAGTAGGTCAAACTCCTAGGTCAAGGTCAAAAGGTCAAAGTGGTTGGTATCCGAAGAAAGGTCTTGTCACAAGGATAACATATGCGAAGTATGAAAGCCCTAGCTCCAACCATTCAAAAGTTATGGCCAAGGTTAAAGTTTTTCAAAAGTAGGTCAAACTCCTAGGTCAAGGTCAAAGGGTCAAAGAGGTTGATATCCAAAGGAAGGCCTTGTCACAAAGAATACACGTATGAAGTTTGAAACCCCAAGCACCAACTGTTCAGAAGTTATGGCCAAGGTTAAAGTCTCATAAAATTTTGCAAGAGTGGGTCAAACTCCAAGGTCAAGGTCAAAAGGTCAAATTTGATGGTACCCAAAGAAAGGTCTTTTCACAAGGAATACACATGTGAAATATAAAAGTCATAGCTCCAACCAATCAAAAGTTATGGGCAAGATTAAAGTGGACAACAGACAGACAGACAAACAGATAAACAGACAAACAGATAAACAGACAAACAGACAGACAGGACAAAAACAATATACCCCCGGGATCTTTCGATCCAGGGGCATAATAAAAATGTTCATGTTACAGTAAAACTTATTTAGTATGAACACGGATATAGCAAATTTACGGATATAGTGAAGCTTTTTGGAATCCCCGGCAAATTTTCTAACAATGCCTTGTAAAACTTTACGGATATAACAAACATGGATATTATAGTGAATTTAAGGATATTACAATTGATTGTGTGTCCCCTTGAGGTTAAACCCCCCAAAATTTACATCTTTCATAACAAATTTTGAAGATCTCTATTTTAAGAATATTGAACTGACAATATTTTGTAAGTATTTATGTAAGTACAGTGTATTTATATTTGAAATTCATTTCAAAATTCATTTCATATCAAAAGTTTGAATTCAAAGGTAACCTCCGTTTTTCATACCTCCCCTAATACATTTTGTAGTCATATTGAAGAACAAAAATCTATATTGCTAATTCGCTATGTATACTTTAAGGAATTTGTTGTACCGAAATAATGAATTACGGATATAGCGAAGTAAATTCACAGGTCCCTAGTTTTACTGTACTGTAATTGATGTTAATGCCCTTGCCCAACATGTCACGGGTCTTCAGGAATTACAGTTTTGTTTTCATATTAAATTTTTGCTAGGGAGGTAGTTCAAAAGTTTCCAATTAAAGTGCACCATTTAGAAATTTCTTTTGCTTATCTTATACCTACTCTTTTGAGAGATATCTACAAAATTCACCTCCTTTTATATAAAAGAAACAAACTAACAAACCTTCAGCTTGTGTGAATATTTTGGATGCTTCTGGATTCAGACTCAAAATTTTCTGTGATGCCTCTATTAAGGAGATTAAAATTTTTCTAAGCTCTGTCTGAAACTAAAAAAAGAGATTTTTTTCTTATTTTTGAATTAAAAATGTTAAGTTCAAACAGAATAACTAATGTACTTTTAAATATCAAATAATAACACATTCAAAGCAGATTTTTTTTTTTTTTTGAGGGGATAAATTTGTCTGATTTGTGATCCACAATGATTTCATGATGACTTAATTTCATTGTTTCAATGATAACCATACAAGATATATAACCATATAATATAAAAGTTTCTTTAGGGATTTAATTTCATTGATAATTGTTATCAATGTAATAAACGAAATTTAATCCCTACCACACATTTATTTTTAACAGTATACTGTAGATTCCTAAATATATGCGAGGAATTAGTTATCACGTTATTTCACAAGAAGCACCACTCTCGAAATAATATTATTCACTTTTATTTTTATGGTACTGAAAGCCACATAAAACCTCTAGATCAACAGTACACTCAGGAATTATTATTCTTGCGATTTGACCTCTAAGGACCATTTCGAGATATACTCACGTAAAATAAGGAATCTACAGTATACACTGTATAATAAAAAACATGAGAACTTGCATACACTACACCAGTTTTACATTCTTGTACAGTGAATGTTGCTATTAGCAAGCTCTAAAGACAACTGGGCAAAGAGATAAGTTGGACAACTGAACATTGATCCAATAGAATTTTTTCTGCAGTAACCTGTGGACCTACCGTACCTTCCGTTCCAATTGCACCTCACTGCAAACTAGGTTCTCAAAGTAACAACAAAACTTCACAAATAAAATAAACTCACCTTAATTTAATGGATATTGCACATAAAGAGGAAATATTAAACATTCTTTGTTCAAAATTTGTACATTTTTAAGAGGAAGGTCTAAGTTAAAAGTGAATAATAAACAACTGTGTTATCCCCAATGGTCACACTGCCAATAATGCTAACATGCATGTATTACTTCAATAAAAAATTTCACCAAATATTTTCTAATAATCTGACAATACAGAAAATGTTTAACGATTCCTTACATCCACAGTAACTGATGATTGTTCTGGTGTTTTGACTATCTGTGACTTGGGTAATGTTGATGTCAGTTTGTTGATTATATCTTCTGTAGGAATCTTTTTAGAATCATCCTTTTGCTGCATACAAAACATAAACATAAAAATAGGTATCAAAATATTTTCTAGGGAAAAAATATTTTTCTTAAAAAAAATGTAAACACTTACATTTGATGTTCGATCTTTTGTGTCAAAGTTCATTGCTGGCAATCTTTTCTTGAGTAGTAATAGTTCATCTGAAATAGCATGTCACTATATTTCCAATTCAATTTTTAAACAGTTTTTTGCAGAAGTCCTTTATTCAGAGTGCATTAAAGTAAACAAAAAAGTAAAAATCCAGAGAAAATATATAAAAAATACTTTTCTATCAAATAATTTTTTTTTTTTTGCAAATCTAACAAAGTTTCAGTCTCTTACAGATAATATTATTGCTAGATATGATTTTACAGTCATTTTACCAGTAGCAAATCAGTTGTTATATTGTGAACTCATCCTACTTGGTCAGAGTTCCAAATCCTCTTGGTTGTTGTTTAATTTGTATTTTGATGTGTTTCATATTACCGGTACCAAAATTCCAAAAATATGAATGGCACAGGCATGCAAATGAAATTACAACAACCCCGTACTCTCCTGGTTTTGAACAAATTTTTCAGTATCAAATCTTGAGGCCTCTACTATGGCTGACCCAATGAATAGAACTGGCATATCCAAATTATTCTTAAAATATGCCTTTGAGAAAATGCTGTATGAAAAATTGTAATTTTATGATTTACTTTTACAATATGCATTATTAAAATCAAATCAACCATATCTATTTAAAGACACATTTTTAGGTGAACATCTTAGTAATTTGTCTTTGCAATATCTTCACTTTTGCCAGTTTTTCATATTTCTTGTATATTGTAAAAGGACACTTTTCAGACTTCAAAAATTCATGAATCCAAACTAGTGTCACGGTATGGGCTGAGGATATTTGCCTGGGTAGCTCAGTTGGTAGAGCAACTGATGCGGAGGTCCCGGACTCAATTCTCTGACCAACCCTACATTTTCTTCTTTCTGATTACATAATTTGTTGCTCCTGGACTTACAGGTGAAGGTCCTGCCAAGGGTAAATAGTAACTTGGGTTGTGTCTTGGTGGGTGAAGACACTTTAAAGGGTATTTATCAAAATTTTTTGATATGACAAAGTTTACATGCTATTAAAATCATATATTTAAAAATCTTTGCTAGAAAATTAATATTTTTGATGTTTCAGCGATTCAAAGTTTGAATTTCTCAATATGCATATTTTGATTGCCGATGTTACGCGCCATTGCTCTGATGTCATAGGTGTCAATCCTGGTCAAGCGAAGTACTTATTGTGTATACAAAAGGGCTCATTTGTTGTGTCTGTTAAACCTGTTAGAAAATAATTAAGTGATAATTGGATAATTGACAGCTAGTAAGGTATAATTTATGGCTTTAGGATGCATAAATGTGCACAAGAAAGGTTTTAGGAAGAATTTTTTCCCCCACATTTCCTGGACTTGGTCGAGAGATGAAACATGTGAAAGGGGGGCCTTTTTCTGCAAATGTGATGGCATTTAGCTCCATTCAGAACAATCGTTTATGCCCGATCGATCATGAATTTTTTTTCTGTCCTATAAAATATTTTAAGGAAAGATACCTTAAAAAAAAAGTAATAAATGACAAACACGCATTTTTTAATGTTGTGAACTTCGCAATGGCGTACTGCGCCATTGAAGAAGTGTCATTTCTAGTACATGATATTCACTGCTGGAACAGATAAAAGATACAGGATTCATTTATATATAATTAATTAAAATAATAATGAAGGAGAATTTAAAATTCCCATATTCATAAATGTTTACGAAGTTAAACCTTAGTAATTTGTTCTATATAGTTGAAGTCCCGAGTTGTCAACAGCTTCGTCTTCTATGACCTCTCCAATTTCGGCATATTTTCTGGTTATTTCTCTCTGCTAGACGTTCATACATATAAGACTGACCGTCAATAACCAAAGGAATATAGTCGATGTCAAAATTTCAACCGACCATCTCATGTATTCTATTTATTTAGCGTAAAAATCTATTCAATATATTTTGTTCTTACGATAAGCTTTACGAGTTCTATTGACCATTGACACCTATGACGTTTCAGTACCACATGACCCCTATCTAATTAGTGGAGAGTTTTACTTCGAGGACCCTATATTACGGGCGTTTTATCGTCTAATTACTGCCATTTTCAACATTATTTCATAATCAAACGATAATTATATGTTTCAAGAATATAATAGTGTTTCATTTTTAAGAAATTTAGATACGTGATAAAAACCCTTTAAGGAGGGAGGAATGTAATGGTTTGGGCCATGGATATTGGCTCAGTTGGTAAAGCACCTGATTAATGAAATAGGGGTCCTGGGTTTGATTCCTGGTCCAGCCATATATGTTCTCCATTCCTGTTACTCTAGGAAAACAACAAATGGTTCGTTGGGATGTCACCATTTCATACATGTATAAAAGTCAATTGTCATTAAGTTCCGTATTCAAGCTTGTTATATTTATCCCAAATATTTTAAAATTACATAGTCTGGATAGAGAACATTCTGAATTTTTTTATTTAGATGTATTTGTCTACACACTTTCATTTTCTTTGACTTGCACTTGTCATGATCTGGATCATTGTTATAAACGGTATCAGGTTCGTTCGCCCTATCTACCTGTTCGCATGAGTCCGTTCGCGCAGGGTCCGTTCGCCATTATTCTTGTTCGCCCTATATCTCGTTCGCCCTATTATATATATAGTATATAGTAAATATCAACATTCATTATTAATTTTATTCAATATTTTACGACTTGGTGTTTTTTTTTTCAAATGTTGCTACATAATTTTTTTTATTAACCGTAATCTTAATTAAATAATTCAAATTTGATATTTATGCTCTTTACATGCTTAATTGCTTTAATTATACTTAATAATGTCACTGTAATTTAGGGGATCATACAATCTGCGTTATGTTTTGAAAACAATTAAAGGACTGAGACGTTAATTTCTGTTGGTCTGCCGGGTCTTTAATAGGACAGGTATTTATTTTATAGTGTGACCACATGCATAGTTCTGTTGTCTCTCATGTGCAATTTATGTACCAATGTACATATAATTTATTTAAAAAATCCATTGCTTCATTATTCAACTTTCTGCAATATAAATAGGGCGAACGGACCCTGTGCAAACAAGTTTTAGGGCGATCGGACTCTGGGCGAACGGGAATGAGGGCGAACGGCGTCAAGGGCGAACAAGTTTTAGGGCGAACGAACATACAACCGTTATAAACTGTAGATACATTGGATAACAATCATGCCAATGTTATAAAAACACTACACATGGGAAGAACATTCATCCTTTTATTGAATTTACCTAGTAAGAATTTTTAAATCCAGAGAATCACTATTTTCTAGACCATTTGATCCAAAAATTATTCGATACTGGGCATACTGGCAAATACCCGTGACTATTACTGTTAGTAGTACAAGGACTGTATAGTAAACATTACATATATTTATACCATTATTTTGTATTCCCTCCTCAAACACCGTCTTTTCTTCTGACAAAACCTTCCCTGTACGGACTAGCAAAATTCGATGGTATAAGGATTTCTTCATACTGTCAGCAGGACTTGAAAAATGATTTAAAGATATTATCTTCAGTTCATCTATCTTCATATCCGCTTTCAATTCTGTCAAGAAATCTTGCCCACTCATACTGGTTATTCGTACTCTAAGTCCTGCTTGAGGAAATATGCTGGAATCCGACACATACATTATGAATTATGAAAAACTCCGAAACGAACAATTCCTGAGATCATTCGAACGAAAACGCAGTTTGCAATATTTTGTGTATTTTGAGCCCGATAAATAAAAGAACAGAAATATGCAGTAAAAAAGTGCCAATTTTGAAAATAAATTGCAAAAGATCTGGAGGTGGAATCTCAAATCGCCACACACAATCGATAGTTTAATGTTTGAACTTTTATTTGCATGTACTCTGGTGCATGCACTTTTCCACTAAAAGTAGGCACGGGACCTTTGAAAATTACCTGTGTTATCCTCCGAAATCCCACAATGCAATGTGATTTTCCATAAATGGGCCCAATATTCTCCGAAAACGGAGACCGCCCATACCTGATTATAAACAAGTTCAACGTATTCAACTCTGGCTGGTATGGTATAGGGCATGCTAAACCTCTTAACATATGACCGTTACAACGGGGGGGGGGGGGGGGCAGTAATGTTTACGATATACAGTATACTAAACTAAAGGAAAACATAGTTTTTTTTGGCATGCTTGTCAAGGATATTTTGCTTAATAGCCCCTCCCAAACTGAAAATGTTGAGTTGTCCCCCCACTGAACTGAAATTGATTCCGACAGGCCTGTAGGATACTATTTAATTATAAAATATCATATATCTAGAACTGATTGTATTACATAGTTATTGTACAAATGATTGTATATGATTTATGCTAATCTCGGTGGAGATTAGATTTATGCATATCCTCACATTCTAGAATATTGTATAAATATATTAACAATTTATGATTCTTATATGCTGTTTGCACCAATAAAATATTGTATATTGTGAAAAAAATGTCCTGTCACATTATGATTGTGTAATATATATGTGTATTATGTACGTTACTTAGTGAACCCAGGGCCCCAACCCTGGCACTATTATATACTTGGACATGTGATGGGGCAATAAAAAAAAAAAAAAAAAAAAAAAATATTGTATAAACAGTCGATGACGTTTGACAGCCAGAAAGCCAAAGATTTTATAGTTGGTTGATTGAAAATTTCTTCTCCTCGTGAACAGCTAAAGTGGTGTAACTTTTGAAACTTCCTGTCCAAATACGACTCGAACGATTTTGTCCAAAATGTGCATTCACATAGTAGATATAGTCATGTATAAAATATACAAAATAACGAAAATTAAACGACAGGAATTTTTTTGGGGGTGGGTGTGTTGTACATCCTTAAATACAGTGTTGCATCCGGCGCTACCCCCCCCCCCTCCTCATTTCAAATTCAAGATAAAACATGGATCCGTCTTCGAAAAGAAATAAATCATCGAATAAAGGAGTGTAAATAAAAGGATTTTGTCTGACTCTTCTTACAAACCTAGAAATATTCGATTCTCATCATTAATCATGACAACAAAAAATAGTAAAAATGCCTACTTGGCAGACTTCATACGACATTTTTGTCGTACAAAATGGGGGCTTATTGCAGTCGTCTGCATGTCAAATCTTACTATCCGGACCCCCTTCTCTGCATCTATGATCTACAATGTAGATATCACAACGATCCATTCCTCTCCATGACTGTATATTTTGTTCTTTGGTTAACAGTTTATAACATAGGTATAGCGAGAGTTATTGACTCGCTATTTTTCTTTTTTCTGAAATTCCGATTTAGATTCATATTTTTTAAATATATATATATATATATATATATATATATATATATATATATATATATATATATATATATATATATATATATATATATGTGATGTTTACATGTTTGACGTTGTATCTATCAGCACCTTGGCATACTGTATTGAAATCACACTATCGATGTCTGTATGCGAACCGAGTACATCATTCATTAGAACAAACACTGATCACAATCCAATCATTTTCTACTCTGATAAGTAAATACTGAACATTTTACTGGCAGATATCTTTCGTATTTTTAACGTAATGTTTTGCTCTCTTTACATGGGAATTTAAACTTTAAAACACCTGTATAAAGACTGTACAGTCTTTTCTTTTATGACAGATATATACTGCTTAAAATGGACCGTGGAGATGGTTTGCTTGACTAGATACAATATGGCGAACGTACAGAGATCAGATTAAAAACCGTTTTTAAATGCAGCTGTAAATAATTCGAAGCAGTGGCATAAATTTTGAAATAGGACATTTTGGGAACTAGAAATAAGGTAAGTAATTCATTTTTTCTACAAAATAAGCGAATCCAAATTCTTTTATGGTAATCCGATATTGGTTACCTATTTATATATGGTAGTGTTTGCATTTTCATGATAGTTTTTGTTCTTTTGAAATGATTCATTCGTTTCTTTCGGATGCATAAATTCTATTTTATGATTGTTGCCATACATATGATTGATATAATCGTCAATATCCAATCTCCAATGAAGAATTTCTCATCTGCGTACAAGAAAAGATACATTTCTCAACACAAAATTCATCCAAAGTTTGGGATTTAATACATGTTTATACTACTATCTTTATATATATATATATATATATATATATATATATATATATATATATATATATATATATATATATATATATATATATATATATATATATATATATAATATATATATATATATATATATATATATATATATATATATATATATATATATATAAATAACATATCACGTTATACAGTTTCGTGTTGTTTGGCAATTGTACAAAATCATAAACAAAACCAGTTGAAGTAAATTGGAGCGACCAATTAAAATCTTATCGCATATCAAAGTAACCTTAATGTGATTTCGGCCCTAGAACTGCATATCGATATTTATCAAACTAACACCATCAATGTAATTTTGACAAGTGCCTCTTAAGACGTTAAGGAATGACGTACAAAATTCATTGTAAATCATTTTATAAATTTCGAACTATAATGCATGTTTGGCTATACGCTAGAACAGTTTAAGCCTTCAATTGATGTAAAATAAACTCTTTAACATAATAGGAGCGTGTTCTCGATTTCCTCTTTTAATGAAATTCTTTCATTGCTAACGTCAATAACCTGGCGATATACCCGGGCGAAGTCCTCAAAATTAATGACTGATTGAAATATACAAGTCAGAGAGTCTCAAGAGCGTCAATATGTTCTCAAAAATAGTAGTATTTATGTTCGTTAATCAATCGAAGAGAAATTAATTTATTGCAATGTGTTTTTAAAATAAAAATTCTAATACACAAATTTTTGTCTTTATAAGTTTATTGCATCTATTGAATAAAAATTTATTTCACGAAAGCCCTTATAGATGCGTTTTTACAGAACAGTTTTTAAAAAGGCTTAAAGTGTTGCAATTTATTTTATTTAAATAACACTGTCACAGAGTATTTACCGTTTGACAAAAGGTTTTAAGCCTTTCGCGAGCAAAAATAACAAGTCAATGGTGTCAGTGTTTCTAAATAGACTGATAAAATAGAAACTACGTATTTTTATAATTTGTTGCTCAAGGAATTTATTTTAAAAATTCAAGGTTTGAAAGACATCCATATATAATGAGTTTTTTTTTTAATTTCTGACAGGATGATTCTCTAGAAACTATAGTTCATAACTGAAATATCTATTAATGCATCCATTAACTAATGCCAAGGTTCGGTTTCTTTTAAAAAACTGCGAAAAAAAGGCTGCGATTTGAAGCGAAAAAAATCACGTGCTCTTCTCGATTTGTCGGAAGACTAGCAATCTTCACGAAATAGAATGCGAATTTCTCGCGCATGTACAAATGACCAGACACTGTACATGAAATTGATATATTGAAATATTAGTATATCCCTTATAAGATACTACATTAAATTTCGGAAATATGAACTAATCTTGAAGACTTGCGTACGATTCGATAATTGTATTCCATTAACAATAAATTGAATACATGCACTTTTATTAATCATTTTCATTATAATGAAAAGGGTGTGACGTCTAAGTTCAATTCGGTCCGAGTAATTTATACCTTCGAGGGGGTAAAAGAAATTTAAAACTGTTAAGAAAATTGTAAATCTTTTTCCAGTGAACAAATTCATTAACTGTTATATACAGAATGACGCGGCAATCAAGATGGATTTTAAATTTCAAATGAAGGAAAAGTATCTTTTGATAATGCCAATCAAGCAGTTGGAATTGGGTTAGTATTAACGACAGAAGTTGCAAGGTTTTAAGGATAACATATTGCTTAATTTTTGGACGATCTCACAATCCTTCGGATATTAAAGGTTATCTCTCAATAGCCTTTAATATTGATTTTAAAAATAAACCGTATATCAATTTAATATCTTCTCTATTTTTAATGGAATCTTTCCCTGCCTTTAGGAATGTCAACTTTGGTAGAGAATCCGTTGGACAGTAATTTGTCTGGGCCTAAACCGGCAATTGACGGGTCGCTGAATGGGGGAGAAGTCATACAATTAAAAGAAGCTAAATTCAACCAAGATGGAGTCCTTCAATATAAAGATACAGTTTTAGACAAAGAAAACCTGCACTTAGTGGGATCACTCAAAAACAAGGAGAAAGACATAGTTAAACATGACATAGCAAAACGACCGAAAGACAGTACCACTAATAATGATATTGATGGAAAAACGGAAGTGACAGCATCTTCTCGGCCTGTCACTGGTGTCTCCGTGAAGCATATCGGGGACGAAAAAGCAGACAATGTACGAAATGCACAGAGCCCCTCTAAAAAGAATGGGAGACGTTCACACTCAGACTACGGCAGATCAACGAATATTACAAAACAAAATGTTTTGGCCACAGGGAAGGGCAGATTTGATCCAATCCCTATCCCTAACAGTGCAGACTACAGAAGCATGCCAAGCCCTCCTCCAAAACACATCCGAGTTCCAACCAAACTCATCCGGATAACAACGGTCACTGTATCTGCTAAGTAAGTATAGAAACTATACAAATCTCTTAAGACTTGAATACGTACATCTGGAGCATATTCATATGTATCAATATTATATGTCAAAGGAAATGTGAACAGGTATTTTTTTTAAAGAAAATGCTCGAAAACCACAAAACTCATGCAGATGTTTTACTCTTTTTCAACATTTGAAATTGCACAGAATGTACAAAACAGTCAATATCTATCTTTCCCCTAAACAAAAGTTTTACACAAAACAATAATGAACAGATTAACTTTACCCGGGAGGAAAACGTACTTTGTTTCGACAGAACATGCTTAATATAATGTATGATATTAAAGCATTGCCGTAGGAACAGGGGGGGGGGGGACGGGGGCCGTGCCCCCCACCCCCAATAATTTTGCCTATATATAGATGACTATAGAAAATTTAGCTACTTCTAGCTTGTGCCCCCCTCAATAAAAACATCTGACCTTTTTTTTTTTTTATGTTGGTTGTCAAGGAATTTTTGGTAGTTCATAGTGCCCCCAACTGAAAATGTATATATGGCTGTGCCTCCCAAACTGAAATTGCTTCCTACGGGCCTGTTTGGTAAATAGAATACATGTGTATCTTGAAAATTAATAGAAAGCTGTCAGTCCATGTCAAAAAAGTAGATCGTCGCGTAATTTACATTTGCTCAATGCCTTGGATGGAATCAACCCTGAGTGATCGGCCGAGCTGACCCCCCACCCCCCAAGAAAAATCTGCATTGTTGAAGATACATGTTCATATTATACAATATTGACCTGATGCAATTTTTTTTATAAAAGCGGAAGCAGATTTTTTTGGCCCCAAAGAGTTCAAGTTATTAGGATTTGACTGTCATTTTAAGTAAATGGTATTCCAAAAGAGTAGAGAGAGATTTTTAGAGTACACTGTATATTTTCATTTAAGACTTATGTGTTTTTTCCTGTCGCAATTTCGTCGTACGCAGGAAGCCATTGACAACTTCGATAAAATGCTTAAATTACATTGATCTCCCGATGGTGGCATCAATACTTATATACAATGACAAAGTCATAAAATTTTCACAATAGTGATTGTAACCATGTATTTCAATGAAAAATTCTCACTACGCATATATAGATTTTTTACCTGTTATAAGCTTCTGAAGAACAGGAAATTGATCTGATGTCGGCTTCATTATTGAATTATAAAAAAGAAGCAAACAAGAGGGTTTGCTCCCGTCATTAAACGTTTAACAACTGGTCATAGACGGTCGTTGAGCAATAGAAATTTTACGATCTCCCACTTGATTCTTATGATTAGATGTTCCCGCCATTACTGGGCCCTGTTAAAATCAGATGCTGGCAATATCACGGAAGGCAAGTACAATTTTTTTTTTTAAGTAATTTGTAATGAAGAGATATTTCTACAATCCAGTGAAACATAATTGTTTTTTTTTTTTTAGATTAGGAGAATATTTTCCGTTACAACTTGATATGTTTTTAGCATACATGTCCTACTTCGGTTGTAGACACAATTTACATTTGTATTTTGGTATGTCAATCAGATATTATTCCTACAACTAAAAGGAGCACTCACATACATTCACACACCTACAAGATACAACAAGGATATTACTGTTGCAGAATTAGGCTTACCGAAACATGTACATGTACATGTAGCAACAATTTCATCACAATGTTATGCACATCTTATAAATATCTTGATGCCTGCAATGAGGACGTAATGGCCAACTTTAATCATTGATTCATTAAATAAGAGGATTTTTATGAAGTTACAAAAAAGAAAATGAAAATATAATTAGTTTGATGTTCATACTTGTTCTTATGAGTCAGCAATAATAAGACCATAGACAGATAAACATAGAAAGCAAAGTTTGCATGAATTTTGAATTAATAATAAACGAATTAAAAACCTCATATCTTTATATCAATCTATCCATCTCTTCCTACAAAGACAGATTTTAATAACAGGTAAAATCCTTTTAATCTAATTTTTTGCCCATGGTTTACTTTGCAGTTTTGTGCAACAAAACATCGTTTAAACCACCTCTGAAGTTTTTGGCCTGGCTTTGTTGTTATAGTGCATAATAAACCGTATTTTTCCCATTATCAGCGACTGTCAACTCCTAAAACAATTTAGATAAACACTCTGAATGAAACCCTGCATGGATCAATACCTTTTATAATTGTATGGTAGCTTTTAAAAGTATGTGCTAAATTGAATGTTAAACACTTGAAGGTAAGAAAAACATTACTAGAAAAAAAATTAAAGGCTAGACATTAGTGATTTTTGTGAATTACCTTGAGTAATTTTAAACAATTAAAATAAAGAATCTATTGTCTGAAAGTAATATTATACGAGACACTTTCATGTTCTAATGCCCGATTGTATATAGAGGTTTATGAAGGTGACGGAGACATTTGTGCCTGGATACGATTTTTTGTAGTTTTAGATGGGTGAGTAGGTTTTGGGGTCAAACTTGACAACATATTACATTCTACATATTTTACAAACCAAAATATATGTAATGTATCATCAGTAGATGGCTTAGTCCTACAATAAACGTAACATGTTCGTGTGCAGTTAAAACGACTGATCGTTAGTTTTTGTACAAATGATACTTCATTTGTCAACAAAAGTAACTGTTTCAAGTATATTTGAAATTGCGCATACCGGTAATGTACACAAGGCTTAGGAGTTGGCTCTTCTGCGACATAGCGTCACAGTAGAATCGCCCGTCATTGTGACGTCACAATAATCAAAAAATACTTCGATGCTCAAGGTTAGTTCCTATTTTTATTTAGATATACTCAATCATGTTTGTTTAAACATACATATATAGAAGCTAAAGTAATTTCATTATTGAAAATCTTGTTGTTTTCAGGTAAGCTCGAAAATATGCATGTACTTAGTAAAATAGAAAGTACTTCAAAGTCAGATGAAAGTTAATTTGTAAAATACTATACAGTCTAATTATGTAAAACTTTCTCAATTTATTCAAATTTTCTGTCTTAAAAATATAGAAATTTCTTAGATTAAAAGATCAAGTCAAGTTTTGTTCACATAATTACATACATTTCAATTTTGTTATGGAAATTGCTCAATTTCACTGAAATTTTAAGTACATGTTAAACGGAAAACAAAATAAAATTTCAACAATGTATTTCGACCAGGTTCATTTACAAAATCAATGTAGAAATCATATATGTTTTGGGTTTATTTACATTGACTTAGACTTTGTGTGCTTCTCCTTTGTCACATGTCCTTAAAATCATCTTCCTGTGGACAACACCCCAGGACTAATTCCGAGAACCCCGCTATCCTTTACAATCAAGCATGCGACATCGAATTTTAAAAAGTTGAAATCCGATTTGCTCACTTTGACGCTGCATTAATCCCCTTGACTATTTAATAATTAAAACACACGTTTAGGTGTACCTTTAACTACAGTAAATCTCTACACAAAGTTTTCTAAAAACAAATCTCAAAATGGCGATTCAATGACGAAAGTAAAGCAACAAAACATGCACACGAACGGAACTTTTCAGGTGGTTCTTGCGAACAAATCATTTTCAGTAACTGGGATATCTTCTCTGGCGAAAAATGGCTCTAACAAATCAACCCCCAAATCAAGGTATTGTGGCAAAGCATGAATATTATGAATCCTGAGGAGGATCACACTGCTTCCTCGCGTAATGACTGCATATGATTATTTTTTGTTTATCTAGAACTTTTCTGGAATTACTACTTTGGATACTGGTGTAAGTAAGAGGAACAAAGAATCATTCTTCGTCATAAATTCGTCAGATATTCTTACTTAGAACCATGTTTACTTGCAGAACAAAACCAGCGCCACGACCACCAATGAGCAGCCTGTATTATGAAGAACCTAAGAAACCAAAGAAAGTGATTGGATGGGACGAGGCCAGCAATGCCCGACCCCCGCTGAGAATCGACATGGAGGGACCCGGGCCCTGTACTTACTCCCCACAGAATAAACCACTGTATGAAACTAACGCTCCATCCTGGTCATTTGGATCCAAAACACAACCAGATAAAGGTACCGCTCACTTTTTCCTCTGACTAGATTTTTTTTTTTTTTTGGAAAATACATACAGTGTACGTATACAACTTCATGTATAAATTTATTACATAAACGGATCCAGGAATCTGTGAAAGGAGGGGAAAGGGTTCACCACATGATTGTTTAGGCATTTTTCACAACCCACCCCAAACCCATTACAACCCTTTGTTTGTGTACGTAACATTTAAAGGAGATCTGGAGACAGTTTTAGACTTCCTATTCAGTGATATTTTTACGAACTCTTGTCTGTCACTCATGTATATTTTTTTTTGTTTCGGACCCCCTCCCCCTTTCTGGATCTGCCCTTGTAATTTTGTATTATAACGTTAAGTTGTTTCTCAACTTCACTGTACAGTCGGAGATATTCATCCTCGCAATGGGGTCCTGAGTCAAGACGTTTCCGTGTTGACTTAGGACCCCTGGCATTGCGAGGATGGAGATATACGAAATGAAAACTCACAACGTCTCATTACTGTCCAAAGCAGTTGCTTATTACATTGAAGTATGCATGTACTTGCTAAGTTATGTACATAACAAGAGATTCCTTATAAAATAGAGTGAGATGTAACATGGTCTTGAAATTGTTCTTGTGTTATAAGTCATCATGGTCTGTTTATTTTAACTTTCACTACTTCAGGTGGGGGAGGCAGAACTTCGTGGGAAAAATCCTGGTTCCAGAGTCCCCACCTCTACCAACAAAAAACAGATTTCTTCGCCGATAATGCGGTTTGTATAATTATCCACTCTTTCAACATATTAGGGTCCAGAGTTTATAATTTAAAAATACAATGATTACAATGATCACTGTAACTGTTAAGGTATAATATTTTTTTCATGGTTGTATGGTTAATATACCATTGAGAGTATCACGATACTTCACATGATAGTAAATCCGACATGAGTGATATATGCCATGATTTTGCTTAAAAGTCATATTTCAAAGGCAAGGTTTTAGTAGCCATTGACTTAAAAAAAAATTTTTGTGCATTTCAAACACCAAATATAAAAAAAGATGCATGTATTACAACTAGGCCATTCCAATTTTTTTTTTCTCTGTTTAGTGTCCACCCATCTTTCAAACACCTTCACAGAAAAAACAAACCATTATGACGTCATAATCGAATTAAACTTTCTTTTTTTCCCGTACTTTACGGCTGTAATAGAATTATGTAGAAAATAAAGTATTTTCCTGGAATTCATATTGAAATCATGTAAAAAGTAATCCCGAAGCCAATATTCAATTTAATATTATTTTAAAGAAGAGGATAAGAACATAAAAATTACCGTTTTCTGAGAGACTGTAGGCAATCTGGATACATTTAATTTGTCTGATATGGAAAAAACTCCCATATGCATGACTGGTTTTCTTAATTTTTTCAATGAAAATGACAGTTTATAATATGATTTTTCGTCTTGTTTACCTACAAATTATGCCCCGAAACACCTTATTTGACCAAGCTATGCTTATAAAGCTTCATTAAAGGAATTCATTTCTAAAATTTGAGAAATCTGTAGGCTCCTTTTATTTACTAGATCTTGACCTTAAGTACATATATATACGCAACGTAATTTGAACTATATTGTCTTTTTCCCTGGAGTTGAAGAGTTTCAATATTTATAGGAACTGAGTGCTACATTTTAATGTCTAATAATAAGATATATGCTGTTGTACACTTCTTTTAAAACAAGTTTGGATAAACGAAACATCTATAGAAAATATCTTAGTAATCTTTGTACATTTTCTTTGAATTATGCAAGAATTTTCATCAATTGATATCTGTTCAAAAGCCCCCGGTGATGCATGCTGATTTTTTTTCTACGAACATTTGATGGCACTATAACCTTAATTAAACTAAGAATACATTGTACTGAGTACATGTATCTTGAAAAATTATCAATAGGTAAGGCACGTCGCGTATGTCCTTAAAAGGATTTGATTTCATTAATCTATTTTTCTCGTAAAGAAATCTATTCCTGAGCAAAATTAAGGTACTACATGGTTAATATATATGACAAATTTTAAACAAAATAGAAAGTAATTGACAGAATTAATTCATAGGTTTCGACCAAAAGAATCAATTTCAGGACACCCGATTTTTTTCTGATCTGGGGTGTCAAAAACCAAGGCGCACGCGGACACTAAACATAGAAAAAACTTGGACTGGCCCCATTTAATCTGAAAAAAGGCTGGACGACTATCTTCTGATCCTTAATCCTAATTTTTTCAAACCAGCAAGCTATAGGTCTGCAGCTATAAATTAGTGTATCGTGTTCTAGCTGATAATGTGAACGTCATTGTAACATTAATGTTAAAATTGAATTTGATTCTGCCCAGCTTGAGGTCTTTTCTACATCGAGATTAATTACGCTTCACTGTCGTTTTCTTTTCCCTTTGATTAATAAACATCTATTTCATACAGTGGCCAACACCCAGTACCTACACACAGCGTCCCCTCCTTGGTCCTCGACAGAGAACCACCATTGAAGCCCCCTCTTTCAGTATTGGAGTAAGGAGGAAATTTGATCTTGCTAAACCTGGTATGTCAGGGTTTTTTTTTTTTTTAGCTCTACTGGTCAGAGATCAGAGGGGCCTAATGAAATAGTAAGGTGTCCGTCGTCCCTCCGTCCAGCTGCCTGTCTGTTCATCTATAAATAATTTTTCAAAACGCTACTCCTCCTACAGTTCTGATCCAATTTTAATAAAACTGTTTCACAAATATACTATACTAAGATACATAGTTTGTTTTGTCAATAGTTGATTTCGTCAAAATGTGTTGCCATGGTTACTAAAAAATAGAAATTTATGTGAAATTATTTCAAAACGCTACTCCTCCTACAGTTTTGGTCTAATTTTTGTTAGACTTGGTACACAAATACACTCTACTAAGATACATAATTCTTTTTATAGGACTTTTATTTCGACAAACGGTATTGCCATGGTTACTTTTGCTCCTACAGTTTTGGTCCAATTTCAATTAGACTTGGTACAAAATATAATTTAAACTAAGAAAATGCAAGTGCACACCAGTAGAGCCTTGGTTTCGCCAGAGACTTCTGATTTATACTACAACTACTACTACTACTGCTGCTGCTGCAGAAAATATCATTACACGAAATGAAAATATGTTGTTAATTAAAATTATTACATTTCAACGTAGTTACTATTTCAACTAGTTATTATATTGAACATTATAATCATTGATCATTCATCTGACAGAGGCATCAAAGCAGCCATCACCTGGGGACTATGAGAGAAACCAAGCGGATAAGGTGATATATAGATCCAGTCCCTCATTCTCACACCAGTTCAGACGGGAGGGTACAATCCTCTGGTCTCATAATGGTAAGTAACCCCTCAGCCCAGTTGTTTAAACAGTAGTCGATGCTATTTTAGCAACATTTGAAACAATTTTTTTGTTTGCAAAATAATGTTTAATCAAGATTATGAGCTGGCATGTAACTTGTCATTGATAGATGTGTTACTGATATATTATATCGTATTATAATCACTATTAGGATAATTAAGCTGTTTATTAAAATGAAAATACATTTTATACTCTTAAAAAGAATGCATTTCACTGGTTCCGATTTTACAGAGAAGAACCCTGGTCCAGCAGCGTACAGTCCTAGGTTAGAACAAAGCAAGTTCATGAGCCCGGCTTTTACTATTCGGAGTTTGAGGCGAGAAAAGTCACATGTCCTGGGACCTTTTTCTACCTTTTAATTTATTGTAATAATTTGTTGAACAATTTTGTACGTGCTCTGTGATCATGTGCTGGAATTATTTTCTACAATTTAACTTATTGTAATAATTTATTGAACAGTTTTTGTACGTGCACTGTGATATCAGATCCTTTTTGCTATTTTTACTTTTTATAATTTTATATATTAAAAAAGGATCCCAAGGTTTTGTTGTTTATGTATTATATTTCTATGTCCTGTTGAATTTTGCTCAAAAAGAGACAATGCAGAATTTATTTTTTCTGTAAAAATAAATAAATGAATCATTTTATTTCAGTGATTTACCGCTTGTTCTTTGTGTTTTTTTTTTTATTAAGGACAAGATAGTAATAAGCCAGTAATTATAATGAATGCAGAAAATAACAGAAAAAGACAATTTATGGCTTCTTTCCATTAAAATCAACTTTTCAAGTTACTCATTAGATGCAACGCAGATGTACTGCAGAAGTATTTGTGTATGCCACTGTGTACGTACATCTACAGTTTTGCCGTGTTCATCGATACTGCTCGGCTGTAAACCACCAGGAAAATTATATCCATAAAAAGGATTCCACCGTTGTCTATATCGATTAACCTCGAAGTATTCAATGAAATGTTGACATGGTAACTCTTTTGCTAACTATAATATACTGCAAAATGTAGACACATCAAATGTCTGACTGATTTGCTCAGATATTCGAGCGCACTTAAAATGCATAATCCATAATCTTTTCTATGTTTAAAAATCAGATGTGAACTTGGTGCATGGAAACCCAAGAAGCAATTTGTAAGATTGGCACTTGACATTGCTTCACAACAATAAAAAACAAAGTAAATAGATAAAACTTTATTGTTGAATTCTGTCTTTGTTGATTCCTACGACATATGTTTGACGGGGTGTAGAGAAAATTATATAGTCAGTATTATAGCGCCTTGGTCTTCGAATACTAAACAAATATATACTAAAAGGAAAAAGAAACACAGGTAAACTTTTGAAGTGTGTTAAAGCTTTTTGTATGAAAGTATTTTCCAGTATTGTTATCTAACATTTAAGCTCATCTTTAATCAACAAGTTACCAAAATCTCATTTGATTTTGACTGATAATTCATGAGTTATTGGAATTCATATGACGGCACCCCCAAAATTGAAAATAAAAATTCTCATTATCTCCCTTGCGCATCTCTCATAGAATCGATTCTCCTCTGCATGGAGTTCATCAGTTCATTTATCTTTTTCATAGGAATACTAATTCAATCTTCCGACAGGGCCCTTAGTTGGACGAGAATAGCTGGGGCATTCTGACCTTCAAACCCTACCGTCCAGTTAGTCTAACAGATTTTCGATTGGAGAAAGAGATCGAATTCACGGAGGCCAGTTGATTTGGTAAATGTGAATGTTTGCGAGAAAGTCTTGACAAACTCTGGCTATATTTTCCCGGGCGTGAACATGCTGAAAAATTAGGCATACGACGCAAACGCGTGCGAGTGAGAATAATACCGACGTAAAGTTGACAAGCTCACGGCCCAAAATAGAGCAGTTGCTTCTTTCTGTTTTAGGGTGAATGCAAGCCAACGATTGTGATTGCCTACTGTATTTATTGCAGTCCGGAGGACCGGGCTGATCTATACATATAAGTTTAAGTTTTGGTGTATGGGATTGAGGTGGGAGAAGTTATTCAGAATTAAGGGTTAACTATACATTAAAAAGATTATACACCAGAATGTTCTTTCCCTTTATAAATTACGAGATATACAATATATTTACTTCCATGAAGTACATCTTTAAAAATATATATGTTTTTCATATGCAATATACAAAGTTGCTTATCATTTATTACCGACAAAACAACAGGTCCTTTTTTGTTTAGAACATTAAATTTTACTTACCGCATAAAAACTTACGTTACACAGTTTGTGTTGTATATTCACTAAGTCAAACATATTTTTGGTGATAGGTGATACATGTGTTTGATTCTAATTTATATTTTTTGCAGCCAACAGTTACTTGGAGAAACGATAAAGTTTAAAACGGTATCGTTTTTGTTCGATTTTCTTCATATTACAAGTCTCGATCATTCAGAAGCATGCCTTTATCACACAAATCGAAGCGGTTTGATGATCAAGATTTTACTTCATTTATTTTCCGGGCGGCAATTGATGGCAACATCAATGTTTTCTTGTTCGGTTTTAGTGGTAATGCCGAAGCGATTAAAAGGGTGGCAGGATGAAAGGCCTCATCTTGAAATGGCGTTGTTAAGCGCAAACGTCATCGTCACGGTTGGTTGGTTGGACACCATTCCAGTTCCTAAAATCTTCCATTGTGGAAAAAAATAATTACAAAGGCCTTTTTTCTTCAATTAGGCAATTCAGTTACTTGACCGAATGGAACTCCATCAGCCGTACCATAATTGCAAGAAATTCATATTGACTGTAAATATGGAAAAAAAAATGTGTATACCTCCAGTGCATCAAGTGGTACTACAAAATGTGTTATCAAACTTGTCATCATGAATATGCACGTGTTTTTGACTTTTTACCACTTTCCCTATGTGACGTCATACATTTCAAGGTTGAATAGTTTTGAACACCGATTTTAGTACACAGTAACTAAAATATACCTCAGACCAGTTTTCATAATTTTCGGCCACGCAGTCAAAAATATTTCGCATATTATATTACCCTGCGTTTTTTTTCCCTTTAAGTATACGTACAACCCATAGTCCTCTACACAGACTACTATATACATGTACTACCCATAGTCATCTGCGTCTCTGCACACATTTGGTTTGGTACAAACGAACTCTGGTGAAAGTTTGAACAAATACAACATATACCGACTACATGCGCATATCCAGGATTTTTTTTTCGGGGGGGGGGGGGGGGGCACTCACTCGATCAAACCAAAAAATTCTACTCGGAATTTTTTTTTTTGGTCACGCAAAAAAGGAAGCAACTTGACAAAAACTTGTCCAAAACCGAAAAATCTATTGGTGGAGGATGAGGGTGTGTGTGTGTGTGGGGGGGGGGGGGTAGGACAAGTTGCTTTAAATGAAGAGGAGGAGGGGGGTCCAGACCCCCTGCTAGATCCGCACATGACCACCTCCGTTCAGCCATAAATATAAAGGAATGAGAACAAATTCATATCTAGAACAGGTGTCAATTGGCATCAATTTATTGATTTAGCGAGAGAGTTTAACTTTGCATGTATATGTGAACTGATATTTTTAGATAACTTATCATTTCTCGTAGATTTTAAGAGTTTATGCAATAAAAAATAAATGAGTAAACATACATTATTACTTTGAAGTACCACTGACTTCTACACCTAAGATACATCTCTGTTGAATGAATGGCAGCACAGAAAATTTGAGTTGTCTTTTCCTTGTACTAAGAGATAACGTCGGCAAAGGCTAAAACAGAAACATGTCTGAGAGCAAGAAAATGAAGCTCTTTACGGAAAAACCGAAATTTCCAGGAGAAGTGGACGAAGTTCATCCTGGACCGTTTATAACGATGCCCCCGCAACCCCAAAAGAAGAAACCAGGACAGCTATCGAGCAAACAAATTACACAGTTTTTTGATGAGGTAGGTCGCTTCTTACTTTTAAAGCATGTAGATGCACGCAGGGGAACTTATTTATAATTTCAGTATAATTCAGTTCACTTTGTATGATGCATTAATACTGAAAACGTGTTAATACTGGAAAATGTTTTTCCTGATGATCGTCAAGTTTGAAACAAGTTTTGTTTTCAAGGTATTGGAAATGACCCCTGGCCCGCTGTATTTTCATCAAGATCATAACTTCTGTAGATTGCCGACATTTAGGGTGTTCGTGAGATTACATTAAGTGACCTCTTTATACATTCTACAGGGTTACACGGTAGTCCAGGACTTTTTCACGCCAGAGGAGCTCCAGCCCTGTCGGGACTCTATCTCTGAAATGGTCGATAATCTGGCGGATAAACTTTTCAAGGCTGACAAGATAACAGGTGACACCGATGGTCCGCCATGAATTTCTACTCCCTCCTCTAATATATGTTTAACCTCCTCAAAATTCCCACACACATTAGCAAATAACCTGTCTCCATCCTTTGCAGCCGAAATAAAATACTAGTAAAAAGAAAGAAAGGATAAATATTTCGTACGAATTAAGGCGGATCAAGCATCTTTTTATGGGATTTAAGAAAAGTCATGTTAATTGAAAATAAAATACATGTAGGGGGGAGGGATTATCCAACTTATATCCCCATTATAAACAGTAAATGGATGGAGGTGGGGAGGGGTCATCTTCGCTAGCCAAGGGTTTCTGATACGCTACTCTTCTCATAAACCCTTGGCATACGGTGGATTGTTTTTGTCACGTGATCACGATTTATTTACAAAAATAATGTTTTTAAAGAATTATTAACAAGAAGGTATTGAGTTATGTTAATTTGTTATTTAAACATGTAAAAATGCAAATCTACATCTTCAGTATAGATTCTTAATCACATATTTTGCACGTTGCTTTAGAAATTGGATGACACCATATTGCTATTCATAGAATGGCATGTTATCTTACGGATCATTGTTTACTTGCGTTTTACATTACCGATATTAGAGAGTCAAGATATATCCCGAACGCAAATATCGTTATTTACAAAAAACAATTGCTGATTGGTCGAACGATGTCGATCAACTCCAATCACAACTTGAGAAAAAAATCCCAACTTTTTTTAACACCGTATGCCAAGGGCTTATGAGGAGAGTAGAGTACGTATCAGAAGCCCTTGGCTAGCGAAGATGGGGAGGGGTCGGATCATCTCAGTTTCATTAGGTGTCATAACATATATTTTTAGTTGATTAAAGTAGACCAGCCTGTAGTTGAGAATGCATTTAGATGTACATAGCTGATTCATAATTAAAACTTTAACAAAGGAGATACTTTTTGGGTACATACACTAACATGAGAGGAATCGACAATACTACTACTGCCAAAAAAAAGTGGGGGGGGGGGGAGCTTTAAATGAATATTTCAATAATTCATTGACAGCAAAAACACTATTTTCAGAAAAAGTGGGGTTTCAGCCCCCTTCCTTTCCTGGCACTACGGGTTTGCTTGTCATACCGATACATGTATTTATAAGGATTCAGAGATCAAATCATAAACATACTTGACACTTAGCATACTAGTATATGTTCTATAGTTTTCGGTAAGTGTATAATCGAGATGTAAAATGTCTTGCTCTAAAATTGTATATACTATAGTTTGGCCTTTTTAAAAATTGATTCTTTATTTTTTTTTTATTTTTAGAAAAGTTCTCAGAATATGGCTTGTTCCAGAGATTAACAAAACTAGAAGAAGCTTATCCGGGATCAAATATTCTTTTGTTTAAGTCTCAAAAGATGCCAAAAGTAAGATTCATTCTTTTAAAGAAAAAAGGGGAAAATCCATTCATAATTTATGGAGTTTTATTATGCATTAAGCTTAGTAAACTGAAAGCTTTCCTCCGAACAAGAGCGACAAAGCTAGGACTAAACGCGAGATTGATACTTGCTTGATTGTGATTGATACCAAACCCTTCCCTTGATCTCATGATCAGAAATTTGATTAAATCCTCGCACTGAGAGGAGAGAGATTGGAATCACGCGCATTTTGCTCTCTGGCTTTGTTGCTGCGAGTGCAATAATACACTTCATACTGTGTTGTGTTAGCGGAAATCTAAATCTCATAAATGTGAGAGGGTAAAAAATTTTCGAACTCTCACGTGAACACAAACCTTGAGCAATTACAATAAGTAATTAATGCATGACATCAACTGATTCTTTTTTTCATTCGAACATAAAAATCCTTTCTTTTTTAATAGTTTTCTTATTGATTGTAAAAGAGGAATTAGAACTTTTGTCTTGCTATAATAACATCTTTTTCTTCACGGTATAAAGTTGCAGAGAGTCCGTTCATTTCTTTTTAGTCCTTTCAAAAGTTATGGTGCAATGAAAGATTGTTAAACGTAATGGAGCAGATTCTTGGTCCGGAAGTGGCAGGACATCCTGTTTGGAACTTGCGTACAAAAACACCAAATAGTCAAGCAGTCGACATTCCTTGGCATCAAGGTGATTGAGCCATGTTTATATTCAGCTTGAAAATTGCCTAGAACTTGTTACATCTATTTTGATATCTTAAAAATAGATGCAATTATTTTCTTTTTAAAAGTAAATAATTATGTAATAAATATGTACTCCCCATAAGGGGAAAGCATTGGTTTGCTCTATGTCTCCGACTTTGTATCTGTCTGTCACAAAATCGTGTTCATACGGCCATACCTTTAGAACGCTTGGCCGGAGTTATGTCAATCTTTAGTATGTTAGTTATTCCTATATGCACTTGATGTTGCATATTTTTCTCATATAAAAAAATTACCCTCCTACTTGATAAATTTATTATTTTGTTTAGATTAAAAAAAATTGTAACGCCAATGGCTGTGGTTATTCCTGTGGGCAATCTAAAAGGTCAAGGTCATTAGAATAAGGATGAGGAAACATTCATTTTGTCAAAGTAAAAAAAAAACTTACAAAACCATTTAATGTCAATTTCAGATAGTGCTTATTTCAGCAATGAGTCTTACGATCATATGATAGCCACAGCATGGATTCCATTTCTTGATGCGACAGAGGAAAATGGCTGTATGCAGGTACCTATACATGAATTAATCTATTCACACATCTGACAACCTTGAAATGGATGAAAGATAATATAGGTGCAATCCATAACCGAATTATTCTTATTATTTTAATTTTTTGTAGGTTGCCAAAAATGGACATCGGAAGGGTAAAGACGCTACGCATCAGTGTTGTAAAGGCCCCACGTGGTACGTCATGCTAGAGGAAGAGGAGATGACGAAAACTCTGGGTAATTGTAAAGGATTACTAGTATCGCCGGAAATTCAAGATTGCGCAGGGAAGTGGACAACCAAGACATTTTTTAAAATTTATCTGCAAAATTTTAAAGACTTAAATTTTCACATTTTTCAAATTCTTCCTTTATTTACTTAACTTTTTTGACTATGTTTTCATTTGTTCAAATTCAAAGAAAGTTTGATCAGTCTCTACGAAAAAAAATATTTCTTTATGCAGATGTCGATACTGAAAAGGATATTTTGACATTACCTATCAAATATGGGGGTTTACTACTTTTTAACAACTTAACACCCCATAGAAGGTATTAATAATTTATAAATAATGTTATTTTAAATTCTGCTTGCTTTCGATTCATCGAAAGAAACCATGACAATAACTTGTTTTTAACAGCCTAATGAATTATTCCGAAGAAATTCGGTGGAGTGTTGACTTGCGTTGGCAGTCTCCGAAGCATCATTGGGGATTTTACGACATAGGAGAAGGGGTCCTTTTCCGGTCTGCCGAAAAGGAGGTCAAGGAACCGGACTGGGACAAATTCTTCTCCGTGGACAGGAAAGAAATATGGCAGAAAAAATATTTCAAACAGGTGAAAATGGTACATAAAAAGTGTCCTGTAATAAAACTTATTAATGAAAAAAAATCTTACGAAACTAATTCAATAAATATAGTAGGGTCTTCCGTTTTCCAATAGAACCCCCGTATCTTGTCTGCTATTTCCACTATTTTCCAACAATTCTAAATGACTTAAGGTCAGACGATACATTCCTCAAATATCTGTTTTGTATCTCATTGTACTATATAAAAACTAATCAAAATTTTAATTACATGTACCTTCTGATTTCTAAACTGGTTAAATTTTGATAGTGACAATAATAAATTGAAGTTATTTCCGAAAGGATTATATAGGAAACACCATTCATTTGTATCTTACACAAATGCCTGGTAATGTACCTCAATTTTTTTGTGAGGAAACATGTTAAAGTAGCAATTCTTTAATGACAAAATCGTGGGGAAAATATATATTATTGAGGAACGTATCATCTGTCCTTCATGTGATCTTTTCTGTGAACCGAAATATCGGTGTCTTTTCACAGAAGAATGACTTGGATCCTTTCGATACTACAATAACAGGTCCCTGGATTGGTCGCTGGGAAATTGTTAACCATAACAAGCATACTGATGCATTTAAGCCCGGGTAGGCGATAAAAGAACCTATTAATTACATCAAATTTTAATGTTCGTATTCACATATCTACTATATATATATCAAGCCATATATATTTACCCAAGTACTTGTATATACATAAATATCAATTTAGATAAAAAGTATCAAATCAATGAACTGTGTTTACTGTATATCCAAATGCTTCATCAAATATAAATTATTTAACAAAAGAATTCGCGTTGATCATTGATTTTATATAATTCGCGTTATTCTTGGATTACATTTTGACATTTGAAAGTGAGTGAAATGGGTTTTATTTTGTTATCTAGGCGATAAGTTATGACTAAGCTAAGGTACTCACAGTGAAAAAATTTTCTACCTATATTTTTTTATTATCAATTGTTAATAAAAAAAAAATCCTTAATAGCAACAGTTGTAATTAGCCCTAGTAGTAGTAATTAAACCTATGAAAAGCAGATTTTGAATGAACTAGTGTTGAGATCTAAAAAAAAAAATATCACATTTTCATACGAAAAACAAACAACCCGTATATTTGTTGCAAATTACATTTTTTTTTCTAGACAATCATAGACTTGTTTAAAAAGAAAAAAAAAAGTGCTTCCGACCACGACGAGACTCGAACTCGCAATCTTCCGATCCGAAGTCGGACGCCTTATCCATTAGGCCACGCGGTCTCCATTTCGGTCAGTGGTATACAAGTGTGACATTCTTTTACCTGAGATAATACACTCGTAGGCACATTCCGGATGATTTTATTAGTGCTTTGATGTTCATATAAAAATACCTTAAGATATTCATTTAACTAAATCTATGTTTTTTAACCAATAAGACCTATGAGCTTACTAAAAAAAAATTAACTCGAAGGAAAGACAACTCTAAATTATCTGTATGTCCATTTAAAACCCGCGCTTTCCTACAGCTGGGACGGAATCTGAAATAAAAGAAGAAATCTATCTTACTATCTACACTGTACTAAATATCTAAAAGAGCACTCAGAGTTGTAGTATTTTTATTGACACCATTTGGGATGGCCAGGGGAGGGAGGAGGGGTGGGTATCAAAGTTTTAGTAACAGAAAGAAGAACTGAAAATGTTCCACCCCACTTAGCCCGACACCAGAACCGGACTAAAGACTGCATGTAGTTTGGCGTCAACTGGGCACCCCTGAGATAAGACATTGAAGACATAGGTGATAATGACCAATAAGTAAATCTTTAGAGATATTTCCCTTCACATTTCTTTGCCAAACTTTGAACCCCTACTGTGAATTAAGTCAATTAACCCTCCCTATCTCCATGGGCCATGTTTTGGAGAAACTTGAAAAGTGAATAACTTGAAAGGTGAATGTCAATCCCTAGAAAACTATTAATTGCCTACCCTGACAAAACATTTCTCCTTCATAGCTCATATAATTTGGTGAGCACCGAGTAATTTAGCGACTCAATTTAATCCATTTTTTTTATTCATTAAAAGCAAGGAAAAAACCTCACATTTCTGGTAAACGGAATTAAAATTGATGTTTTCTGTATTCTTATAAAAAAAAAAGAGGGTTAAATTCTTAATGGATGCTTTTTTTGAATGTAAGCTGCTTTGTACATGTATGATGATCATCTGCAGATAATTAACATTGAACAAACAAAAACGAAAAACAACAAAATTCCACTTACTTGGGTGGAATGCATCGCAGTCTTCGTCAATACGACCATCTCCATCATTGTCTATAAATAAAAAAAATATAAGATTCTTTAGTGAGATATTATACAGGAAAAAATACAAGTTATAAACATTTAAGAGTATAACATTTTCATGAGAAAAATATTGTACATGCATTGTATAATGCAATTTAGCTAAGTCGAGTGTCTTTGCTTTTTTTGGGGTGGGGGTGGGGGTTCCCCGCTTTCATGCGCGAAAGCGCGGGGACATTAAATCTCATTCGTTTGTCTGTCTGTCTGCCCGTCACAAAAACTGTAACCTTAGTCCCATATTGTGAATGAAAGGAAGATAGGGTTTTATATTTTACATGTGTACACAAAAAACCTTTCAGACTGTATAATTATTTTTACCTTGACCTTTGAGTTTGACATACTTTTTCAAAAACCAACCGACAAATGTGGTGGTTAGAGGATCCGGAGCCACCAAACAGAAGGAATTCTCAAAGGAGAAAGGATGAATATAAAAGATTTGAACAGTGTTGTTCCATAGGAAGATCCGATGTCAAAATTTAAAACTAATTTTGTAGATCATCCCGGAGACCATAACGAAACAAACATGATTCATACTATATGATCATGCTTACATAAGAAAATTTAATGACAGTTTATATAATTTTAGTTGGTGGGAGATTACTTTGATCAATTAGAATCACCATCACCAAGGTGGCGTTCTTTTAAGTTTAGTTGAAATTGATTCTGAAGAGATGTCGGAAATGTCAAAAGTTTGGAAATAACAGACCACGACTATGACGGACAAAAACAGATAGGAACTTTCGACTCTGATGACGTTAAACTATAGTTTGAAGTTAAAACAAAAACAAACAATTAAAAAAAAAACAAATAAAAAAAAGTAAATGCCTTTTCTCAGATTTTGCTTCCAAACTCAATGTTTAGGCCATTTGCTAGATTCATTATCGCAAGTCACAAATTGAAATCAGCTTCCGTTTACTTGAAATTCCGTGGTTTGCAACCAAGCTGAGAAATCAAGTTAGATTGAAACGAAATAAAATATTCCTGGAACTATAGAATAAAACTTAAATTAAAATACAACTCAATTGAAATATAAACCCATCAAGATTCTTTAGTGATTGGCTTTTTGCCGTTAAAACAAATAAATTTAAGTTATTTCAACTCTATATTAAAAAAAATGTATGTCGGTACATCATATTTTACCTTTTCCATCTGCCCTTTCTTCGTCTATCTCGCCATCACAATCATTGTCTATTTCATCTCCGTACTGCATCTGTTTAGCACGGCAACCCTTGCAAAACAATATAAATGCAAATCGAAGAATGGATAGATGGACAAAAAAATGCTATACCTCTTTCTTGTGTTAATTTAAAACAAATTAGCAACAAAGATGTTGCAATGCGTTTAATTCCTTAAGACTGATTCAGTTTCAAAGATGGACATCAAATTCATATTTTGCTCCTCTGCGTATAAAACTGCACTACATTTTATATGATGTTATGATTGACAGCCACATAAAATTAAGTGACGAATTTTTGAAAACAAAAATATAAGAGCGAAATCTTGATTTCGGTGATACTAAGGATCTATCCAATGCAGCAATTCATTTAAAAAATCCACTTAAAATCACGTTTACATTATACATGTAGTATTCATCAATCAATTAATCAATTTCAAATTTCATTTAATTAAAGGGGACGTATTTTTGAACTTTTTAACATATAAGTAAATTTATGAAAGAATAGTGTCGTCTTTCGTGATGAAGTGGTTGTAATACACTATTGTAATACAACTGTATATATGTATGCTCATAATCATTCTTTTTGGCCAATGAAATTTATTTCATACATTGTGATATTTATTTTCTTACATTTTCATTTTATCAGTAACCTCATTTCAAATAAGGTGAGTACTTTTATATTTTGAGAAATCAATAAGAGCGCAACTCTTCAGTTTTTTTTAAACCCTTTACAACAGTGCGTACTTTTTTGTGCTAATAACGGAGGCGAAAGCGAAATGGATGAGAGGTGGTCTTAGATTTCTTTCTAACTGAAATACATGTTTTCCAAACAATATTTTCGAAGAACAATAATTTTATTTTTCTGTTGGCTTGGGTTTTTTCGTGTAGTACAGAGAGTTATGAATAGCTGAGGGGCATAACTATAGGTAATTGAAGACGTATAAGTCAAAGTTACTAAAATGCATTTGTTAGATTTTACTGTATGGAAACAGTACTACGTTTATGCAACGCCCTCTTAGAAAGAGATTAATAAAATTCTTCTTACCGTGTTGACTGGGGTGAGTAGTAAACCAATGGGGAAGGCATATGACTCAAGATTTGCTTTGCCAAAAAGAATTGCTCCGATAACAGTAGTTGGATTTGTGTGTGTGACAGAATGGGTCCCAACAGGAATCTTAACAAAGCCAGCAACTAGATTACTTCCGGGTATCGTCACATAATGTTGATTACTTGGCAAGGGCTTACCATCTAGTCGTAAGCCGTTCTTTTGGGTAGCGTCTAGTACGAACATAAAATAATTTGTATATTGTCCCTTTGAATAAGCAGGCGTGGTAAAGGTATAGTCAGCAGCGTACTGTTCTATAGGAGGTACAATCAACATGGCTGGGTCTGCCAAATCTGTTCCTCCTTTCTGAGTCAGGGAAAATTCAAACAAAGAAATTGGTTTGTCGGACGTCACATGGGAATAAAGAGCAGAACTGTATTGTTTTTTGACGTAGGTTCCCGCCTTTGGAATGACAAAATGGTCATGGAATGCTTTGCCATTGATAACGCCTGTTACATTAACATGGGTGTTGTCTTCGCTGGCAAGGAACTGGAAAAGGTCTCCCACGCTTCTCTCAGGAATAGGGACAGTAGCATAATTTTTGCCCCAAGATGATACTGGAAGCAACATCTCGACTAAATGATCACGTGAACCACCTGTGTTTCCAACCACTGCCTTTTTATTTCCACTTAGTACACCCACGGGTTTATCGGATATTATATGCGCACCACTGAGATCTGGAACAGCGTGGATTTCAAATGTACTAAATCTGTCCAATGTCACATTAATCCAATCATTTTTAAGATAAGTATGACCTTTGTATGTGACGTTGAGATGAGGCGTATTTGGTAGATGTATTGAAACATGTGTTCGGTCTTGAACCCCAATAACAGCAAAAACACAGTAAAAGTAAGATGGTATGTAGGACATAGTGTAATACTCAGTACCAAGAACATCAGTCGGCAAAGCCAAATAACCGTCGTCGGAATACACCTCTCTGTTCACTCCATAAACAACAATTTCATCGTCAGCTTGAATGAGAATGCCTTTTTTGCTAAGTTCTGTTTGGTTCAAACGATAGCTTGTATCCACTGCGACACGTTTTACGTGTCCATTTGTGATAGAAAAGGTTTCATGAAGGTGAGAATTACGTACCCCCGGAGAAGTCACAGTCACGTGTACCAGGTGGGTTTTCGCTGTTGTAATGAAAATTTCTGGCTGAATGTCCCTATTTTCTAAGATTTTGTTGTCCATGAAGGTAATAATAAATTCGGTTCCTCTGTTATCGAGAGCACCTGCAACAGCATAATAAAACAATAATTGTTCATTTTGCTACCTTTTAAAAGGTCTTGATTTGACCAATCCCTTTCCTAGACTAAGACTTCGGATAGTTAACAAAATGGGATTTTCCTAACTTGGGATTGAGGCTCAGGAGTTCATTAGAGGAAAACTAAGCATGGAGACAAAATAATTCTACAGTGCTGTGAGAAATTTTTTTTTGTCCTATATGCAAAGACATGTGCAAAATTTTTCCATTTATTGACCAAGTTTTGATAAATGCAACAGTAGCAGACATCACGATGAGAAAAGATGCAGAGTTTAGTTCTATATATCTTTTTTGTTGCAATATTTTCTGTCCTTGCAAATTGTCTATAAGGAAAGTCCTTTGATGTTTTAGAGGAAGAATTTCTACAGTATCAAATTGATTGTGATAAAGAAATCTTGGAATCAGATAGCATTGACATTGCGTGGTACTGTACATGCACTTAATTGGTAGAGTGAAATGCCATATCGCCGGGGGGGGGGGGGGGGGGTCAAGTCTCCAGTTCTTAAAAAATGATTCCAGGATTTTCACTCTAACACAGACTGTGAGAGATTATTTAACTAAAACAAATCTAGGCCTAACATGAATAACAATACTCCTGGAGGATTGGTGACCACAAAGTATGTGTAAACAGTAATTGGGGAACAAGCATTTAAGTCAAATCTATCCAGTGATTTACTCAAACAAGAGGCCCAAGGGCCTTAACTGTCATCGGAGTATAATACAACACTGTAAAGGATCCATAGAAGTATAAAGCAGAATTAACTGATAGATGAAGCTATCTTGCCCAAGAATTTCAAAATTCTAATAAAAATACCTTTGCTTATTGCAACATGCAAGACCCCAGCAATCTCCTTGGGATCGTACTCGGTTTGCCCAAGTCTTACATGGATGATAATGAATGCAAAACATACAAAAAAAAATGGACACTTGCCTAGTGTGTAAGGTATTTAATATATGCAGATATGTTTTTGTCGAATGTCTAGTGCTACAATTAAGTACACAAAGAGAAATCTCTAATGTCTGTATATTCACTAGAGGTGATGCCTCTTGGCTACACAAACAACTTAGCTGCTTGCCTTTTAGTAACACTTGGTACCAACACTTGTCTCTTGGGTATACAGACAACTTGGTAATACTTTTTACCAGAACTCGCCACTTGGCTATACAACATGGCCATTTGCCACTTGTCACAAGCTACCACACATCTCTTAGTCACCCTGGCTCTCTGTGATCACTTGGTCACTTTGATAAACTACTTAAGTATAAAACAACTTTATGCACGCTTTTACCAATTAATCCATGGTCTGCATGATTTTACCTGACAATATCTTGTCTACTGACAATCAGGATACCACGGTATACACACACACTATGTACTATTTGCTATTTTGCTACATAAATAATCTTTATGTCAATCTTTTATAATGCTTTACGGGCAAGAATCCGACTTTGGGCATACTTTGCTCAGTTAAACCAAACATTCATTTTTATTTTGTTTCTATAGTGTATATATATTTAACATTCTTTCTTGTATTATCATTCAATCAAATAACCTATTAATTAAATTATTTACAAATTTCTCTATTAATACAATTTAGCTAAGGAGGAGTAACTCTCATTTGCTTCACATATTACAATTTTGAACTCTGTTTGACGTCTAGATACCCAGGATCAGAGAGGAGATATTAATTTGTTTTATATTTATAGATTTACATTTATATTATTGCATTTAGTTTGTTTGCTTAATACTTAGGGGCAGAGGAGAAGATTTTCAAAGAATGAATGTATTATCAATATATCATTAACAGAGCCCTGCCCTAACATCAGAACCCTTGACTCAGGGGAGATGATATTCGATTTGGAAGAGGCACTCTTGCTCATCAGAACTATACATTTAGTTTGTTTGCTTAAAACCCAGGAGCAGAGGAGAAGATATTTAAATAAATAATGCATTTTCACTATATAACCAATAGTTCTCCGGCCTTACACCAGAAACAATGACCCGGGGGGGGGGGGGGGGATAAAATTCACAATTTTGGAGGAGGCATCCTTGCTCATCATAACTATGCATTTAGTTTGTTTGTTTAATACCCAGGAGGAGAGAAGATTTTCCAAAAAAAAAAATAAATAATGCACTTTTACTATGTGATCTATATAGTCCCACATTAGCAGCAGAACCCCTGACCCCGGTTTCTAATTGTTCTTTATTCCCCATGTACTTAGGTAAAAAAAAATTGTAGTATCTCAGGCCAAACATTTTAATAATACTGTTCAACTCAAGGTCCTTAGAGGTAGGGTCGGATCACAATTGGGGATCAAAGTTTCACATGAAACTACATGTATGTAAGAAAACTTTTTAAAAATCTTTTAAAAAACACATTAGAACCATTCATTTTGCAAGTTGCGTGGATTTAATTCTTTTTTTCAAATTATGGACCCCGGGTCTAAATCAAGACCATGTTAGTCATATTGATATTGAAGCATTCCAATAGCGTGTGATCTCAGAAACTCTTAGATTTAGGGTTGGAACAAAATATTGGCTCACAATTTTTTATGAGAATATAAAAATCTTTTAAAAATCTTTTGAAGAGCGGCAGACTTAAGTAATTCAGGTGAGCATTTTGACCCATGGATCTCGTGTTGGAAGCAGGTGTTATCTGTATGTGCACAATATTTTTTATTCAGTTATGTAACGACTCTTTTGAGAAACTTATTTCGATTCGAAAAAAGTTGACAACCGTTCATTGGATTTTAAACAGGTTTTCCCATCTTACATTAAGAAAAAGACTGTATGAGGAGTCAATTTTCAACGATTTCCATTGAAAGAATACTTGTTTGACTTGATTTTTTTTCTACCGAAGATCCTGGAAAATTCACGTTCAAGTTGCGACACACTTATGTGGAATACTACGTACAGGCGTGGCCATACTTAATGAGTATCGTTAACATAGTAACAGCCCCCGAGTAAATTACCTTAATGTTAGCCATTAATATTTTAAAAACAGAACTTCACATAGTAGTAAGAGCGATATGCCGAAAAACGTTTAAGAGGGGGAAATCTTCTTCAAGTTAGTTGTTTGATTTTTTTCATCGAGCGCCGACAAACAATTTTCATTAGAGCCTCATTTATTTTATATTTAAATTAATTTATGTTCATATTAAAGAGTGTCAACAAAAGTAATCCCGATTTCTTAATAATAAATCATTATATTTAGAATTACCTAATGTCAACTGAAAGAACAGGAATCCAAGGAGAGAAATAACAGTCCATGACATCTTGAAACAACGAGAGAGAGAGGAATAAACGTTTACTAGCATACTGATGTTAGCTTATCAATGGCAGGAGTGCCAACCCTGTCCTCGTTTGTTGGTAAATATCGGTCATAATTGCTTTCCAAGTTCAAATCAAGTTTTTAATGTAGGCCAAACCTTTACTTGTGAATCGAAGAATTAAAGTGAGGCGGTTTGTATAGCTCATACACTTAGTATCATTGCTGAATCACTGATGAAAGGAATATAGAAAATATGCAAATGATAGAGTCAGAAGAAAGAGAGAGAGTGAATGTGTGTGTCAAAAAAGACCGATAAGAAAAGTAAGCTATATGTTTAAAGCGTTTCACTAGATATACTGTAAACACATTTTGTCACGTGTCGTAAGTCTAAAACAACAAGCATTCTGAGAGTATTGCATTAGCAATACTAGTCCCCTACCGGCAAGTGTAATCTGGTTCCGTTCCCGTTAAGAATTGAAAATGCCATAATTCCGTCAAAAATTAATGAAGCGGGACGAAATGCAAACTTGACCTATAATTAATCAAGGTAAAGCCACATACCAAAAATCAGCTCAATATCTACAAGCGTTTAGAAGAAAATTGCGGAAAACCCTTAAAAATTGAAAAGGCCGTAATTCCGTCAAAAATCAATGAAGCGGAACGAAATGCAAACTTGATCTGTAACTCATCAAGATACACTCACATACCAAAAATCAGCTCAATATCTGCAAGCGTTTAGGAAAAAAGTGCGGAAAACCAAGTGGGACAGACTGACAGACAGACAGACGGACGGACAGACTCAGAGGAAACCTATAGTCCCCTCCGGTTTCACCGGTAGGGGACTAATAATTACTAGCGCATTCAAGTGCTATAGAAACTACATGCACGTTATTGTTTTTCTTTTTCCTAATAATAAAATGCTATATCTGGTGAAGATGGAACTCTTCATCAAATCTCCAAAACCCTTAGATAAAAAGTGGATTTTTAACTTAAACGTTTGCTCAACATTGATTATCAGCTGTTTTGTATTTGTAGCGTGTTTTAACTGTATACAAAATATATATATCATATGATATTATAATAAATATTATTGATATAAATGAAATAAAATAAGATCTTATAATTTAATAAAAATCCCAGATCCACCCGTTTATTTACTTGGTGAGCGATAGAGTTCAAAGGTTATAACGTAAGGGTTCTGAAATTTTATTGGTTGAAAGTTTGGTGGTTCTGAGTTGTTCTCAGATAGAATACTCAGAAAAGAAGATGGGTGAACAAGGCGTGCAGAATGCCTATAGCTTCAGATATTAATAAAATCATATTCAATTTGTGAATTAAGTATTTAAAATAAAGTTCTCATTATTGAAATTTATGAAATTATGATTAACAAAACTTTTCTAAGAAAAAAGATCTCGGAAAAATTATTCTTTTATTAAAAAAATAAAATGGTATTCGTGGGATTCGAACCCCTATCAATAAAAATCCGGAGTATCATATTGTTTTGAGACTAACACGCTAACCACTACGCCACGCAGCTCCTGACGAATAGTGGCATTTAAATCATGTTTGTGATATGACCCTTGACTTAATGGACTTCAAGTATTTCTCGGAAACATACGAATGCTTTGTCATAAAAGTGTACTTTTAAGGTACAGTGGGTCTTTGCTCCATGTTTTTGTAAACCAAAAAATGTATATTTTTATGCAAACTTTTAGGATCAACTTTCAAAAAAATGGAGCGAAGACCCACTCATATCGAAAAATTTTGTTAAAGGGTGAGAAAATGATCCTTATTGTCCTCTTTAGTGTGTGTATGCTATTTCGTAGGCAAATAATTTCAGTCTTTGTGAGATTTTTGTAAATTGTAGAGATTTAGCATAAAATATACTTTAATGTTAGATGAAATATCAAAGAAAATTTTTATATAATTGAGATTTTATTTTTCACTTCATGTTTGTCGCACTATAGGCACTTCGCCCGCCTTGTTCACCCATCTTCTTTGGTCAGGCTGGATGTTTATGAAATTTGAAGATATTTGACAAAGACTTTTCTTTGATACCTTTAGACCTGACAGTTTATCAATGTTCTATATCTTTATGATATTTCTATGTAGCTAATATCACTTTTTGAGAGAAATGTGAAAGTTAAAATATAAAGTAAATATAAATTTGAAAGAACTCCATCTTGATACACATTGTATGTATTTATGAGTATTTTAGTGTATATAGTACTGTAGAAATCATTTGTTACTAGATCTGTAAGACAGTGAAGCATCCAGTCAGTATTACTTTGACGTTTCATGGAATGGGCCTTGTCTCATAGACAGGTATTTTGAATATGTTACCTTTTGTATATTTTTAGTTATAATTACATACTGTTACATTAATTGAAATGTGGCTGTAAAATATTTGTGTAAAGATTATTTGCACAGTGATTTATGGATGCTAAAATATTTGAATTAAGGGAAATAACTTAACTGTAACACCTATTGCACATCTATCAGGATAAGTAATATATATTGTAGTATACATTTGTTATTTACACTATGTGATATTCATTGTTATTTTTTGATTTTATAGGGCCATTTTCTTGGTTTTACATATAGTTTGGTTATTATTACATGTCATATAAACCACCCAACAACATATGGAAAACGTATAGATTTGGAACGAAATAGGAATCGGTATCCGAACTTCTTTTACCTGCATTCGACCATTTACTTGTCATGTCATCTGTAGCTCAGGGTAATACACACAAGTTAGATGATATACATCGTCTCAAGCCACGGTTCGAGTCCGCATATAGCTCTCTCCAGAATGGGAGAGGATCGTACATTTTGGCCGTGGTTTGCGACGATGGATGATATAATGAAAAGTAAATCTTCCTCTATCAATACCTTGAATTCACATAAATCACGTTTAAATAATTAGACTAAAAACGTATGTCTTTGCATAATTTTGTTTGAAAAAACAATACAATCAGAACTGTCCTTATTTAAATTCTTTGTACAATATTTTTGCAAGTTTATAAGATATTAGATTATATATATATGAAGAATTGTTACCAAGATAAAATTGAGTCCACTCTTTAAACGGGTCTTTCCAACCAAGAGTTTTGTGATGTTAGTTTTTCAATTTTATTCAGTTTCTTTTCTCCGTCATTTAACCCTTTGATATTATTTTCATTTTCAGAATTTGGAGGGAATCCGTCCAGCTATTTTCATGTTGATACTGTTTTAGAGCTTATTTTGTATTTTTTATAGATTCAGATAAAAATTATTTGCATTTCGTTTATGACTCTGTATTTATTTCATTTTGTATAATATTGAATTTTCATAAGAATGTTAAATTATACGGCTTTTCAAATATCAAAATAAGGTGTTTGTACAAAATTAATTAAATATTTTAAGTGCATGCAAAGGGTTCTCTCAATCTTGCCCACAAGCTTTTACACTAACAGATCCACATATTTTAGCGATGCTACATGTATGTTCTGCAACTAGTTGCACGAAGAAAAAAAATATGTTGTGTATGCAAAGGCGCACTGCCCTCATTCTATATTTCTCTCTTTCCTTCTTTCTCATTTATAAATTTTAAAAATGTCACTATTAACACATTATTATGGAATCCGGATAGGGACACTTAGTTCACTTTCGCACCATCCCAATATCGATCCTTAGTCGATGTTGCGACGATAAGATGACGTAACAGCGCGATGATGATGACACCAGTGTGATGCTGCCATAGTGTCTCGCCTTATAACCATCACATAACATAGATGGCGGAATGGACCGTTAGTGAATTACGTGGCCCTCTTCGGATTCCATATCTTATGAATTTAGCCACTAAAATGTAAAAAAAAAAAATATTGTCACATTCAGAGCAATGTCAATTAATTCTTTGTTTCTTCAATCCAAGGAAGCTAATGTTTCTGTTATAAACATTACACTCAATCCATATGTGATGTAACAGGACGAGTTACTCACTGAAAAAACTATATATATATATATATATATATATATATATATATATATATATATATATATATATATATATATATATATATCACTGAAAAAAATAGAAAAAAAATTATCGTGAGCACGAGAAAGCTGTTTTACTAGTATTTTTATGCTGTTTAACCTTATTCGAACTTCATTATTAAATAAAAGGAATTATTTTGTACAATATTTACAACTTTCATTTCATTCGATACATCTATTTCAAATATCGATGTCGTTTTTCTCTTTATGTATAATAACAATGAGAAGAACTTTAGTTCTTTGAATTAATAAATAATCTTCGAGCTATGGGACTAATGAATTAATGGATGGTCCCCGACATCTAGTGTTTGATTCAGAAAAACAAAGAGCCTTAAAGTGGCATAACAGTTAAAACCTTCAACCTCTTTTTCCCATTCTGCTTTCTATAGGAAGTCTAGTTTAAATCATGACCATTTAAAACACACAAAGGATGTAGTACGGGACAGCAAAACATGTATGTACTGAAACCATACACATTGTTATTTTAAAGAATTTATATTATCATGAAAAACATGTTTTCTATGTTTGGTATAATGTTTATTTAAGAATAAGAACAACTCCTCTCATTATTAAAAGACAGGCAACAACACCATAATCTGATGAGTATAAACTGTAACAAAAATGCCATTAATTATGCAAAAGTACAAGCAAATACAAAAATAAAAAAGTCCTTCAAAACATGTCAATTTTCTATGCATTGACACGTTGGCAATGGCCGTAGAAAAGGTTTTGTCGTTCCTCCTGTACACAATCGTAACCATTCGGACATTCACAAAGGTTTGTAATGACGTAAGTTACCAGCCAAGTTTGTGGGTCTTTTACTCGCTGTATTCTTTGACACACTCCACCATCTGAACGGTTGATGTTACACTGTGGCTAAAACGCAAAATAGAATATACAAAGTAAGAGAAATTCAGTGTAATAAACTACAAGGGCAAGGTTTTCCTGTGCATAAATTATTAAATCACTTTATCATTAGTGCAGCAGCTGTAATGCATTTGAAAAAATGAATGCGTTTTAAGGCAATAGGTAAATGTTATTAAGACAGTTTTATTAGAATACATTGAACATTCCTACCATGGCACAAACAAGGTCATGGTTCAACTTCCATCCAAGATAGTAACTTTTCTGGATTTTCAAAGGTTCATCGCTAGAGCATTTACAGTTAACGGCTTTGATTTTTTCCGGAATATTTCCACCCTCCATCACCATTGCTACCTCATCATCTCCGCAGGTTCTCTCTCCTCCGATTGGATTACAGTAGTGAAGTGCAATGCCAATTCTTTTCCCTACAACAGATGTTTTTTAAGTGTATGTATTAAAACGAAGTACAATTAAATACTTTACAACATTATTTAATTTACGAAATTAAATACTGCTCGACTTAATCCCGGAAATACTCGCATCACAAAATTGTTTCCATAAATATTTATCAATTGTATGTAGTTTAACGTCCCATTCGAGAATTTTTTACTCATGCATATAGAGAGACATGGATTAAAAAAATCTGAAAAATCAAACTTGGTCCAAGTTAAACTGATTTACAGCTAGTGTTATTAGTTATACAGTCAGTTAGGGACCTAATATGGAGTCATACAGGGTGTGAAATGGAAATCCGGATTAGGCGAGGCGAAGCCGAGTCCCAATACAGATTTCCATTTCACACCCTGTATGACCCCGTATTAGGTTCCTAACTGTGTTACGAATTTTCCCGCTGAAAACCTTTTTAAACATTTTAAAAAATATGAGCATATTATCAAAATACCAAGTTTTAATCCAATAACAATCAACAATAAACATAACTAACAAGTAACAAACCATTTTTATTTACAATAACGACGCTTCGAACAGAATCGCGTGCCAGATTTTAATATTACAGGAGACGTAATACGGAAATTCAGGGCGTCATGTGACTAGCTTTTATTCAATCGGTAATCTACAAATTTGTCTGAAACGGGATAAATTTCGTTATACATTCAATAAAATCCTGAAATGTATACATGTACATTCATGCATTCAACAGGTCATGGGTTTAAGCTTCCTCTGCGAGCCTGCGACAAACCCAATTTCATAAAAATACTTAAGCAAATGTTCCCTTGCGAAGCGCTCGGCACTTTAAAGTGAAAATTTTGGGTCTTTCGGATGAGACCTTAAAAACCAAGACCCATGTCACGGCATGCGTTTGCACGAAAAACATCCCTCACTGCTCAGTGGCCCTGCGAGACAAGTCTAAATTTGAAGCCACTGACCTGTATAGATATACGAGAGTGAAATGATCTTGCAAGGGACGTTTAAATAGCAATCAATCTGTCAAATGCCTAAAATCGAATTATCTTTGAGATGGAATGTATTTTACCTTTCGATAGGATGTCTCTTGTAATGGTTTTTTCGCCACGCGTGCTCCATCCACTGGGGCATGTGTTTCCATGTGGACATGTGCATATTTCTCTGTCAGTGGAGTAAATCTCCGGAGAAGTGCGAGATTTTGAGGCATACATTTTTAAAGCCATGTCACATGGTACAGGATCGTTTGAGCAGAAAGGAAGATCCTATAAAAAAAAAAGAAGAAAAATCAAGAATAAACGCTTTTTAATAATTTATTAATTTCTAAATTTAAAATAATGTTAATTTATTAAAAATTATTATTTTTTAATAACAAATGTATAATTAAAAGAACGTGTGACAGCGATACAGAAGCTCTTTCTATTGTCATCTAGGTGGTACTTAATACAAATATACAACTCAAAACAGTCTTAAATTTATGGAATTTGCAAATATTTTTGAGATCGCCGTTAGGAAACTGTGTAACGAAATATTAAGTATGCAACGTACAATGTACTTTCCTATAGACCTGTCCCAGATTTAAGCCATAGTAGTTTTAAGATAGTCAAGTGACCACATCCGAGTTTTATGGAATCTCCGGAAAGGTAGGGGTTATAACTTTTCAACGACCACTTAATCGTGCTTGGCGCGAAATCAGGTCATAGGATTTCCGTACAGGGCCCTGGATACTTCTTCTTCCCACTCTTTTCAAGATGTGGCTTTATTATCATTATTTTTTTCGTTTTATTCCAATTTTTAAAAATTGTTATTATTAAACTATCCACTATTCATTAAAGGGGAATGGGGGGGGGGGCAGTTTACATAGAAGTTTCCGGTGTTATAACGTATCTTAGAGTACAACCAGAAAAGTTTAATTATCGCGGAGTTGTTAAAGTCAGCTGTAATATAATTCAGATTACATCAGTATAAATGGAAATTGAACTCGATTTAATTTATTTGTATATTATCCAACATCACAACAAAAATTTCGATGAGTATCCCCAATGTAATCAAAAGATTCATGAAAAGGATCATGCATGAACTGTATTGAGTAAGCCCTTGTTATGAGCAAAATAGCCAAGTAAATCTCGCTCGGTAAGCTTATTTTAAAAAAATAGTTTTAAATTTGCAAGGCGAGGCACACAGTATGCATACAATTTTAAATCTGAGAGCGGCAATTCCGACAAAGTGGTCCATCTGTCCGTACAATTTATATCAACAATGGGAAAATCCATACATCCGAAATCTCTGGATCAATAGACTTGGACGTCAGTCAAAATGTCGATCTCCAAAACAATGCCTGTTTGAAACTATAACTCAAACTATGTACATTGCAGCTCTTGGGATATTCCATTGAAATATAAAGATATAAAGATCAAGCTCAAAAGTCCATTGAAAAACTAGGGTTGGGGAAATAATACCGATATTCCGGTATATTGCGGTATGTGACAAAAATATCGTATTTCAATACGTTTTTGTAATACTGATATACCGACAAAATGCTTGGACTCATGAATTCTATCATAAAATATAAAGAAAAGTTGTCAGAAAGGTCTGCCTTCGTGCCAAACAGTATGACAACAGTTGTTGTGTGGGTGTATTTCGTTGCATAACTTCATTGCATAATTGTTGCATAATTCAATCAAAAAGATATCTTTTTATTGGTTATTTATCATAGTTATGTACATTCTGTATGTAAAAGGAAGATAATATAAAAAGAAAACACCATTTAAATTTTTTGGTGAAAATGTCGCAATACATATCACAATACAGTAAAAAATATTGCAATATATCGCATTACGAAATCTCTAGCTAATACCCAGCCCTTATTGAAACAATACAAAATTGAAGCAGAGCAAACAATGAACCTCTAGCAAGAGGCCCATGGGCCACATCGCTGACCTGAGCACATTGGCTAGGAAAAAGCACAAATCAGTTGAATATTGAAAAGTTTACATGGGGGGGGGGGGGACTTCAATTTTAAACTGCATGTATCTGAGGATGCTTCCATATCAATATGATTAACACTGCTTTTCTGTTCTTGAGAAGATTTTTTCCTACATATTCCTATGTAAAACTTGGATCCCCCATTGTGGCCCCACCCTATCCCCGGGGGTCATCATTTGAACAAACTTGAATCTACTCTACCTGAGAATGCTTCAATATCAAATGACAAAACATGGCTTTTCTGTTTTTGCGAACAAGATTTTTTCTTACATATCCCTATGAAAAACTCTGATCCCCCATCGTGGTCACACCCTACCCTTGGGGGTCATGATTTGAACAAACATGAATATACACTACCTCCGGATGCTTCCATATTAAAATAACTAATCATGGGTTTGCTGTTCCTGAGAAGATTTTTAAAAGTTTTTTTTCCTATATATTCCTATGTAAAACTTGGATCCCCATTGTGGTCCCACCCTACCCCAGAGGATCATCATTCGTACAAACTTGAATCTTCACTAACTGAGGATGCTTTAATATCAATATGACTAAACACGGCTTTTCTGTTCTTGAGAAGATTTTTTCCTACATATTCCTATGTAAAACTTGGATCCCCCATTGTGACCCCATCCTATCCCCAGGGGTCAGCATTTGAACAAACTTGAATCTACACTACCTAAGGATGCTTCCAGATCAATATGACTAAACATGGCTTTGCTTTTCTTGAGAAGAAGATTTTTAAAGTTCTTTCCTTATATTTCTATGTTAAACTTTGATCCCCTATTATGGCCACATCCTACCCCTTGGGTCATGATTTCAACAAACCAGAATCTTCACTACCTGACAATGCTTCCATATCAATATGACTAAACATGGCTTTGCTGTTCTTGAGAAGAAAATAAAGTTTCTTCCTATATATTCCTATAACTCTTTGATTCCCCCATTGTGGCCCCACCCTATCCCCAGGGGTCATCATTTGAACAAACATGAATCTACACTACCTGAGAATGCTTCGATATCAATATGACTAAACATGGCTTTTCTGTTTTTAAGAATGAGATTTTTTCCTATATATCCCTATGTAAAACTTTGATCCCCCATTGTGGCCACACCCTACCCTGGGGGGTTATGATTTGAACAAATACAAATCTACACTCCCTGAGGACGCTTCCGTATCAAAATAACTAACCATGGCTTTGCTGTTCTTGAGAAGAAGATTTTTTAAAAGTTCCCCCCCCCCTATATACTCCTAAGTAAAACTTAGTATCTCCCATTATGGTTCCACCCTACCCCAGAGGGTCATCACTTGAACAAACTTGAATCTACAATACCTGAGGACGCTTACATTTCAAATAACTTATCATGGCTTTGTTATTCTTAAGGTATGTCACTCGTCAGCTTTTTAGAAAAGTTCAGTCTGTCTGTCAGAACCTTTAATTTCAAAATTATTTATTACAATTCAAACCGTTCACGGTAGCTCAGTCGGTAGAGCGCTCGCTTCGTGATCGGGAGGTCGTGAGTTCGAATCTGCGACTGACCTAAGTCGATAAAAATGGGTAGCAACTGTTCCTTCGCCATACGCTCGGCACTTTGAAGTGAAAGTTGCGGGTCCTTCGGATGAGACCTTAAAAACCGAGGCCCCGTGTCACGCCTCACTGCTCAATGGCCCTGAGTGCCGAGTAAAGGTATTTGAAGCCATTCACCCTTATATGGTGACGTCTCTATATGAGTGAAAAATCCTCGAATGGGACGTAAAACAACATACAATCAATCAATTATTACAATTCAATTTCTGTAACATATTTAAAATGAACAATGCACATTATTCAACATTCAATTAAAAAACTGCTCACAAATTCATAAAGAAGCAAGATTTTTAAGGGACTAGTTCTTGTGGTGGAAGGATATTTAGGAGAATTCTTCAAATCTACACATTTGTTAAATTTAATCTCTTGGAACTTTAGCCCCGCATATTTTTACTTGGAGAATATTTTCCGCTATGATATACTAGGAATTTTAAATATAGGTATCAATTTATATTATTAGAACAAATTTTACACATTCATTCAACAGACATTGCCAAGAAATGAATATATATTAAAGAAGTCAAGATAAAATCTACACCGTGTTTTGCATGAAAATCGCACAGTTTGACCAATATCTTAAAATGTACATCACTGACCCCAACTTTTTCTTTCATTATTTTAAACAACACGATACTTCCAACCGATCAGCACTATTTCATAAAATGTTTGATACAAGAAAATATTTTATTGCCTATTTAGATTTTTTTTTACCTCCAATACGATACTTTTTAGTGCAAAAAGGTCACACAACAATTTATGCGCATTAATTTGCATGACTCAAAGCAAAAAAAGCAAAAGCAAAGCCATATTTGATAAATATTGTTCAATCTATTTAACATAGAATAAGACTATGATTATTTCCGTAATTACATCTGATAAAATATGATAAAGATTAAACTGATTAACCAAAGATTTACATTTTAAGTGCAAAAAGGTCAACTTAATTACACCGTAGCTCAGCAAGATGCACACTGACCCCCTATTTTCTTTGCCATTTTGAGTCATGCTATATGAGTATTTATCCAAAATATACTTCTCAAAAATCCTTAATATAACTAATTTCACGATTGACATACCTTAAGAAATTTTTTATAGTTTTTATATATATATATATTCCTATGTAAAACTTTGATCCCCCATTGTGGCCCAGCCCTACTCCCGGGGGTCATCCTTTGAACAAATTTGAATCTACACTACCAGAGAATGCTTCCATATCAATATCACTAAACAATGGTTTGCTGTTCTTGAGAAGATTTTTAAAGTTTTTACCCTATATATTTCTATGTAAAACTTAGCTTTCAGCTCAGTTGAGCTAAAAACCTTTTATCAAGGACTTTTTAAAACTTCTCCATCATTTTTCAGATTAAGACTTCATTCTAGACGTTCATGACTCCTTGTGCATGATTATGAAAATAAATGGATATTTGCACTGATAGATGGAATGTAAAAAAAAAAATCCATGTAAGCATACAATATATAATTTATGATGAATATACAAACTGTGCTCTTGGTTTTAAACATCAAATCTGATACCCCTTCAGAAGAGAGAGAACTATTAAAGGTATTTCATATTGAGAAATTAAAAAAAGAATAGACAAAGCATTTTCGCTGAGGATAACACATTTAAATTTTTATGCCCCCGTAGTTGAATATTCGGGGGCATATAGTTTTTGCCCTGTCCGTCTATCTGTCTGTTTTTTTTGTCCACAAAAGCTTTAACCTTCCCCATAACTTTTGATTGGTTAGACCTAAGGCTGTTATATTTCACATGTGTATTCCTTGTGACAAGACCATTCTTTGGGTTCCATCATATTTGACCTTTTGACCTTGGAGTTTGACCAAGTTTTCAAAATTTTACCCAACTTTTACCTTGGCCATAACTTTTGAACAGTTGGTGCCAGGGCTATGATACTTCACACGTGTAATCCTTGTTACAAAACCTTCTTTTGGATACCAACAACTTTGACCCTTTGACCTTGACCTAGGAGTTTGATCTACTTTTGAAAAACTTTAACTTTGGCCAGAAATTTTGAACGGTTAGGTTAGTGCTTTCATATTTCACCAGTGTATTTCTTTTGAGAAGGCCTTTTCTTGGGCACCATTAATTTTGACCATTTGACCTTGATGTTTGACTTACTTTTGAAAAACTTTCTTTTCCACATCTTTTCAATGGTTGCTTCTAGGGCTTTCATATTTCACAAGTATATTCCTCGAGACAGTTTAACCTTCGCTATAAGTTGCCATACGGGGGCATCAGTGTTTCACAAATACATCTTGTACTTAAATTTGTAGTGTGAGATGAAGCCTAGTTTAAGTAACAAAATTCAGTTTGACCAACAGTCAGAGGGTTATTGATGAGCGTCACTTTCTGTTGCATGGTACTCCATGTTCAAATCTTGGATTTTTTAAAAATAGTGTTGGATTAAGGACACTTGGTACAAACAATTTTTTTAAATCATGAAAATAACAACCAGTTATTTATAAGTTAAATGGATAATTAAGCCGCATAAATCTTCATGTTCGTTTCAAGTTTCTCAAGTTTGGCATAAAGGTCTACAAACTTAAACAATTTGGAAGATTACCTCTCGGATAGGCAACAAAGAGTAAATGTTGAAAATTCTACATCATCCTTTAAAACTTTTGATGCGGGAGTATCCCAGGGGTGTATGCCAGGCCCATTTTTATTCTTATTACATATCAATGATATTACTGAAGACATACATAATGACATCCGTTTATTTGCGAATGATATATCATTGTTTGCTGTAGAAGACACCTATATGATTACTTCTACATTATCTCTTACTAGTGATCTTGAAAAAATAACGAAATGGTCAAACTATTGGGCTGTACATCTTTAATAATGGGAAAAAAAATGTTAATTTCACAAGAAAAGCAAGCAAAGATTTTTTTCAGAAATTTGTTTTGAATTAAATGGAGACCTTAAATTATTGAACAATCAGTAGCCATGTACATTTAGGTCTTCGCTTTCAGTTCGATGGAGTTGGAATAATTATACTCCTGCTATTTATGAAAAAGCTTGTCAAAGAGATTAAATATTTTGAGATCATTAAAGCGTGCACTTGATAGAAACCCTCTAATAGATATATTTCGCATACATAAGACCGGTCCTAGAATACGCAGATGTATTATGGGATAATAACTGTTCTCAAGAAAATCTAGAATTGCTAGAAAAAGTCCAAGTAGAAGTGAAGTACCGTATGAGCTAAAGATTCTTTTACATGGGGGTTCGGGGTTTTTATATCAATAATTTACCATATCAACAACACGTTTAAGTACATGTCAATATGAAGATATTATGGCGTTTCATAATATATGTTATATTTTTAAATCTAGATATTTTTTACCTTCCATATTTCTAATACAAACCATATATCATTATAAACATCAAATCCTCCATTTCAATTCCACATGAAAAAGTCAAGGAAATATTTGCGTTATATTGTTAAGTTGTGACAGAAACGCTGCTGTCATTATTTGAATATTTTTCAAAATGGATATAACTTATCTACATATTGCTGAATTGTAAAGGTATTTTATCTATACAAATTACCAGAATTCATTCAGAAGTTGATGAAGGAAAATATTCCAAAAAAAAGAAGCTTTCTAAGATGCTTATCAGAATGCTTGTAACAAAGTTCATAACAGGGACGGGCAGTATGACTCAATATAATCCAGGAAGACTAAGGACTTCAAGAAACGAAAATTTTCTTTTCGAAGTGGGGACTTTAAATAACGTTGCAAATTCCATAGAAAAATGTCAGATAGATGTATTCAGAAATTGAAGCTGGAAATATCAGCATTTTTGTGTGTGTATTAAATTTTGAAATATGATATGAAGTTATAACATACAAATTCTCAATTATGCAACACTCCAAAGAAAGAGTTTGGCCCCTGCATTCACCAGAACTCAATCTTTAAGCCTTTTTCTGTAGAGGTTTCTCAAGTCTTCAATCCAAGATCCCAGCTCATAAGAACAGTACACAACAAATGAAGAGTGTCTCACCAGAAATGTGTGATAATGGTTATAAAAATTTCCAGGAGCAACTTTCTTTTTAGTTGAAATAGGTGGAGATCATTTATAACATGTAATGTGAGGCTTTAACGTTTTGAAATTTAATGTAACAAAAATGACGCAGTTTAGAAATTTTGCTTTCTTTCATTAATGGCTGAGATTTCGTCCAGTGTTTAATATTTTGGTTGATAATTTTACATAATGAATCTTATGGTTACATGCATTAAATTGATGTAAACACTTGTCTGTATCTTTTTCTTGTGTTTGTTAATTTGAAGATTCAGATTGTAACATATATTATGGAACACCCTGTTTTAATTTTCTTTTGAATTCATGCATATCATTTATCTAGTTTTAAACCTCATACTCATTTTGCTCTCTCTCTTTCTCTATTGTAATTTATATCACTAACTTCATTGTATATACACATGTATATACCATATGTACACCTTGACTTTTTCCCATAGAGAGGGTATTTTATAGGCATTGCCTGTTGCCCAACCGATTAAGATTTTTCTGAATAAATACTGTTTAAAGTTAGGTCTATAATTTCTTAGAGATTTGATATGTTTACAACCAAAATAAGTCCAAAAATATACATTATTCTATTCATGTGTCCTTAGTATCACTATACATGTGTACTTAATTCCAAGTCAAATATAGACAGCTTTTATTAAATTTCCCATGCAAACTGCGAAACTTTTTCATACACACACAGCAGTCTTTAGTATATAATTAACGCCATGCATATGTAGCATAGTCTTTGTATTGAATTTCATTTTGTTAAAAGTGACATATAGGCCCAATAGGCCGGGTGTTTAAATTTTAATATGAAATGTTGAGATGAAATAGAATATACCAGATACACATGTTGCAGTAAAAAAATTTTTAATTTTACTTATTTCCTCCACTTGTACTTTTTTTAATCCGTCGTTATTATTTTTATGAGGACTATAGTTCGTTCCGTTTATTATATAAAATTCGTCGTCATATCCCGACAGCATTTTTCAGTAGACGACTTTTAGGCACAGAATTTGCAATAGTTACTAATTTGTCATAAAAATTACAAAGTATTTGATGATTAATTCTAACTATGCAACAGAGGCCACTACGACGGACACTTTTGCCAAAACAAATATTGCCTGAATTATGCATAAAATATGTCAATTACAGCGAACCATTGAAAGTCCCTATATGACAAACTGTGCGTCCAGCAAATTATATTAGATAATTAAGCTTATTGATCCCTACTTAATGTGAGCATCTGTTCTGCGGGGTTAGATGCTATCAATGTAACTACTAGAGAGGAATTAAGTAACACATCATACATATATGTTAAATGAGGGAAAAATGACTCACAATTTAGGAAACAAGAGGCAGTAAATACTTTTTCGAAAGACCTATAATTGTCTTTTTTTCTCTTATTTTATCAATGTCAGACATCCGTATAAGGTTTACTCTTTATATGGATTATAATCAAATATTTTCTTACAATAAAGCAATAAAGTGAATTACAAATTAAGGCTATTATTATGAACTTGAATTTTAATTGAAATAATTTACGAACACTACATACTTTCTTAAAAGAAAACTACGAAAAAAAAATGAAAAGGAAACAAGGAAACAAAGACATGAAATGCATATTTAAATAAAGATAAATTAAAATCAATGCACGACTTTTTTTTAAATCGCATCACTTAGCCAAACTTATAAATGAATAAAATCAAGCTTAAAAATTACATTAATAAAAACAAACACCAAAAAGAAATACAAGTAAATATAATTAAGAATATGGTGAAATAACAAAGCAGATACTGAGCGTAAGCCTCAGAATTTTTTTTATTTACCAGTTTGTATTTTTAAAATAGTTGACTTCTTTATGCGGCAAGATATTCTTTTCGTAAAAAATCATGCAACACAAGCAAACCAAAATTAACTGTTTGTATAAGAACCTCCATGCACACTAACCTGCCAAGCATTATTCCATCCGTATGACCAGTAATTCGGGACACATTCTATGGGTGCCAAAGCTGCCAATACCAAAAATAAAGACGGCTTCATGACTGACGTGATTAGTAGAAAACACACAGAATCTTGACCACCGAAAATTTCTAGTGTTATGAAGAGCTATTCCTGTTTTTATATGGAGTGAGTGGGTGGATGTACGGTACGTCACGGAATTTAATTGCGGTCACAAATGCTTCATCGCAATACCTCCGTGACAGAGCTGATAATATATAATTAAGAAATGCAAATGATCATGAGTGTGCACTTGTTTATAGAAAAATTGTGCTCGTTTTTACTTTTGTGCACTTTTCGTGTACTCCTAATTGAGATTATGCGTGATAAATATAAAATGCTCGATCGTACGTAGATCTAAACTTCGAGGTTAAGATATGTTAATTATATTTTTAATATAATGAAGATTCTTTACATATATTGCACGAATGTTATTATATACAGATATTGTAGAGTTTTGCATTGATATCAATTACTTAATCAGTTTATTTCCATTTTATTTCAACCATTTTTATGCAGTTGTTTTTCCCTCGATTCATTAAATCACGGTACCCCTGACTTTAATTATAGTACCTATAACCCCCCTCTCCACTTTCAAACAAAATTAACAAAATCCAAACTTTGTCTTTTCTCTGTTTTTCATGGAGGAAATTGAGAATGGGCCAGGAAGTGATTTTCATGCAAATTAACATATGTCAAGATCGAATCCAAAGGTTAATAGGGGGCTAAGAAATAAGTTCGATAACCTTAAAGTGAACCCTGTTTATTGCCAATACCAGCGTTATGGCATCGTAACACTTTAAATGTAGATCCCAATATATGAAATACCACGAACCTCTTTAGATTTATATGTGTTTCATCATACAGAGTAGGTCCTATTATGCAAAAATAAAGGAAAAGAAAAAAAAAAACACACACACACACACACAGAATTACAAAATAAAATGTATTCAGTATTGGTTATAACGAGTTTTCATATTGCAATTCGTGAAAATTCTATAAACCTTTTTTTTTGTTTTACAAATCATTTTAACACTGCATATAAACATGTCTTTTAATCTTAGCCTTTGACCACGACTTTGTGAGGTACACTCCATGATGAGTCGTTCCCAACATGCCCAGCCTATCCTAATAAGTTAAAAAAACAAGTGTTGTATGTACAGGTGTGTATTTTAAAAATATTTAGACGGCATATCTACATATACGCAATTATTAGCCTACCCTTTTCTTATTCATCTCTCATTATACATGCACCAAATGCTCTATGCTTATTGATCATCAAGAAGAGTGCATCTCTCTCTCTCTCTCTATATAGATATATATATATATGTGTGTGTGTGTGTGTGTGTGTGTGTGTGTAAAGGTAAATTGACAATTTAAAAGTTCCATAAAATTAAGGTTTATTAGCGAGTTTTATAATGATAAATAGGTTTGGTTGTTTGGGGACCTCGGCCTTATAAGCAAAATTTTGTTGGTTCGTGGGGACGTAATTTTGCACCTTCGCTAGCAAAGGGTTTCTGATACGCTACTCTCCTCATAAACCCTTGGCATACGGTGCTGACAAAAGACGGGATTGTTTTCGTCACGTGATTCTTACCCGGTACGCAGATTGCGTCATCGACAGAAATAAAAAGCGTATTTAAAAAAATAATGTTTTTAAAGAATAATTAACAAGAAGGTACTGAGTTATGTTAATTTGTTATTTAAACATGTTAAAATGCAAATCTACATCTTCAGTATTGATTCTTAATCACATATTTTTCACGTAGCTTAAGATATTGGATGACACCATATAGCTATTCATAGAATGGCATGTTATCTTACGGATCGTTGTTTACTTGCGTTTTTCATCCCCGATATTAAAGAGTCCAGATATATCCCGAACGCAAATATCGTCATTTACAAAAAACAATTGCTGATTGGTCGAACGATGTCGATTAACTCCAATCACAACTTGAGAAAAAAATCCCAACTTTTTTAGCTTTCCTGAGCCGAAGGCTCAAGTGAGCTTTTCTGATCAAAATTTGTCCGTTGTCTGTCGTCGTCGTCGGCGTTGTCGTTGTAAACTTTTCACAATTTCATCTTCTCCTCCAGAACTACTGGGCCAATTTCAACCAAACTTGGCACATAGTATTCTTGGGTGAAGGGGGTTCAAGTTTGTTCATATGAAGGGCCACGCCTTCTTCCAAGGGGAGATAATCATGAATTCATGAAAAATTAATGGCATCATTTAAAAATCTTCTTCTCAAGAACCACTGTGCTTGAAAATATGAAACTTATATGGAAGCATCCTCAGGTAGTGTAGATTCAAGTTTGTTCAAATCATGACCCCCGGGGTAGGGTAGGGCCACAATGGGCGATCAAAGTTTTACATAGGATTATATAGGAAAATTCTTTAAAAATCTTCTTCTCAAGAACAGCAAAGCCATGATCATATTTATGTGGAAGCATCCTCAGATAGTGTAGATTCAAATTTGTTCAAATCATGACCCCCGGGGGTAGGGTGGGGCCACAATGGGCGATCAAAGTTTTACATAGGAATATATAGGAAAATTCTTTAAAAATCTTCTTCTCAAGAACAGCAAAGCCATGATTGGTCATATTTATATGGAAACATCCTCAGATAGTGTAGATTCAAGTTTGTTCAAATCATGACCCCCGGGGGTAGGGTGGGGCCACAATGGGCGATCCAAATTTTAAATAAGAATACATAGGAAAACTCTTTAAAAATCTTTTTCTCAAGAACAACAAAGCCATGATTGGTCATATTTACATGGAAGCATCTTCAATAGTGCAGGTTCAAGTTTGTTCCAATCATGACCCCCGGGGGTAAGGTGGAGCCACAATGGGTGATCAAAGTTCTCCATAAAATACATAGGAAAAATTTGTAAAAATCTTTTTCTCAAGAACAGCAAAGCCATGATTGGTTTTTTTTAATGGGTGCATCCTCAGGAAGTGTAGATTCAAGTTTGTTTAAATCATGACCCCCCAGGGGTAGGGTGGGGCCACAATGGGCGATCTAAGTTTTACATAGGAATACATAGGAAAAAGCAAGCCTTTTAAAATCTTCTTCTGAAGAACAGCAAAAATTAGTCATATTTAAATGCAAGCATCCTCAGGTAATGTAGAATCAAATTTTGTTCAAATCATTGACCCCCCTAGGAGAATAGAGGGGCCCATAACAGGGGATCATAGTTATACAAAGGAATACAAATGGTATATCAATAAAAATTGTCTTCCTAAGAACAGCATAGCCATTATTTGTCATATTAATTCAAAAGCATCCCTTTGAAGTATAGATTCAAGTTCAAATTAACACCCCCCCCCCCTCGAACCACTTTTATATCAAAACTTTTCAAGACTCAACTGATTTCTGCTTTTTCCTAGCCAGAGTGCTCAGGTGAGCGATGTGGCCCCTGGGCCTCTTGTTTAACACCGTATGCCAAGGGCTTATGAGGAGAGTAGCGTATCAGAAACCCTTGGCTAGCGAAGATGGTAATTTTGTGGGTAACTCGTATATACAGAAGATAGAATGAATTAATATGTTGACAAATTGTTTCCATGAGCTTTAAATAGTCTCTCAGGGATGTATAAACTAGCTGCAGCCGAAGCACGTACCTCCAGATCTAAGTGAATGCATATCGAACTTTGACTCAACCTCCCCTCTACATGTATCTTTCAATAACTTCAAAATAAATTCTCTGAAGCAAGTACTTTAGATATGAATGTTAATTTTAGTAAACTTATAAGAATCACATTTTTAAAAATATCTTAATGACTTATATATAAATTCATTAGAATCGTTCTGAATACAGGCCAGTCTCAACATAATCAATAAGATACTGAAAGACTTACAAAAAAAAGAGAGAAGATTTTTGCTATATTCTCAATATTACCCCTTCTGTATATATCGGTCTTGGAGCTTCTTGGTAAAAATTTCCACACGAGTATCGTAAAAGATAATAACAGATCTCCTAATGTTGCAAAGCATCTAAAACATCCCGCGTACTCAAGAAAAAGCAGTAATCTAATACACAAATGCATAAATCAGACAAATTATTCTTTAAGGAAGCTCTAAACACTGCACACTAAAGAGTTTTATTTATAGGGCAGTTTTATTGAGTTAGATTGATCTGCCCTTGGAAGAAAAATAGAATAAATGCGAATCTACAGTTAATGACACAATTTCTTATGAATTAAAGTATTCTTAATGTTATGTTAGACCAAGATTAAGTAATTGAATACATTATTTCCATTAATTTTCCCGATGCAAATAAACAAGTAATTTCTGTTCACAAATAGTTCATTCTTTTTGAACATTTTTTCTGCAGAAATTAGACAGGCACCCTATGTTGAAAATGAACTAGATAAACTGAATATGTGCACCTTTATATGATATATTTCTGTCAAAGTCCAAAAAGCATTTTTCATTAGTGTTTAGAGCTTCCTTATGCTGAAGACTTAAGATATAATGTTAGATATAATCGGTTGCTTCTTGTTCACTGAAGTTTTTGTAAGAGTGTGCAATGCTTATTCAAAAGTCATTTTCATAGGGCTCACAGCGGGTGTGACCGGTCAACAGTGGATGCTTACTCCTCCTCCTAGGCACCTGATCCCATCTCTGGAATTTCCAGGAGTCCGTGTTTCATGCCTTCTTCACGGAATTGTATTGTTTAAAGATTTTTGAGATCGATCACTGTTCGTTATCTTCACCTTTTCAATTTCACAAGTTTGTCAATACACGGGTTTGGGACCAAATATTTCTCATGTTACCATTACACTGCGTAATAAATAAAAGTAAGCACAGGAGATGTTGATCTACTTTGAACAAGACGAGATATGAAGAGAGACGCTGTTGCAGGCGTTGCTGGTAAAGATATTGTGTGAAGTTAACAACATATATCAAATGTAGCCTCGATTAAGCCAGATATATTCACAATCAGCGTAGAAATGCCCCCCCCCCCCTTCAGGAATTCTCGAGAGTAAGGAGTTGATCCTTACGTCGCGGGTTCGAATCCCACTGTGGGAGGTTGAGACCGGTCCTTCCGATGAAACCTTATAAACCAAGGCCCCGTGTCGCAGTAGGTGCTGCCACGAAAAAGAATTCCTCACTGCTCAATGGTCCTGAGTGCCAAGTATAGGTCAAAATTTGCAGCTCTCCACCGGTAAATGGTAGCCCTCCATATGAGTGAAAAATTCTCGAGAGGG